ACATGAAGTATGAGTAAAGCTGGTAGGGGAGACCCCCGTGAGTGGCTTACTCGGCCTTGTCGTCCGTATTAACGCGCACCAGTCATATAGTACCTACTTTGTACAGGTAGAGGTTTTCCCACCCAACATTGCCCCGTATCTCAGGTCACCAACAGGGCAATAAGGGGCGCGTATCTGGGCACCGGGCGCCCCCTTTGATGTTGAAGGTCCAAGCTTGTGTAGCGCAGCAAACTATGTATACTCTCTCGTGGGAGGCCATGGCCACGCTGGGGAGGTCGATGAGCATGGTGATTGATGCTGGTAGTCGCCGTCCAACGCAATGCCTTTATCGGTGACCTACTCCTCATCTCCCCGCCACCAACGAACGAATCTCCACTGCTCCGTATAGACGCCGCGTACTACCGGCCCAGTATGTATAAGCAAAGCCCGTATCTCGTATCCTCCATGGACACCTCTAAACAGCTCCTTGTTTGCTTTGCTCGGTGAAGAGACAGAACAAAACACATGTAGCCTTAGGGTAACATTGGGCAATCTACAGTAAGCGGAATACTGTTGACCGTAGCCAATTATCATCAACACGGAGTTTACAGGGTATCACCAGCATGCACCCCGTGCAGCCGGTCAACACTGTGGCGGATTTTCTGGCTATTTAGATCAGCGCGCACTGCGCTTGAAACAAATTCCCATGCTAAAACAGTCTTGTCTTCTCTTATCTCACCGCGTTGGCGGAAGCGTTGCCGCGCAAAGAACGGCGATAGAACTGGCGGCTATAACGGCGGATGCTCACCATGCCCCCATCTTCTAGGCCTAGCAAAGCCCAACCTTGTCTGTGCCTCCCACTGTCCCGGGCTGGCGCTCCGAAAGCCTAGCGGCGCTAGAAAAGAGAGAAGCTTGGGTGACAGTATGAGTATGTTCGGTGGAGGAGGCCCGCCCCAGGAGAATGGTAAAGTACATAACAAGTACACGGCTTTAGAGCCTCTTGCTGTGGAGTCGGCAGCTAGTACTGCTAGTATTATGGCAGCTGTGCCGCTGGTGGCCTTGGGTCCGGAGCGTTGGACCAAAAGCTCTATCGAAACCAGGGGTGGTTGATGCTGGGACGATGGTGGTGGAACGCTTCTAACCTACAAGTACGTGTAGGTAGGTACAGCACCGCTGTTGGAAGAACACACCCCTCCGACAGTTAGACCCTTCTTTCCTTGCTGTGGCGCTCGTTGGCCACAGCTAGATATTCGGATAGGTGGTATATCGTGTTGCTATGTACCAGCATCCGACATGTCTTTTGCGAAGCAGCCGCTCGTCACTGGGAGGCTAGCTTGCCATGACTTGGTTCTTTGACGATGATTCATGCCGGCTGGCCAGGCCCTCGCTGCAGTTGCTCACGAGCTCTGACGAAATGCCACGGCTCACAAAACACATCACCGCCGTTTCTTTTCTTTTAGCTCCAACCGCTAAAAATGCTAGTAGTGCTAGTGGTGTTCACCGGCATCGTGTCCCCGGACATGGGCCAAGCTGCCTAACAGCCCTGGTGGATTGAGCAATCGTGCCGCACGTCCAGTGCTGTGGTATTTGGCCGGCGAGCTTGAGCTTGAGGGTACAGCATGTGTATTAGCTGATTGGACGCAGTCTTCAGGTCTGTTACCCAGATTCTTCGTTCCAGCCTCATCTCGACCACTCAAGGCAATGGATTTCTTCAGGATAGAATGGCCAAACGTTCTAAGAGAAGCTCCTTCGCTGCTTTCGTCTGCATTAAAGTTCCTGGGTGCCGTCACCGCAGCAGTGTAGCGCTAATGAGGCACCCCTCTGACGGAGCCATCGGCCCCTCGTATAAGTAATATAGGCTGTACATACAAACTGGTAGTTTCAAGTCGTAGTGTATCACCATATATTAGTTGAGAAAAGACTCAGACGGCATCGCAGGCAGTCTTGGCAATCACAATGGGGGGTGTGGAGGCAATGGGCCTCATCTGAGTTTTTGGGCGTAGTTGGGCAATGCAAAGCTGCTCCAAATAGCATATTTCCCACCTGGCCCTCTTTTGACACAAAGTTGGGGTTACCTCTGATTTTTTTTTAGAGGTAATCCCCACGCATGTCGGAACCATCTCACCACGTGGCCTGCGCGTTTTTCGCAATGCCTAGCATATCGGAATATTGGCCATTGTCCATCTCAAAATTTTTTTTCCTGCCTCTCGTTGCCTCCTCCTTCTTTTCTTCACCGTCTGTTGCTCGCTGGGGTTTTACCAAGGACAATAGGCGCTGCATACCCCGAACCCGAGTGCCCGCAGAGCTGGCTCCTGGAGACCTGGTAGGTGGGCTGGACACTATGGCACCACTCTTATGCGACAGTCTCAAATCTGCGCCTACATCATATTGCAGATTAAGACTGCTGTGAGGTGAGTGCAGGGCGGAAGTTGGGCACGGACACAGGCACAAAGCTGAAAATACAGGCGGACTTGACGCAGCCTGTCGCACTTCTCTCTCCCTTGAACCAGTGTCATCGGTTCGACAATGCTTGCTGCGCACGGCCATAGTAATTTCCACAATGACATCAGTTCCCTCCCTAGTCAAATTTGGAAAGCGGCGTGGCCGAACCACTTTCTCTCGCAAAGATGTCGTGGAACCATTTCCCCTAGACACGATTCCTAGGAGCAGGTACAATTGGGCCGCGCTGCGAGATGGCATACACCATTGGGTATGGCGCTTCCTTCATTCTGTGTACCGCTGGTAGCATTCCGCTGGCTGGATCAGCAGGCCTGTCAGCTGACCTCGGGCACTTTACTGTGGCAGGTCCAAGACTGTGCAACCTTGAAATGGATGAGGATGACACCCCCGACATGATTAATAAGTACGCGGGAGACAATGAGGGAATATTGACGCCGTTCTGCCGTTGGGCGTTTGCTCGACGTTTGCCTGGACGTTTCTCTGCCCGGTCTTACGATGTCCTGAAGTCGCAGCAGCGTTGTCAGATTATGATTTTGCTGCGTATCGAAGATATGGGCTGAAGTGCCATGTCTTCCATTTCTGGCCAATGGCGTCTGGCGGCTCATGCCTGCACTGGCAAAACACGACCAAACGAGGTCTAGGATCGCTTGAGAGGGAGGGGAGAAAGGAAGGCTGAGAAGAGTGCTTGACAGGAGCCTGTATCTTTACTTTGCATATGTATGCACTGATACGCACCATGGCATCATGTGTTCTGTCTGCGGCCGGGCGCGTCAAGCTAAGCTGCGGTCCATTGACCATTCAAGTCGGTTTCCTTTCACAGATACGCGCGATATGCCTTGCTGATGACCAGGAGGCGCCGTGCAGCATGAGAGACGGGACATGGCCGGTTGGTGAGATGTAATGGCCCAATGCCCTCTTTGGCTGGCTGTGATAGATGGCCCCATTCAGAAATGCATTTCCTCTCCCCCCGGCGCGGCAGTAGCCCGCTGAGCACACAGCTTGCAGGCTGCACATTCGTTGGTTGCCCTTTCTTAGAGATGACAAACTCCGTAACAGACGTAGGGATCTCAGCACGGTGCCGGGCGTTGTCTACAGCTCTTTGAAAATTCCCCCCCATTTCAGTTTTCCCCTTTGGTCGCTGCACCTTGTATAGCTGGCGAGACAGGATTGTGACGAGACATACAGCTTCACCGGCCCCACACAGGCCGTGGATGGTGGTGGTGAGTCTCGACCAGGCTGCGATGCTCCTCCGTACATCGTACTACAGCACCACCGGAGGCTGAAATGCTAATTAGAGTAACTGTTAAGCGTGGGTAATTAGCATTAGCACCTTACCGCCGGTACGGAGCACATACCTGAGCTCGTACGTCACACACCAGACGTCCACCCACTTTCTTAGGTCCTTGTACATGTAGCATGTCCACTTGTAAGAAGGCCGACTTACATACATGCAGCCTGCCGCCACACCGGTCGCCATGGTTAGCTAGTAGTTGATGGCACGAGCTGCTAGTATACAGTAGTGCTCGAAATAGGATCGGTTTCTACCGTGAGGTTGGACAGATATATTTCTTAGTATTGCAAGGCGTCCAACGGGCCGAGCCAACGGCTTTGTACCCTCGCCCATCTGCCATTCGCGTGGCCGGGCGACGCAACTGCGACACCTACCATAAGGGCTAAGACATGTTGGCCATATGCTTCTGAGATATCACAGCGCGATGGCGCATTTTACGGCGCCAGGGGAACAGCAGGAGCTGCACCACACTTTGCTGCTTCCCTACAAGTAAGCAGGTTTACCTGTGGCTATGGAAGAAAAGAGTGCGACGGCGGTCAGCCAACTTTAGCCGCCTGCTGGTACAGTAGACACGGCAGCCGAGCAAGAGGAACGCGGGATGCTTCTAGGCGGCAACAGTCGTCCTGCTAGGACTAGCTTGCAGCTCGAGGGTGCACATACATAACTTTGCGTCTCCTTCGTACTTACAAGAGACATGCCTGCTAGGCTAGTACATCAGATGCTGGCACGCACTCGTAAATCGATGCGGCAGGCCAAAGAGGCGCTTTCTGTAGCGGTCTACATGATAATGAGTGGTGCGGTGCAGAGACGTTTCTGCATGTCTCTCGCCTCTGCCTACTGACGAATTCTGCAATCTCGCGGCGTGAAAAGAAAAAGAAAACGATTCAGTTGGTTCATTGGTAGACCATTGAAGAGCACAGACGATGTTCGAGTATACCGTATGCAGGGCCACATTAAGCGTGTGTTGTGCCAACTCCCGGACAAGAGATCTCGGGTGCTGTGGTGGCCCGCATCGGACCATGGCCTATAACGAGGACGAAGGAGAGGCGTGTCTGCTGAGCTTGTCATAAAAATATATTAATATAGCAAGTAATGGCCACCAACAGCGGCCCGTACGACCTCTGCAAGCATCCGGTCGACTTATCACGAGAGAGTGATGGCCTGGTCGACCGACAACGACGCACACGAATCACTTGACCGTGTGTAAGGAACGTTCGAAAATGTCTGCTCTTGATCGATCGTTGGCTCGGTTGGTTAAAGAAAAGCGCCACTATTGCCTTGAACAGGTACGGACGGCATCAGTAGAAAACGGTAGCGGAGACGACAAGCCGCTACTGTCAGTTAACGAGCGAACGGTCAACCAGCTAGCCGCTGCTATAATTGTCTGGTCAGTGCTTGTACCTGATGCAAAATTGTACTACACTTACAGCACTGTACTTTGTTGTTCACCCTGCTGCTGCTCCACCCCCTATTGCTCGTACACCCCTCCGGGCCTGGAGACGGCTCTGTTATAAGGCACTGCAAAAAAATATCGACCAGCAACCGCAATCTCATCAGTTCTCGCAACAATCGGTGCTGGCGATGGATTGCAACAGAGTCGGGAAGACCCGCGAAGGAATTGCCGTCACAATGGCATTTGAGTCCTAAGAGTGTAGATTGATTTTGATTTTGATTCTTGCTCCTGCGGTTTGCATTTTGGAGAGACTTCGCAAGTTGTGGCCTGAAAAATACGGTGTGCAAATACGGCGAACCAGCTGCGTGCGCCGCGCCTGCCTCAAGGCCCAAAAGAAAAAAGAAAAGAAAAAAAAAAGAAAAAAAACGTATGAGCTGCTGTCGCCAACCGCGTCTGGCAAGAGATTTCATTCATTTTTTCTTTCCTTTCCCCCCTTCCTTTCTCTCTCTCTGCCTCCCTCGGCCTTTTCTCTATCTCCTCTCTCTGTCCATTTTGTGCGAATTCGCCGTTTTCCAGCACAATCTCTCTTGTTCCTCCATATCCGAAGGATGCAATTTTCTTAATCCACCCCTCTCACAACACGACACTCCTGGTAATGCTGGGATTTTCGATTCCAGCATCATCATCGCCATCCTCCTCCCCACTATGCAACCCCCTGCTGGTTGGGTCTTAAACAGAGATCCTGGCATCCTGGCTTTCGCCTTGCTAGGCGTATGCCTGTCAAGGAAGCCACACCCACTTGGGAGCGTGCAGGAGCCATTTTTAGAGACGCCCCCCCCTGCACGCGCTGAGATCGGGGTACTCGATTTGTACCTCTAGTACCTGTAGTTTCGCGCCGCTGACTCGGACTCGAGAGACAGCCTCAACAAGCGGTACCCCGAGCCCACTCGAAAAATTGCTGCCGGGGCCTGAATGCCTGCACAAGGCGGAAATGCCTGGGCTAGTCTTCCAACTCTGTTTTACTGTAGGTGGCTCATCGTTCTCGGCGCATGTCACCGCTCGAGCTCGACGTTAGCGGGACACAATGCTTCTGGAGCTTATAAGCCCCGGGATAGCCTCCCGAGTCTCCTGGTGGTGCTCGAAGACTTCGTCTACTACCTTCTACATATATCTCCCGCCCTCACCGGACATCATCTCCTCCTTTCTCTCGCAGATTCTGTTCACAAGTCTGCATCTTGGATACCCATTCTACCTTCTCATCTTTGATTTACTTTCATCTGTTCTGCATTGGAGGGCATTGCCATACAGTATATATCCGCAGCCCTATTTTGTCGCCGCTGTCCATATACCTACTACCTACCTACCTACCTAGTCAACGTCCTGGCCTGTAACAACAAACATCAACTCTCGCCCATCAACATCAATCAGCTTCACCCGGTGTCTCAAAGCCGAAAACTCACCATCACCATCGCCAACGCCACCAAGTCTTTGTGTGTGCGTCCATACACGCTAGATACGAGCTTCGTAAACCTTGTTGCTCGGCTGGTAGCTTTTACCAGCTTATCCCGTTTATTCCGGCTAAGCAACAATCCCGCTTCCTGAAGCCACTCGAGGCAGAAACCGTTTCAACATGCGGAGGTCGAATTCCGTGGCTCGCCCTCGGCGTGGTAGCTCTGCCACTCGGCCCGAGGAGCAGCTGCCGCCATTCCCTGCTCAGCAGATGTTTGTGCTTGGTAAGTATATTCCGCCTTTGGGTACTATCTTGTATTGAAAGCACATCGTGGTTAATCCTTGTGATTTTATAGCCTGCTGCAGATTGTGTGAACCAATTGCGTTCATGTCCATCTTCCCTTACATTTACTACATGATTGAAGACTTTGGAATCACCGCGGATCCGAACAAAATCGCTGTCTACGCTGGCATGGTTACTTCCGCATTCACTCTGGCCGAATTCGCAACTGGTGTCATGTGGGGAAAGTTGAGCGACAAGATTGGACGAAAGCCTGTTCTTCTCAGTGGTCTTATTGGTACTGCTATCAGCGTACTCATTTTTGGATTCGCTCCTAGCTTGCCCGTTGCTCTCTTTGCGAGAGCAATGGGTGGCCTTCTCAACGGGTATGAGCTTCTTTCTCATGGTATTTTGTGTAATATGTCCGATGCCTAACCTTGTTTTTAGAAACATCGGCGTGCTGCAAACCACCGTGGCTGAGCTCGTGACAGTTAAGGAGCATCAACGTACGTGTATTCTCATCAGTATGTTGCTGATGGAAGTCATGCTAACAGAAATGCTCGACAGCTCGCGCTTATACTATCATGCCTATGGTTTGGTGCATCGGGTCAATCATTGGCCCCATGATTGGTGGTGCTCTGGCTCGACCCTGTATCAGCTATCCCGACTACTTTCCCCGCGGCTCAATCTGGGACCATTATCCCTACCTCTTGCCTAACCTCTTCAGCGCAGCAATGGTTCTTTTTGGTGTTGTTGTGGGGATTCTGTTTTTGGACGAGACTCATCTTGCCAAAAAGGGTGAGAAGGATCGCGGTCGCGAACTCGGCGATCGAATTGCTTCACTGTTTGGCAAGCTCAACTATGGTCGAGCCGATAAGCATGAAAAGCAAAGCCTTCTCAGCAACAACAAGCTTGCCGGATACGATACCATTTCTGGCTCTGATGCGACCGAGACTTCTCGCGGCAGAGAGCGACTGCCAGATTACCGGAGCCGAGAGACATCGCCCCGAGTTTCTTCTCAGGAGAACGCAGAGCGCCAGGCCATTTCCACCACCGAATCATCCGAGATGCAGCCTGAACAGCCCACCAATGTTTTCACCAAGCCAGTCGTGATGAACATTATTTCATACGGCATTCTTGCATTGTAAGCTTATTCTGTCCTACCTAACAAGGCCCATGCCATGCCAAAATGCTAATCTGGTTTGCTAGCCACACCATCACATACGATCAGCTCTTCCCGGTTTTTCTGAGCACTGCTCCTCCCAAGGAGCCAGTCCTCGAGCTTCCATTCAAATTCGTAAACGGATTCGGTCTTGACACAAAAGCCATTGGTGTTATTATCTCCGTTCAGGGCTTTTATTCCTTGCTGTCCAATTATCTGATTGTGACGCCCATCACCCGCCGACTCGGACCTCTTCGTCTCTTCCGCCTCATTGCCTTCTCTTACTTTGCGCTGTACTTTGTCACGCCTTATGTGGTACTCCTCCCAGAGAGTCTCAGAATGCCCGCAATTTATTTCTTGGTCATCTGGAAGTGCACATTTTCGACAATGGCGTACCCTAGCAACGCGATTCTCCTGGCAAATTCGGCCCCATCTAAGCAGGTTCTCGGGACGATCAATGGCGTCGCGGCGTCTACAGCAAGCTTGTGCAGAGCTCTTGGCCCTACTCTTTCTGGCTTTCTCTACGCCATGGGCCTGCAATCCGGTTACTCTGGCCTCGCTTGGTGGTTCAGCGGCCTGGTCACCATTGCCGGCGCCTATCTCAGCTCTCAAATCACTGAGAGCCCTCAAGCCCCTCCTATGCGCGATTACGATGATGAAGAAAGCGTTTAGAGTTTCACAGATCAATTTTTTTTTTTGGGAGGGGGGGCTTCTCGACAACGATCTCATTCTCCGAGAAGGCCTCACAACTTGGAGATGATATCCGCATTTCTATTTTATTTTCATGAATTGGGAGAATCAATTTTTTATGTTTTCAGCAAGCAACTAAAACAAGCGTGTTTTGAGTTGACAAGCCATGGTTTTATCGGATATAACGACGCCCCCGAGAGCTTTATGTCTCCATTTTCAACATATTCGCCTCCCTCGTTTTATCTTATATGTTTTAGTTATATTTTATTGTTTTGAGGTTTGATGTATGCATTATCTGAGCACACAATTTTGGACACATTAGAAGGATATCGGAGCTCTGGGATACACAAGGAACGGAGCAAAGTTTTTTTTTTTATTTCTTTTTTGTTTTTGTTTATAAAGGAGGACTTTCCCACAGCCGGGATTTACTTTTTCATCCTTCTTTACACCATTTCTCACTTTTTGTTGGGGGCGGACAAGGACACAGCTGTGCGGCAGCCACTTGTCTGAGGATGGATGGATCGGGAGACTCGGATCAGGCCGGTGTGGGAACTGAAGACCAAGGACATGGGTTTGGCTTATGGTTATATCGGGAATATGACACAGGGTTTTAGGATACTGGATATTGGACACTAGGCATTTGGAACGGGATATCGGACTTGGAATACCAGGCTTTGGAAACTGGAACTGGGCTTTGCTTTGAAAGCTGGCCATACGGTTGGCTGGTTGGTCGGTTGGAGATGAATGGACCGGGATGAGGCACGACGGGTAAGACAGGACAGCATGGGGCGCGGCATGATAGGATAGGGGGCAATGGAATATTTTCGACCAGAGGTGTTTAATGATGGTAACTACGGACTTTCTTTTGGAATATTGGTTGCCGGCTAGGTAGCACGGATTTTGCACACTAGATACACATTGGTTTTTAGCCACATACTTGACGAATTCAAGAAAATTTCGAGGTGGCAATCTGACTATCCAGTCTTTGCGGTGAAGGTGAGCCTTTCGGTATTGGGCGGCCCCATGGGTTCTGCAGTAGTTCCAGAGAATGCCTGATCCTGGTGCCTGACTAGGTGAGACGCGAGATGGACGATTTGACCAGGAGAGAGAACGAGTGAGGAGACTAGGAGTAGTGGAGAAGAAGGAAGCCACACGGACGGGGGAAATAGTTTGAGCAAGCAGCGAGCCAATCGGGACGTCTAGGCATGGCTGGAACTACATGTATAGAAGCTGGGTGACGGCATAGGGTCGTAGGTTGGGCTGCCACCATGCAGAAAGGCGATGGTGTGAAAGAAGGCGTGTGAGCGTGCGTCTATGTGCGCGCGCTAACGTGAGGCGTGGAATACATGTACCTAGTTGGCAGTACGGGACGGCATAGGATGCTAGGTACTCTATGTGTTTGTGAGTTGTACTGGGGTGTGTAAGAACATGTATGTGTTTGATAACAATGTTAACTGCCTAGGTACAATGTCCTATTATCTAAGAACCTAGGTAAGGATGGAGTTGATAACATAACACCCCTATTGCCACTAATACTTCTTGGGAAGCATATTGTCACTTCTATTTCGGCAGTGTTGGTACCCTGTGAGCGGTATTTGACGGGCTATATATCAATAGGCCTGCGGATAGTATCGGAGTAGTCTATGGTAGGATGTGAGAGACGATGGACGGGATCTGTTGGCTGAGGCGAGCGGAAGGAAGGGAAGGGGAAAAGAAGGCGGAGGGGGTGTGAAGTTGAAGAAAAGGGGGGGAAAGGTGAGGGGCCAAGGAGAAGAGGAGTGAAAGAGAAAGAAGTATGAGAAAAAAGACACAGACAGAGAGAGGTCTATAGGAATGCTACTAGAATGTGCGGGAGAAGTAGTGCTACCTGGTACAAGTAGAGGTAGGTGTATACATGTATGCTCGTGTGTGTGCCCATTTACCCCAGGTTTGCTAAGTGGGTGGGTGGGTATTAGTTGCGGACTTGGTGAATTAAAAGAGAGAGGGTAAAGCCACATATGTAGCTACTACTAGTAGCATTGTTCGTACTTTAGCGTCTGTATGCGGATGGGGCAGCAGTTGGGCATACAAGCAAAGGGATGGAACCGAAAGGTATTCACAGGTAGGAGGTGTGAGTGGCAGTACCGTGGCACACTTGCATAAGCATTGCGAGTAGACGCGAAATGAAACGGGCTTTAACGAGGAGAGAGACGAAGTGAGGTGGTGTGTGCATTGAGAACAACTACTACTGCTAGGCTATCCGACTTACGCGTTTGTATCCATGTAGATACGTGTAGTGCCATTGCTCATGCTCTACACACTAGTACTTACCTTATCACTAACTGTTTGAAATACAAATTCGAGAGAGACAGGGACAGAGACAGAGAGGGCAGAGCAGGGCAAGGAGAACTAAACTACGGCTACTCTGGCAACAACACCAAGTTGCACGGCAACTAATATCTACGTAAGATTCAAGTCGGGCCAAGTTAGCCCTGGAGTCTGCATAAACCTAAAGCGCGGAAACGATTCCACATCTTTGGTGTTATTTTGGGGAAATCCGCAACACTAGTCGGCTTTTTCTCTTGTGCCTCTACCTTGCTTCCCCAAAATGCCATGTTTTATATGCTGTGGCTCTAGCTGTGATGGTTCGAGCAGTTATGTGTGCGCATGTGTGCGTGAAAGTACACGTATCAATATAAAATTGGTGTTTTCTTCTCCTTTAATTTTCAATTTTCAATTTTCCATCTTCTACCTTTTATTTCTTTTCCTTTTTTTTTGGGGGGGAGAATATCTCCGATTGGTAACTGTGGGGTTGTGGGTAGACAAGGGAACTGTCAGCTTTGCAGATGGAGAAGTCGATTTGACGGGAGTTGATAAGAGACACAGCCAAGAGGCTTATGAGGCATGGGTTGTACCGACCAAGTACCTGCCTACATGGACTTACTACACCTCGTACAGGCTGTGCACCACTACTAACTGTACCTACCTTGTATAATACGCGAGCTAGTCGTGAAGAGCACATTACATGTATATCTGCTTATGGTAGGCACTAGGGAGGCAAACGCATCTTGAATAGAAGAAAAAAGGAGGATTATGCTGTGACATTCCAAACAAGCATGGGATGGGTGGAAAGTTGGTCCGCGTCAACTGCATTCACGCCCGGCAGTCCATGCAGACGGACAGACAGACGGACGGACAGCTTAAAGACGAGACATGGGAGAATTTAACCAGAAGAAATATATCGTTGCCGCGGTTGCCTGTGCTTGGTGCCAGCTTCGGCCCCCAGTTCCAGGGGACTTGACGGCAATGATGCTCAGCAAGGAGCGGCACGGTAGCACAGAGGACGAATACGCGGCGTGCAGATGTCAGAAAAGGACAGGGTTTCCTTTCCCCTACCTAGTCCCTGTCCCAGCTACCAGGCAGTAGCGCGGCCTGGATCAATTCAGGTTGCTATATTTACAACTGAGTGTTAACGGTACGTACTCTGCGCTTGACGGAAATGCTACAGTACGGGGCAACGGGGACGGCAGTAGGATTTTGAGGGTCGTGGACATTGCGGAACGTGCATGGAAGTAGGCAGTATGACATCAACTCTGTGTAAGTTGCTGTATGCTGTGATCCACTCGGCTTTGTTTGGTGTAGATAAGGATTCAATTCGAGGCTCTCTTTGTAGGCGTATGTATAGCTGTATCTGGAGTACCAGGCCGAGAAGTTTACATGTAGTATAGAGAACGGGGAGGAGAAACTTTCAACAAGGCAGCACAACAGTGTATTATATGCACGGTTCTTTGTCAGGTAGTTTAGGAGAACGCTCATCCACTCAAAATCAGCGGCACTACCTTTTATCTGCCTAGTACTGTAACAATGGCAGCACCAAGTAAACGTAGTGCTCTGACTAATAAGGCGCCTGTGGAGACTAGTAGCTTATCCTCGCTTTGTATCGTTGCGTGAGCCGCTGGTTATCGAGTTAGCATCTCTATTTACCTTAGCAGGCACCCATAATATTACCAAGTTGTTTTTTTCTTCTTCTAACCGAGGCTCTCAGTTGAACTTATCTCCGCACGAAACAGCATGTACGTTCCTCCATATGAAAGTTCGAGTCTGGCAGCAAAATCCGAGCGAGGCTCTTGAGCGCTTGTCATTCCACAAACAAGGGATCTAGGCTATTGCTCGGCTAAATTAGAGGGAACTGGAAGACATAGATAGTCACATAGGTGATGGCTGTGTGGCTGGCCGCTAGAGAGCACTTGAAGTAAGAGAAATAGAGAAATCGAGAGGAGAGAGGCAGTCTAAATGCGGGGACTTGGCCTGCCCCAGGCGGCTGGTTCAGCCTGGGAGGGGCCTCGATGTCTATCGCGCTGCTCTGTCCTCTTATCAACTGCTCTGTGCTCTGCTAGCACCACCATCCATTGCCCTATACGGGCACTCTTAGCACCTTTACTCGTGCTAGCAGCGCGCAGAAGGCGCTAAACACGCAGCAGCATCGCCGTTGAAGTTGTCAGTGCCACTTGAAGCCCGCCGCTAACTGGTGGTGCTCTGCTAGCAGGTACACGCGAGGTCGGCGTGGCCCCCCCGCCATTGGCAAGTATACGCTGCGCCGAGCCTCGCTGGTGCCGTGGGGTTCGCTATCTGAAAGGCGCTAATGGTGCCTTTATCGCGAACTGCGAACTACCCACCATGTATTTTCCCTTTCTCCCAAGCAACTACATCACATACCTGGTCTTTGGCCTTCTTTTCCCCTTCTCGATCCGACGGCGCTGAGGCTGCATCTCTCCCTGTCCTTGTTCTATCCCGTACGGACCGTCCTATCGCGAGCGCAAAAGAGTGTGATTCGACCTGCATTGTCGACCTTTGCATCCCTCAACTGCATATTATCCCATCCGGGGAAGCTTCCCGAGCCGCCTTTCCAGCCTCTGAGCTCGACGTGCCTGGGGCGTCTGTTCCGCACCCTCTGGTCTTGCACGCTCAACGTCTTCTCAGTTATGCGCTGCGACCGAAACGCCTCGATTCATGGATGGTTGATTTGATGTTTATTGCCTGCCGCCCGTCGCTTTCTGCTCTGTCGACGTGCCGTCAAATCCGGCAGCACTAGGAAGTTTGGTCGCGACAACCGCCCAGTTTGATACGTGGCCGATTTTCGGCCTTTGCTGGAATCTGGACGATGGGATAGCGGAGCAAGGGAAGCCGAGCATAGGATTGGCCAGCTGTTGAATATACCTACATAAAGAGAATATACGACGGAAGGAGAGAGAGAAAGAGAGGAAGAGAAGGGAGTACGGAGTAAAAAGAAAAAGGGAAAAGAAGATCTCTTTCGTATAGACGGGGAGTTGTGCAACAGAAATTACGGCGAAGCCAGAGGTGAGTCGAATCGAATCGAGTCTCTGTGTTCTGCATGCGCGCTGTCCCACCTCCCCCGCTGGATAAGCTGCGATCTGACTTTCGACGTGTCTGTCCGATTTGCCCATCTAGGCCGAGAACTGCTCCCCTTGTCACAATTACCACCCGCCTGACTTGGTTGTCTGCGTAAGAGCACCAGAGAGACGGGAAGAAGAGGCAAGGGATAAGAGAGGAAAAAAAAACCGGAGACGGCATCTGTATCGGTTGTGTATACTCGTATGCAAGCTGCTGCCGCCGCGACCCTCTCTTCTTCTCCTTTCCTAGACTCTTCACTGGGATCTTTTCTCTTTTCTCTTCCCCCCCAGAGGATCTGACGCCGCACCCCCCGACCCCAAGTCTCGCCAGCAGCTCGTCTCGTTGGGGGACCAACCGTCAGCCTAGCACGACCAACCTTGCCTCATTGCTCTTAAGCCATGCCCACGCATGGCCCGCCGTCTCCGATCCTCCAGAAAAGCGTCAAGCGTCAGCGGCAGGACTCGTACGACGGCACGTCATCGCGCAACGGCTTCTCGAGCCCTGAGCAGCAAGCCGGCGATGCGAATCTAGGAGGGGCGGCAAGGAGCATCACCAGCGGTCGCAGCGAGGCCAGTACCTCGGCTGCTGTGTACCCCGGCGCCTCTGTCTCATCTGCCTCTGCCTCTGCTGCGCCAGGCCCCGGCCCCGGTCCCGGTCTCGGTGCGGGCGTAACTGACGCTGCTGGTGCCACGGCTGATGGCAGCACCGCCTCCACAACCACAACCACGGCTGCTGCCGCTGCCGCTGCCGCTGCTACCGACGGTCTTGCGGCGACTGGCAAGCCTGGCCAGAGCAGCAACTTTCGCAATGTGAGCGCGTGCAATCGCTGTCGACTACGCAAAAACAGGTGCGATCAGAAGCTGCCTAGCTGCGCGAGCTGCAGCAAGGTCGGCGTCTCCTGCGTTGGCTATGACCCTATAACAAAGAAGGAGATTCCGAGAAGGTGAGTGGATAAAATTAACACAATCCACACGTGAATCATGCGCTGAGAATTATCTCTGTTCATCTGAGTCATTGCGTTTGTTTGTCTGCATTCCTGATTCAAGCTCCAACTGTTTGTGTAACGTTGCTGACCATGAAACTCGCAGCTATGTCTTCTATCTTGAAACCCGCGTGGAGGTGCTGGAGAAGCTCCTGGAGTCTAACAATATCCCGTTCCCGCCGGCAGAAGATCTCGACCTATGCTCCCGCCCTGGAGTAGACGGCAGCTTCCCGGCTGTACGAGATGCTACCAATTACTCCAGCCACTCGGAATACGCAGATCACCGCACCCCGCGGCCTCACAGCCACCATGGCCAGAGACTGGATGGTGCGATGCTTCCAGCCAAGAAGCAGGGCGACCGGAGCCCTGCCATGATGAATATTGTTAGCTCATCGAAGCCGCGATCGCTTGCCTCTACATCGGGTGTCTCGTTTGCCCGTGTTGTGCTTGCAGCCGTCCAGTATTCGGTACCAGACCAGAATGGCGGCTCAGAGAAACCTGTTTCTTCTCATCACTCGAATCTGGCTGGGGCCGGTACTTCTATGCGCGACTCTTTCTTCGGTTTACATACCCGGCCCACCATACAACCAGCCATCTTTCCGACCAGGGACGTGGCTATGCGCCTAGTGACACTTTATTTTGAGCACGCAAATCCGCAGATTCCCATTCTGCACCGCGGAGAGTTTATGCGCACCTTTGAGCGGGCGTATGCAACCGATGGCCCGGATCTTAGCGCGAGGGAACTGTACATGCTCAACATGGTCTTTGCCATTGGCTGTGGTGTCATTGTTGGCGAGCCAGTCAAAGCAGAGGCTTCCGGTGGTGGTGGACTGTCGTTTCAGCGTAGCAGCAGGAATCAGTGCCAGCCGGAGGAGTACCACGCAAGCGCAATCGTCCACCTTGAAGAGTGTCTCAGCAGCAGCGGAGGCGGGCTTGAGGTGCTGCAGGCCGTTCTTTTGCTTGCCAACTTTGCACTTCTTCGACCAGTTCCGCCTGGCCTGTGGTATATCACTGGCGTGGCAGTGCGTCTTGCGGTTGATCTTGGCCTCCATCACGAAGACGGAGGGGATGTAGACAGCGGCAGTGGGCAGAATGCCTCTGGCCATAATCACCCTGATGGCTCTGTAAACGAACCGCGGGACCCCAACGGTGGCGGCCCAGACCGAGCGAGACGTCTCTGGATCCGTGACATGAGACGGCGACTGTGGTGGTGTACTTATTCGTTTGACCGGCTTGTAAGCACCTGCGTTGGTAGACCGTTTGGTATCAGCGACCATGTCATCACGACCGAGTTTCCTTCCATTCTTGACGATGACTTTATCACACCCAATAGCTTTGGTAGCCCACGCCCATCCAGCGAAGAGCCGAGCTACAAGCGCGTTGCTCACCATTATTTCAGGCTGCGCATCCTGCAGTCGGAGATCCTTCAAGTCCTGCAATATAACCAGGCGCAAATCGCCAGAAATGGAGCCCAAGCGAGGACGCTCTATCCTGAGATGAACAGACAGTTGCCATCCCCGTATCTTGTCCAGTTTGACTCGTATAGATCATGGCGAATTGACATTGACCGAAGGCTTCGTGAATGGAAAGACCAAGCGCCTTTAAAGCATGAGACTGGGGTAGCCTTCTCGACCGAGTTTCTGGACCTCAACTACTGGCAAGCCATTGTGCTGCTGTATAAGCAGAGCCTGAGTATCCCTGCCATGTTTGAGGGAGAGTATAATCCTTCCAACGAGGTCAACAGCCCAACGGCCTTTACTGCGGAACTACGAGAAGACGAAGAGCGCATATATCTCAAAGTTGCTGAAGCAGGACAAAAGATCCTGCGGATATATAGACAGCTGCACCTGAGCAGCCTCGTAAGCTACACGTATCTGTCTACCCACCATTTGTTTATGGCAGGCATATCATATCTTTATGCCATATGGCATTCTCCTACTGTGAGAAGCCGCCTGGTGAGTGCCCCCTCTGTTGCATCATCTCTTGAAAAGAGAGTTTTGGACAAGAGCTGGAATCGCTGATTTGAGTACTTAACGTATTTACAGACTATGGATGAAGTAGACTTTACAGTGCTGGCAGCAAAGTCGGTATTTACTGACATGATTGACAAATGCCCGCCGGCAGAAACTTGTCGCGACGCTTTTGACCGAACCGCCAAAGCCACCATCCAGATGGCCACGTCGAAAGGTGGCTTTGGTTCGCCTGTCATGCAGTCACGGCGACCACCCACTCGAAGAGAGACTACCAATTGGGCTCTTACGCCTTCAGATATAACGTCCAAGAGGCCGGCAGCGCCCCGACACCGGCATTCATCCCAGCATCAGTATCAACAGCCTGAGCAACATCACCAGCAGCACCACCAGCAGTTCCAGCTTGACATGGCAATGGGCGACAGCTTATCCTCGCCCAGCCTCTCAACCGGTGGAGATATGGCCACGCCACCAGTGACAATGGCTCACTCGCATAGCCATGGTCGACCAAGCCCCTCACGGCGAACGGGCAGCTACGACGACGGAAGCTCCGTTGTCGACCAGTCAATGATTGCCTCGCCGTCTGTGCCTCGCCAGGCCACTCCCAGTAGCACCAGCGGCGGGAACCCGTTCATGACTCCACAACCCCAGCAGCAGCAACAGTTTGGGATGCAGGAGTACCCGGATGCGCAAACAATGGACTTTTTGCAGACGCTGGGCACTGGGTCCAACGGCGGCGGCTTTGGAGGCGGCATGGACCAAGGCCAGATGGATTTTGGCTTTGGCCTGAACTGGGAGGGCATGCACAACGACTACGCGGAGGCGTCGTCGTCGGCGATGAATCCCTTTGACTCGTTCTTCTTTGGCGGGCCTCAGGGAGGTAATAGTTGATTTCTAGACTCTAGAACCTTCCAACGCTGTTACACGAAGAAGTGAATTAGCCTTTCATCTTCCCTAGCTACAGGTGGAATGCCGCGTTTGGTGGATCGAGTGGCTGTGGCGGACAGAATGGCGGGAATGATATGGGATCGACGGGAAGAGGAAGAGATGGACCGGACGAGAGACCGATGGACTTGTGAGAAGACGATAATTGTTTTTAGAGAAACATATACGTGCATACCCAATAGGTTGTTGTTTAGCTTTGTATCCTTTTTTTTTGTTTTTGTTTTTTCCTGGTTTGTTTGCATGAAAAACTACTGTGTTGATGATATCTTGGGACTATTTTCATTTCTTCTTCTCTTCCCTTGTATATGGATATGGATGGAAACAACATCTGGAAACAGAATTATACCTGAATCGAGCGATTGCATACACACATCCGCACACCCGCACATATTCACCTATTTACAGCTATATCTCATGCATGGACGTGTCAATTGCGTATTGTATTAATGTTAGATGTTGTTGTAGTGGAAAGTTGAAATGCGCTATTCAATATCCTCATTCATTCCTCATCGCTAACATGCTCGTTTGCCTAAGAAAAAAATACGCCAATAGTAACTCTTCAACCAAATTGATTTGAACAAGCGCTTGACATAGCATCATCATCATCATACATTGCCTGCAACATAAAGAGAGAGAGGGAAAAGGACACAAAAAGGGGGAATAATCAATAGGTGTCAACTGTCAAGCGGAAGCTCAGCGGCGGTATCTCCTGTCGTCGTCTTCGCTGTAGCCAGATCTCCGGCTGCTCGATCTCCTTCCCTTGCCCGTGTTCCTCGACGGACCGGCTTTGTGGCTGTGCCGTCTCGAGGACGGCTCAGTCTCTTCAATAACAACCACTTCATTCTCTTCGTCGTAGTCGGAGGGCAGATGGTCCCTCGGTGCTCGGCCGGGTGCCCCAGAGGACGATGAAGTGATGGTGGTCAGCGGTGACGGCTCCCTCTTTCTCCTCATGGGCTCGACTACTTCGGGCGCTTTCCCTCTTCTCTCAGCCCTGCGTTTGGTCGTCTTCGTGGTGCGCTCTCGTCGGATTGACAGCATTGTGGGTACTTTTCTCCTGGGTTTCTTGGTCTTTGGGCGTGCCGAGCTCAGCATGCTTCGTGAAACATAAGATTTGGTCTCGACAACTTCCTTGGTGCGGAAGAGGCTGGAGAACGGGCCAAAGCCGAGAATGGTGTACAATATCAGCAGCAGCAGGATGAAGCCGGCGGCAGAGCCGATGACAACGCCGACGATGGCGCCGGTTGAGAGGGAGCTGTGAGTAGCATTGTATGTCTCGGGGATGACGACGAAGGTAGGCGACTGTTGCTGGCGAGCAACGAGGGTGGCGGCGTCGCTATCGATTGCTCTTGTTGGAAGCGATGAAGAGGCGACAAGGGGGGCTTTGGCAAGCTCGCCCATCGGCCGTCGTGGAAAAGGCGGCAGAGCAGGCATTATGTTTCCTCTCTTTTCTTCTTCTTCTCTTCGCTTGCCTGTCTGTCTCGGTCTACCGAAACGCTGATGGGTGCGCGAAAGCACCAATCTAGCTGACGGTGGGCTTGTGTATCACAGCTTAGCGCTGGAGACAGCAAGACAGAGAGACACAAGCGGGGCGAGAATCAAAAGGCGAGAAGTGAAGAGAAAAAGAGAGCCGAAGTGCTGTCGTGGGGGGAGAGAGAGACAGAAAAAAAAAAAAAAGAGCCTCGAGAGCCCAAAGCGAGATCGGGTACGGTGAAGAACAAAGATAGACGAATCGATGCGCGCTATGCAATGCAACGAGGGTCCTCTCAGTAGGATGACGATGACGATGACGATGGGCTGTAGTTGTCCAGCAGCTGCATCATGTCGCTTTCAGGGGTCCGCTGTTTTCCTTTTGATTGTCTCGCTCACCAGGACATGTTCGTGGGAATCTCAAAGATAGCCAGCCGAGCGGGTGACTGAGTGGGTGGATGCGTAAGCTAAGCGAACAAAGAAAAAGTTTGTTCTTTGTTTCCCCCCCTCGTCTCGAGAATTTCTGTTTACTGGGGGTCAGTTTGTTGGCTCAAGCAAAAGCTCAGAAAGCCAAGCTCAGCCAAGGTCAGGCACAAGGTGGGATGGATGGGCGGCAACGAGCCGAGACTAGAGCAGAAAAAAAAAAAAGGCGCCCAGCCACCCGCAGACGGCCAAAAGGTGCGCCCAGCCACAGCATTTTTTCTGTTTGGTGGAGGTGGAGTTGAGGCCAAGCTGAGGTGGGACAGACGGAGCTGATAGCCGCGGAGCTTCTCAGCCGAGATGGAACGAATCATGGCGAGAAATTGCACACGTGGGACGGGAGAGGAATTGTTTTGGTTCCATCTTTGAGAGGGCCATGCATTATGATCAAGATGATGGGGATTGGTGTTTGTTCAAACGAAGCTACTGCTTCTCCAGGAACAAGCTAAGGCCGGGCCACAAGTGCGCCCGGCATCGGATTATAGTTTGGTCGGCAGCCTGCGGTGCCGATGTACTTCGGATCGAAGAGTTTGTGTTATCAATTGGATGAAGATGACGCATTTTGACTACGTGTATCATGATGGACCTTGCCAGTTGCGCTTGGTGTAAACTTGGCAGGGTGCAGTGAAGCTGAAAGAAGCTGGCCTGGGCTTGCCAGCGTTGCACCTCTACTATCTACTCTGGCATTTTACAACAGCCTGCCCAAGATTTGGCTCTCACGGCGTCCGGAACGACTGGCATATGGTTACCTACTGTAGATTCATTGAAACAGTTGCTTTACATGTGATTTTTGGTACTCCAGGCCGGATCACGCTGATGGGTTTTGGACGGCTTCTGTGTCAATTTCCGCGACGAGTTGACGTCACTGTAGATTGCAAGCATTCTTCAATATGCAACACCGATTTCAGGCAACATTGCGCCGACCACTAGATGTACTCTGCATTTCACTAGTTTCTTGATCTTTATCGAATTTCACAGCTCCTCTCGATCACACGCTCCAGAGTTCAGCGCTTACGGCAGAAGGCTAGCAAGGCTTCTTCAAAACAACCCGTGTCATGATGGAGAATTAATCCGATGCTCTAATGGTGAGATATTTTGTCTCATTGATCACTGGTATCTCTGATTATGCAAACGGAGGCCATGTTGAATTGCTCAAACCAAGCAATTAGCATGATGCTGGACGCCATCGTAAATCCATACCCCCAGTGACACGGCGGAAAGTCGGTGCAGCATCAGGATTGAATGGATGTTGATAAATGGTATCGCGATTGATTAGTTGAGAAAGCTAATGAGAGAGTGAGGGCGAGAGCGAGAGAACGCAGCCAAAGCGTAAACCTCCAGCTAAGAATGAAGATGGTCTTGTTAGCGTCAAACAGGAGTAGGGAGAAGGAAGATATGGGTTACTTCTTAACCTATTTGACTGAGTTTATTGTTACTCTGCGTCTTACAGAGGTGGTGATTATCTAAAGAGGCGTGGCTGAGAGACAGTCTGGAGAAGAGGAAGCTGAGCAGTCCCAGGCCCGGTCATGAATGGCAGCCGGCATGGGAGGAAATGTGTTTCGAATAAATTACACTGCTATAACAGGTGCTGCTTTTGTGTAGCTTTTTAACAAACTCATAGTTACTCATAATTGTAACAACCTTTTATCATTGGAAGAACTGGTCAAGTCGCCACGTTAGCAATGATCCATATAAGTAGGGGATGTAGTCAATACCTAAGTACTAGTAGCAGCTTCATTGTCCCCAGCAGTTTCAATGTTCACAACAGTTTTACTGTCCGCAATAGCTTTACGAAATGGTGCAAAGTCTTTTTCAGTCCGAAATAGCCATACTGCATAAAACGTTCTAGGTCCCGCAACGTATATTTTGTGCTTCGTTTTATCTGCTGGTAGATGCAGCTTCTTCCCAAAATTCAACGCATGAGAAATCTCTCCATCCGTGATTGAGGAGCCAACACATGGATATAGTGGCAGTAACTCTCCACTTCCATGAATAAATCTCGTTCCAGGACGCACTGGAATCAAGGTAGCATTGTAGTACTAAGTAGATATTAGAAAGGTAGATTATTCAGTGTTGAGGACTGAATTACATTGACCATTCCATCTGCGAATAAAGAGTGCGTAAGATCTGTTAAAACAGCAATAGCTTTGCGGGGCTTCTCAGGAACATCGTTTGACAGAACTTCTAGGTTGAGAGCAAGCCAGCTGAATGCCGCAGACACCACTTTGTCTTCTAAATAGGTGAGATCTGTTTCATACATGCCTTTTTTGCTCGCAGAATCCATGGTTGTAAGTAAGATGTATCATGTAGTTCGTAGATGGTGATTATCAAGTAGATACTGGGTAGTACTAGATAGAACTTGGTAGGTAGAGGGAGGCAGAGAGAGATCCGGCGGGGTATGTGTTGGGAGCTTGTCACGCAGCTAATGGAGTGGAGCTGATACAAGGTCCACGGGTATGAATCTGGTTCCACTTTCACCCGAGCAGTAGTATCGCTTTAGATGCTGATCGATCTCTCAAAGTGGAACTAACGAGTTCCACGACTTACACATGGTAGATATCTGGAGAGTACGGCAACGAGACAAAAGACATCGCCGATTCGCCACTGCGAGGTTTTACATGATACGCAGCCTGTTTTTTTTTCCTTTCATTTCTTTTTCTGCCCCCCTTGCATTGCAACAACTCACCAAGGCTGTGTGGGGCAAAACGTAGATGTTCAATTCGCCGGCAACACTTTCAGCTCGTGCTGCCCGAGGGAGAGAAAGGCGGTACGGAATGGCTTAAATACGCGCCTGTTCACCGTCTCGAGGTACACCAGGCTTTGTTCCATAAGCGCTGTCTTTTGCTATATCTAGCCTTGTCTTGTTAGACCTATCCAGTACGACAGCCTGCGAAAATACATACAAGACACCCCCGATTCCTTGATACAATGGAAGCCATCTGTCCTCGTGAAGCAAAGAGTGACGAAGGGCCGTCATACATCTGCATTCATCCCCAATGTGGTGCTTGTGGTCAACTATTTCTACCAGGTGATAACATTGTCGCATGTAAGACGAGATCCATGGCGCGCAGGAAGATGTTTAGACTAACGTACCCAGTGCTCTTTAGGAGTACTACATGTCTCGTGTATGATGCGTGCAAGTTTACAGCCAAGGGATATGCTCAGCAACCGAAAAGAGGCGATCAAACATTCTACAAGATACCAGACCGTCCCGTCACCACCGGCGCGGAAGAAAGCATCACGATGCATACGGATTGTTTCAAATTATGCCACCAGGCATTTAAGAGCTATACGCACGACTCGCAATACAATGGCGACATTAAAGAAGACATGGGACGCCTATGGCTCGCGGCAACGTGGAGATATGCTTGGAAAAGCATGGCACCCCTCAAGTTGCCTAGCCATAGTGCTCTTACAGACCCATCTCCAAGCCTTATAAGCAAGCTCTGTGGCTTTAAGAGGGAATTTCTTCCAGAGATTGCCATGCTCATTCAGAGCTATTCGCAGTCTAGCATTCTCTGGAGGCTTGATGCCACACTTCAACTTGCGGAGGAGCTGAGTTTTGCTAAAGCAGACGAGGCCATCACCTGTTCGCTTTCTGAAGTGCTGTGCTGGTCTCGCAATGACACTCCCAGGTTTGTGCAAGACGAGCTTGCTGACCCTTTTGTTTGCCTCATAATCGACGCCCAAGGCATCAGGTCGATAGACAGAGTATCTGAACAGTCAGCAACTTTAGCGGCCCAGATGTCCATTCACCCCAATGTACTGGTGGTAGAGCCGGTGGAGGCAATAAAGTCGATTGACATAGAGTTCAGGGTAAGTACCTTATACATACTTATACCCCTTGATATCACCATTAACTAACATCCCCAGCTCGGGCGGAGTCGCTTGAACCTCCCCACTACAGCAAGTCTCAACGTCTGGAGCGCACCACTGCCTGTGTCGAATCTTTTACACATAAAAAACCATGAGCGCAATGCAGCTTCGGCTTCGTCTGCACTTTTGTCTTCCCATTTCGTCGCTACCAGCTTGGATCCGCGCTATTGCACGGGAATCTCCTTCTTCATCACAGCTACACCAGGTAGTAAAATAGTTGGTATATATGGACACAGTCATCGAGAATCGCGCCACTCAGAAACATTTGAATATATGAGCTCCTTTCATGGATGTCGTCTCATCTGGGTATATGTACCTCTAGCTGCCAACGACAAGGTCCATGCTATTGGCGTCAGGCGCAGCGCTCCACTACGCGAGCCACACTCCATCACAGTAAGTCTTGAAGCTTAGAATTGAGACATCAAGTATCATTGAAGCTGATACCTGTGTTTGCTTGTAGCTACAATTGACCTCTGGACAATATATAATTGGCATTCCACCAACAAAGGCCCCTGTCTACGAAACATTATACATAGCAGGAGAGCAACATGCTACACTCATCCACAGCAGCCCATGCAACAGTGGCATCTCAGTCATCAAAGCTGATACTGATTATCAGTTCAAACATTGTGGCATCCCGTCAGATGGACCGCCAGTGCCTGCTGCATGCTCGTCTTCAGCGTCACTGGAGAATATCTCAACTATTCATGTCTTTACGGATCAGTCAACTGGACTATGTAAAGGCATCCTGATGGAGTATAACGATGGCTTAAAGAGATCTCTAGGGCAGTGCCGTCTAGGCATGGATTCTGTCCAAAGTTATCAGAAGCCATCGAGCATATCGCATGCTAGCACCTATCAGCCGGCATGTGAGAGGCATCTGGTATCATGCAAGGGTGTACATGTTAATTTTGACCCTCAAACTCAACAATTTGGTGGAGATGAAGGGTTAATATGGGAGCATTATGAGATGAAAGGGCAGCTCTACTTTTGGTTTACGATGCATGAGGTTTATTTGAAGGTCTCTCAAGACTAGACTTTTCCTAAACGATAGATTTCTGGCGTAGGTATATCAAATAAAATTCTACATATAATCCACAATAAATCCGCAGTACATTCATTTACGATATCTAGCTGGACTAGCACTACAGTACAGTAAAGTCCCGGGAAGACCAAAAGTTAATACATGGTACCATGACAATCACATGCTACAGGCTGCCTAAGGCGTACGTGCTGTCGCCGCATTCAGATCTCAGATTGAAAGGTGGTGGCCGTACTCACATAGTGGCAGATGTTTCCATGGAGAGAACTTTCCTACCTAGAACGTACGGTATGGTCTCCTTTGCCATTCTTTTTTTCTTAAAACGGAAATATTAACTTGAAGACCATTGAGTTGCAAAGTTACCTAAGGAATAAATAAAGACGACTTCTAATGTTATCACCTATACATAGTACTGGCTTCACTGCATGTTCACCTGTAGCTCACTATAAAATGAAAACATGACAGGCTCGTAATTCCCTACCTAGGTAGCTATAGGTAGTAAGTAGGTACTAGCTTATAGAAATTACCTTAAGTATACCTATCAAACAAAAATCTATTGCGCATCATTATGGTGGGCCTTAACGTTCTTTCTAATGCTGCTTTTATTGGCTATTGTTGCACGCAGGTGTGCGCATGCAAAGTGCCTTCCCGTTTGCACCACCAGCAGATATTTCCTTTCGTTTCCATAAAGCTCTAGGCCTCTTCTTTTTCTCTCTGGATGAAAGCTTTTCATGAGCATTTTGATCATTTCGCGGCTACCAAAGTCTGCATTCCTGCTGGATCACTGTAGAGTAGTGGCACAGTTTTGTCCGCCTACTGCAGTGACGATAATCATTTCGTTGCCTGATCTTTGCAAACACAACACGATTGAATTGCGCCACCGGTTGGAAAATCGTTAGCAAAAATGACTCGGAAGCATCGTAAGCATCGTAAGTCAGACTCATGTCCAGGTCAAATATGTGTTTGGCTAATATTTTCTCAGCATACAGGAAGCTCCCATTGCCTAGCAATGCCCCATTCGAACTGAAGCCGTCATCCAGGAAGGGATGGGGAGCTTTTGCAAAGACACGAATCAGCAAAGGAGCCACGATTCTGATTGATAAACCGCTCTTCATTATTTACAAACCGTCCCTAAAGATTACGGAAGAAGATGTTTTGATGGCCTTTCTACGATTGGCACCTGCAGATAAGGAAACGTTTCTGCGCATTCGCGACAATGGCTCTGCGTCCTTCGAAAGCTTGTTGGCCACCATGGCCCAGAATACTTTTCAAGTCCATACTGGAGGCAGCAATCTTGCAGCCTTTGGAATGTTCGTCCTCTTGTCGCGCTTCAATCACTCTTGTTCGCCCAATTCCACGATCCCGACTTCGGTTAGTGAGAGTGGCCGAGAAACTCTTGCAATTCTCGCGAAAAGGGACATCAGCGCTGGAGAAGAGATCACGTTCAACTATCTTCCGGGGTTCGAACTGAAAAGCCAGCATGAACGCCATCAGCTACTGCAATTTACATGCAAATGTGAAGCCTGTCATGCAAGCTCTTCGGCTCAACGAGCCAGTGATATGCGCCGAACCCTCGTACGAGGACTACAATACCTTTCACGAGGTAAAGATCTGGATGAACAAACACAGGATTCAACTTTGCCATTTTCCATCGATCCTGAACTAAAGAAGGCAGCAGAGGAGTTGCGCATCCCTCTTTCTTCGAGGTTCCTCATTGATCTTCTAAGCATGGCTCTCTTGGAGGAGGAGGGTTTGATAGATGATTTAATCGTCAAAAAAATCCAAACCGTATCGGGCTGGTTTGAAACGGAGAGAAACGACAGAATTGCCAAACATGCCATGGCTCAGGCGACCTGGCGAGAGAAGTTCTGCGTTGCCGCCAGACTCTATGGGCGAGAAGATGCTGCCGATCATGACGTTGCCATGGAACTACAAACGATGCGAGACCTCGCCTTGGAGCAATAATCGGGGCCAGTTACTCCCGTTGAAGCTATCTATCGGACGAAGAGTCAAGGTGTATTAGAGAACAGTCAGTAATGTCTCAGACGGATGCTCATCACCCGCCACTATACGGGCATCAAGAAGCAAGGGGTGCCCCGGGAAGGCTGTTACATCATCAGGTTACCTATTGTTGGCGAATACTGTATACCTATGGAGTTGAGATCACTCCACGGAATGAACTGTGGCTGGCAATTTGGGGAGGATCCATAACCTGAGTTGATAGTTCTAGTCTATATTGTAATTCCAAAACTTTTTATTTAGATACACCATTCGTCTTCTTCTCGACTGCCCCAATTAATTCTCTCCCGTTGTTAACCGTGGATTTTGCAAGGTTCGCAATGGCCCACACATCAAACATGGTCACGATTACTCGGTGGCCTGACTCTACCATCATGGGAATCATCTCTGGAGCCAGAGCGCCACTATTATGTATGTGTTAGCCCATGCAACAGTAGTATTCGTTTGTACTGTACAAGGGGGTTAAACTTACCCAACAAGTGGAATGTTGTATTTCTTGCTGGCCTTTGACATGCTCTCCATAGCAGAAGCCAAGACGGGATGGGGAGGGCCTCCCAAGACCATGGGCACTCTTGCATCGGCCATGAAGTCGCCGGGTCCGAACATGAGCGCTGCGACGCCGGGTATTGAGGCAATCTCCTCGACGTTTGCAATGCCCTTTACGCTTTCGATCTGGGGGATGATGGCGATGTGGTTGTTGGAAGTCTTCATGTTGAAGGCATCTTCCGGGTATAGAGAGAGATCTGAGATGCCGGGAGTAAAGGTCCATGGGCTGAATGAACGGGCTCCGACAGGGGCTGTATATTTGTGTGTAAGCTCAACTGGCTCCAAGGCTTTCCTTCTTTTCCTTTACAAGTGGGCTGTTGATACTTACGGTAGTACATCTTCTGCATAAATTCCTCTACCTCCTCCTTGGTCTCGCAGTGGGGGATGATGATGCCAGATGCACCAGCGTCCAGCGCTGTAGATAGTGCAATCTCATCTTCTTTTGGTACTCTCACAATGACTAGTGTCTCGCCCTCAGAGTGGTGCTGGGCGGCGTGAATAGCGCTATGCTTGGTCAACACTCTCGTCTCGTCAAACGTTTTATGGGATCCTGTATCATACTCGTTGAGGGTTGAGCGATCATACATGCCGTGCTCAACATCCATCCAAATAAAGTCCGGTTTGGCGGAAGCCAAGACCTTTGTCAGGGTGGTGCTGGCAATGCCCTGGGCGACACCGAAAAGGGTCTTTTTGGAATCCTCCTGAGCATCTTTCAGAGCTTGCTTGAGGTTTCCAGGATAGGTCAAGAGCGCCGCACGATATTTGGCGCGCGAGTGTAAGTTGGTTTGGTTGAGGAATCCTTCGCCAGACATGTTGGATAAGCAGTTGCGATGATGATTGAGCTTAAAAGATGTGATGAGGTGTGTAAACTTGAAGGATGGTAGAAAAGGTTCAGGGGGAAGCTCTGAGTTTAATACTTACTCCTGTTCTCTCATTATATAGACTTTGGTACTCCGTACTATTGGTGGAGCTGGGGCTCTCCGCTGGGTATCTCCGATCTAACGTCTCCGCCTCATCAGACGGCCGCTGGGCAGATTATGTGAGACAAAAGTTATCATAGTACAGAGTCGACTCAGGGCTAGCCGGATTTTGTAGCGTCAACATGTGCTATGTCCGGAGACTGGGACATGGTATTAGACCGCTTCATGGATTGGGTAAGTCTTCCGGAACACAAGGTTGCCAAGACGGGATAACTGACAGTGTAACACTGCGTGATCAAATCAATCTCTGAGCAACCGTCGAAGAAGTCATTCAGACGTAAAGCAAATACACGGGGACGCAACGATTAGCTATGCACCGTTGACGAACTGCATTCTCTAGCTGTCATCGAAAGCTGCTATTCTGGAGCTGGAGGCTCTCTAGTTGGTTCCACTTTTAGGATCTAACTTTGCAGCGTCAAACTTGATTACCGGAAGTGGAACTAGCTGGCATACGAAGGAAATATTTGCTAACAATGCCAACGGAGACTATCCCATTAGTTCTCACTTGTCAATGCCTGAAGGAAGCTTGTTCAGAGCGAGTCAGTGTTGGTGCTTATCCTGTATCCACCGCATCCCAGATTTAGCATTTCAACAACGAAGCCCTCTGCTTCCCCTATCAACAGCCTTCACCGTACACCGTTACGTATATCTCTCTCTTCAAGGGGTCCGTCTGCCCAAAGTCCGAAACAAAGGCTGAGTCATGAGCTCCGTACTTGATAGGCCAATCACAACTGATACGCTCGAAAGATACTGTCGTATTCGGTGTTGATACGACTCCGAGGCGGATCGGAGAAGAGCTGCTTCGCTGTCCGCAGTCGCTGTCCGCAGGTGCACGCGATGCGTATCTGCGGGTGTTGTGCGCCGATTAGGTAGTATTTGAATTGTGATCAACGTGATGATGTATCATAAGTTATGTAATCGAGATACAGCCTCAACTTTGATGTTGCATGCCGAGTTCAACGGATGCGAGTTATATTAAGAAAAAAAAAAAAAACCGCTATTCCTCGGAAAAATGTCCGTTTTGAGGCATTATGCGTCGCAGATACTAAACAGATACTGCCGTTTGGAACAGGGAAAAGGGGCATCATGCGGCGCTGCTGGATCTGGTGTTACCGCGGATGGGGCAGCAATTGTGTCGTAAGGCATTCTTTGATGCCGCTGTTAGGGGCACGTAGGATTGCAGATGGCCAGGGTTGTAAGAAAGTAAAATTTTCGGCTATCGTTTATCGGTCATCGTTTCGTCGTTTAGGCTGCCTAGCTGTATTACTTATCTATTCTTCGACAAATCGAACTAGTGTCTGTGAGTTTTGTTCAACGAAATTGATCAATAGACTTCTACTACCAACAAAAATCCAAACAAAAGTGCCAACAAATTCATATACGTTTATATTTATCAAAGAATTGACCAGTAAAAGGATGTAGTTGAAGGAACTAGCAGTAGTAGCTAACTCCTTAGTTACTGCACCGTAATCTTTTAGTAGGCAATCTCTTTCTCCTAGTTCCCAGCCTACTGCACGCAGGATTTACCAATGGACTATTTTGTACTTATGTCGCGACAAGGCGGGCACTGAATTTGACCAACAATTCCTATTCATTGACCCAAATCTGATATATAATTGCCACTATATTTAGTATCTGGGCAGTTCTATAACATCTCCAGGCATTGTACTAGTGTCATGTCTCCTAAAGCTATTATTGTAAAAGCTTACGAAAGCTTACGGAAGCACGTCGCAGCTCTTTTGGTGGAAAATAGTATACAACGTTTAAAGAGCAGGATACTTAATACTTTCATGTAGGAATCTGCTTAGCTTCTAGAAAGCTCGAATAGTTAAATACACTGTAGGCTATGTGATCTATGCAAATATAGATAGGTAGCTGCAACTACTCCAACGAGGCCATCCTCTCTAGACTTTCCTTAATGTCCTTAGCTAGGATGCTACACTGTTCTAGAACAATAGTATATCGATGATTCCAAAGGCTGCATGCAACCTCCATACATGTCCAGGCGCACGAAGTCTATCAGCAGATTTTAAGATTAGGCACTATTGTTGGGCAAATAAGAAGCTTACTCACTATGATGGTGCGCTATTATGGATTAGTCGTTCAAATTGACTATCCAAGATTTGTTGTTCAAGATTATTTATTCAAGATTTGTTATTCAGGATTATTTATCTAGGATTATTGATCGAAAAACTATTCGGTAACGATTAGTTATGATAGCTGGTCCATTTCCATATTCGGAATAAGCAATCGCTTAATATTACTCTAGTCTATGATCGCCAACCTGCCTTAAGGCAGCTAAATGACTTTTGTTGATAGTGCACGATATTTGTATCGAATTAAGCATGGAGAACATTTATCACCGACGTTTTATGGACATTAATGGCCTTGCGGAGCTACGTGCATGGACTCGCTTTCTCTAAACCTGATGATGCTAATAAATTGGCCAGTTTATTCGAGTGGATCGACCGTAAGGGTGCTGTTTCCTCAGATGCAAATTATTGAAACGCGTGTCCGCTCTTAATTCTCTGCTCTCTTGACTTTAACTGGCAGCGATATCCGGCCACATGCGAATGGAGCATCACCATGGACTATCTTGTCACCTCATGTCCATATTTAGAGGTCAAAGCCTTGGGGGATCCATTTCTCGCGGCGTTGTGTATAATTTTGAATCCACTGTTGGAGAACCATCTCACCGTCCTAGAGCTTCATCTTATTAGAAACAAGTTTATCTCGAGCATCATGGCTTGCTGCAAGCTGGCGTCGCTCGACATCCACGGCTATTTTCCAGCTTTCCGGGGGTGTAATCTCAATGCCCCACTACCACATCAGGAAAAAACAAAACACCACTCAAGATACCATTCAAAACACCGGGCACTCAAAGATCCGCTAATAACACAACATCAACCCACAACGCGTTGTTGCTCCTCACTCAATTATACACCAGAGTACTTTTGTAAGGCTGCGTCGAAACACAAACTACATCGAATGCAAAATGGCTGCTCGAAAACGTCCCTTGAGTGGCGTTGCCGCACAAGATGCACCAGCGCCGAAGATGGCCAAGGCAGACACCAACAACAGCTGGCGAGATTTGTACGAGCTCGAGGTCAAAGCTCCCTCGTTGGATGAGGCTACCCAAGATGATTGGAAGACGCTGGCCTCAGCGCATCTCAAGATACATACCGTCATCAACGGCAATCCAACGCCGCAGTTGACGGACCAGCAACGAATAATCTACGGCAACGTCAACGACCACCACATACCGGAGACGGGCAATCTTGACTGTATAGGATCGTGCTCCGGTGTACTGATTAAACGTGATAATATAAGATACATATTCCGCTCTACTATCGGTGAGGCGGGTGAAGAAGCTTTGGTCATGGGATTCGGCCAGTTTGATGATTGCGGGCGACTCAAGCCTGTCTTCAAAAGGGGTTCTGTTCGATCCGGTTCGCCTTTGTGCCTGGGGATACGCGGCATGCATGTCACTCTCTGCCTGCTGATGAGGATCTCGATCCGCCCCGACCAACTTCAGCTCGTATGCCCAACATCGTCTTCAGGGCACTACTAGAAGCATTTGATGCCGCTGAAAACGATGCTGCTCGGTTGGAGTTGACTCAGGCGGCTCTCGATTCCTATGGGCCGGAGGAAGACATCTGGATTTCGGCTGACAGAAAAGGCAATACATTGTTGCATTACGCAGCGATTTCTGGAGACCTCACATGCGTTAAATGGATCATGGAGAAATGTCCACGCTTGGTCACAGCTCGGAATCACCAGAGGAATACGCCACTCGATGAGTTCCAAACACATCTCGAAGTCATCCGCACTCAGCAGAAGTGGGGGACGAAAACTGTCGCGGTTTCAGACAAGTTTACAGGCTACTCGCAGCCACATGTGGAAATGCTCTGTACTTTGCAAGGATTGAGCAATCTATCACTGGAAGAGTTGTTACGGCTCAAGTACGGCTGCACGTGCGGACAGTGTCAAGAGGGCTTCCTCAGCCCGCGGATGCGTTTTACGCTTGCCCAGACCGCGGATGATGCCGCGGCCATGGTCAGTGATGAGTGCACCTGGATCGATGGGAAATTGTTTTTGAAAAAGTACGAGCGCTATCTAATGTACCTGCGACCCAGGGTGTACGACGAGATGCGCACAAGCTCGGATGTAAGACTAGGATTCCTCAGTTTGTTCAGTCACTTTGCCCTGTGTCTGCGGGACAGCACGGAGCCTCCTCACGAGCTCAAAGTCCTCGAGATGGTCATATCAACGAAGGAGGAGGAAGAGTCAACCATGGCCAAGCATTATCTCGACTTTGGTGGCACGGTCGAGGCTGTGGGCTCTGCCCTCTTCAGGGACGCCTTGACTAATTCTACCGGGATTGCAAGTATCTGGGGTATCTTTGAAAGTCGATTAAGAGCAGTACCAGCTTGCCGCAATGATGAAGAATTTGGATTCGTGAGCGGCATGTGTGGTTACGAGCGTGTCCGCCGGGGCCAGTGCTTGTCAGCAACTGGGCATTTCCTGGGTGAATACGATTTCTAACGCCACAGATCATACAAGACTCACGTGCAGGCAGTTTTCTCTCTCTCGTGTGTTCCTCATATTTACCCCCGTCTTCCGATTACTTGGCTGTGTGGTTATTATTGCTCTCGTACTGGGCAGTAACCAGTCACCACTCTCGCAAACCAAGTGCAGATTAGATGGTACCCACACTGCGTCTTTCATGACTACCAAAACAAAGATTAATGAGTAACGTCACATACATGTACGGAATCATGATGGAGAACGGCGATATAGTTTGGGATCGAAAACTTGAATGGTGCGGGCTTATACATTATGATTCCGACAACCCTGGAGTTGCACAAAGACGGATCGATAGATGTGGCTTCCTTTTCCTCGCCAGCATCACAATATACCATGCATTGAGATGATTCGAAATATCCACTCAATGAAAGACTACTGGGTATTTAAAATATTTTATAGATATTGTGGAAATGGATAGCATGATGAGATTCAAGCAGCTTGTTGGCAACAGAACGCAAGTGTACAGAAGTGAATGTTTCATTAAGAGCTACCCGCAGTGTCCTATGTATGCCTGGTGTATTATAACTTAGGTGGTAGGGAAACTAGACTCAATAATTGAGACCGCTAGCAAAGATTATGGGAGTGCGAAGGATGCGACAATGGGGCAAGTGAAGATAGTGAGTGGCGCATAGGTGGTTTAAGCCTCGCATTATAGCAATGCAATACATATAGGTGGTGAGGTCACATCACACGATTCCTTCGAGTACCCAAGTATATGTATGCAGACCTATAAACTCGGAATACCTAGCCCCAACTCAGATCCTAGATAATTCATCGTCGAGTATCATCCTACGTTACAATTGCTCTATAGTCGTGACGCTACGAGACTCCTCCGTTGGATCCGTGGCATAGTCCCTATTCCTCAGAGTGGCCATTGTCTCTCCTGCAGCTAATGCCAATCAGCACTAGGATGAAATCAACACTCTGCAGCTCGGCATTAGAGCAACATTCGGCATTAAAAGAGCCAAGTTTCACCACAAAATAGGTTGTCAGGGGAAGTCGACTGGGCTCCCCTGGTCAATAACAGCGATCATGCCTAAGCGGGCTAGACAATGGCCTAGGCAGGCGAGATTTCAAGGCAGCAACGTTTGACCAAAGAGCTGCTAATGCGTAGCATCATGCAGCGGAAATATAATAGTTTCCTTGATGTTTGCAACATATGGCTATTGTTTCAATTACTCACGCATTCCAGTTAAGGCGACCAAACGGTTTGGACTAGACGCGAGACACAGAGTTATACCAGCACCAGCCCAAATCAATTGATTTGTTGGTAACATTAACGATTGTTCAAATTTCCAAAATTCGCATTCGACTACAGCTTATGCAAGTTGGATCCAAGTTGTTGGAGTTGTGCCAATTCGGCTGTGGCATCTGCAGTGTGTGGCGGGGTGCGTTTCGCGTTTCGCGACTCGCTATTTTGGAATGCGCCATGACACCAAACATCTGTAAACGATTCTTTAACTCTACTTCGCTGTGGGCTGCTAAGACAAAGAGAATGCTAGTTCTGGCCCCTTAACATATAGCTTGGAAGCCATTGGCCAAGTCTGGAGTAAATCTCTCAAAGAGGAAGTTCAAACAAGCTCTGGCTCCTCTTGGTGGCGCGGAACATGCATCTTGATCCTTCTCGTCGCCAAGTAGGCTAAGAGCACCACTGCCGAGACTGGTCGCTATACAGATTGGGTATTGGCGTATCTTGAAAGCGTCATGCGGATTTGTTTCCACCGATGGAGGGCCGAATGGGCTTCCAAATCATCATGGGATGTATAAGATGGCCGTCTCCCTCGAGTATGAAGCGAATAACCACACACACTACCGGCTTGACATAGTCTGCTTGTATCTTCAAAATGAAGGGTTTCGTCATTGCTTCGGCTCTGGGCATGGCTGCGGCCGCCCCCAATGTAGCTGTTCCCTATGCCAACACAGCTCCCTCAGCCAACATCACTCTCGAGAATATCCGACAGATTGACATGACCTTGGCTGGAGGCCGACCCAGCAAACGAACGCTTCACGGCCCCTTCATGGGTGACTTCCCCGACCCCTCGATTATCTGGGGTGATGGATCTTGGAAGGCATATGCAACTTCGTCACAAGGGAAGCACGTCCCTGTTGCTGTATCCAACGATGGCCTCACCGGCTGGACGCTGCAGTCACAGGATGCGCTGCCCAACACTGGATGGGCTAATGCTGGCGCTGGTATCTGGGCCCCGGACGTTCAGAAGAATGTGAGCAATAACTGCTGGCTACCAAGAATGACATGTAAATGCTAATGCTTTGACAGGACGCTGGAACCTATGTCATGTACTTTACCGGCACGAACAGCAACGGTGCCCATTGCATCGGCGCTGCCACATCAAATGCCGCCGCCGGTCCCTTCACCCCTACGGCAAGCCCTCTGATCTGCGATGATGCCAACGGCGGTGTCATTGACCCTTCGGGCTACGACGATGGCGTCAACCGTTGGATCCTGTGGAAGGTTGACGGCAACAGCAAAGGTGGTGCTACCACCTGCCAGGGCGGCAAGCCTTCGGGCTCTTATATGTCAACGCCTATCAAGATCCAGCGCGTGGCTCGCGATGCTTTGACGCTGCTGGATAGCCCCAGCACGATCCTCGATAACCAGGGAGCTGCCAACGACGGTGTTGTCGAGGCCCCCGTCATTTACAAGATTGCCAACAACAACTACGTTCTCTTTTACAGCGCTCACTGCTACTCGAGCGACGACTATGACATCGAGTACGCCTTTTCATCGACAATCAACGGAGCTTACACCAACCGTGGCATCTTGGCCAGGACCATCTCCAACCTCGGCATCTACGGTCCCGGCGGCTTGGATCTCGACCCCAACGGCGTCAATGTTGTCTTCCACGGCCGAACTACCGCCAACACTCCCAACGCTGCAAGAAACCTGTACACTGCCAACCTTGCCATCAACGCCAACCATGCCATTACTGGCGCCAACTGGTAAAGGGCGGCTCACCCCATGGGGAGAACAATTTTTGTCTTTCGCTCAAGAGGAGACTTGCAAAGAACCAGTCCTCAATTCCTGTGAATGCTTGGCTTCTGTTGTACATATAACGCATATGCAAATGTATATGGTGGATGATGAAATTGGATGATGATAAATGTTGTATATGAAAATGTTGAAGATTGAATATATGCCTTCATGATGTTTGAGTCAGAGTTTCAATTAGCTAATCTTTCCATTGAAATCACTCAAAGGCCATGCACTAATTTGATAACCCTGATCTATCTCGCCAAGATTCTGCTGCTTTTTACTAACATGATGTCTAGCGACCTATAGATTTCTTATGCCACGGAATGGCCGTAATTTCAGTAAAGGAGGTGAAAAGCCCACCACACTTCCCTCTATCATGGCCAAGTTAACCAAGCTAATGGTATCTCACTCCAGCTACTTGCAAACCATGACAAGGAGTATATTGATATTGCGCTTTTTGTTCGAGCCCTGGTGGGTTTTGTCTCAATTGTTAAGCATGAAATGAGTGAATTCTAATAGCTTGTTGAATAGGTTTGCTTTGGCGTCCCGGACTTATCCCATGGTCCTGGCTGGGATGATATGCTCTCACAGCTGATGTCGGAAACAAGCCCATCTGATACTCACGGCAAGGTAGTTTTCACAGAAGTGTCACAGAGTCGACTTGCAAGAAAGAATGTCTCCTGAATAACGAGCAACTTGGTCGAGAACCTGGAATTACGACCATATATGGGTGCGCGGGATCCGGAAAATCTGATGACGGTGCTGGAACTGGAGCTGGTGATGAAAATGACTATTGGCTGAGCGATGCGGTTATCGAGGCCTCAAGGTTTGGCAGCACAGCCGTTATACGCCTTCTCACGCCTTATGCAGATCTTCAGTATGGAACAGGATGGCACAAACTCACAGCCCTGCATCACGCAGCTCTAGGCAAGTGCAGCTATCTTGGCACTTGTTTACGAAAGTCTGAAAGTCTTTGCTCATGAGCTAACAAGCAAACTGATGTGTAAGAGACAGAACCGAAGCACTACAGCAACTCTTGGATCAAGGAGCGGACGTTGACTCCAAAGACAATCAAGATGCTACGTCACTACTGCTGGCCTGTCTTGAAGGCCGTGAGAGGTCTGTCCAGGTATTATCAGACCAAGGGGCCGATCCAGACCACGTTGCGATTAGATTAGCAAGATATCGCGCCCTTCATGTAGCAGCTCGCAATGGTAACAGGCCAATTATCCGAATGCTACTGGGGGATGGAGCTTCAATAAATGCTAAACTCGCTGCGCCTAACAGCGATACTCCTCTACACCCTTGCGGTATCAAAATACAAAGGGGAAAAGCGGTACCTGGAGGCGGCCAGAATCCTTCTTGAGTTTAGCGCCGACGCCAACGTCACGAATGGCCACCACAGATCCCCGTTACATACAGCTATTTACCTAAGAAGCCAGTGTGAAGATATGATACAGCTTCTTCTGGATTTGGGTGATGAGGTGGATGAAAGTGAAGAGTCTGCTTCGCACTATTCGGACCTTCTTTCAGCATATCGGTGGTCTCAGGCCCAGGATAGTACAATTGTTGGCCAAGAATAATCACGTCTGGTCAACGACTTATCCGGGATGGACTGAGTCTAAAGCAGCCACGATTCGTCTATTAAAGTTTAGGATGGTGACCTCAAAATGTTGTAATAGAGACACTTGTGGGTATGAAATAGCCTTTCAAGAATAAAAAAGGAGGGCGTGCTTGATTGTGCTCAGTAACTGTACACGAGAGACGCGTTGGTACCGTAATTACCGTAATTACCTGCATCCAGATGAACATTTTCCAAGAGTACATGAATGTTGATTTGTGTCTAGGTAGTGATGGTCGGGGGAGAAACCATACGACACGTACAGATTATCAAGAACTACCTAGGTGAACTGTCTAATAAATCTGCACAAATATGACATGTTCTGTATCTGTTCTTCTTATTTCTTCTTCTTATCTGTTCTTCTTCTTTTATGCGCTATTAAAAGCATTGATGGCCGCAGCTGGATTGAGTGTTTACGATGGAGTCATTATAAAACCTTATCCAAGGCTTGTGTCCCATTAAGAGGCGGAGTCACATGTATCTACACAGTTTACAAAGGCAAGCTGCCGACTCAATAATCAATGCCAATCAACTTTCCAAATTCCCGTCACCTAACATCACATACTCTGGTCGGAGGAGAGCTGCATTCTTCACTGCCATGCGTCCGTACATTTATATTAGCGGAGGTCCAAACAGTGACGAGCGGGCTATTGCCCATGAACTGGCGAGATTTGTACCCAACTCCAAGGTTTGCCACAACCGTTTACTCAAAGATCACATTGGCCCGTTGGTTGGTCGCAGCTCGCCACACTATCAATATATACAAAGGAGCTTTCGACGTCATGTGCTAAACACCATTGCCACATCCGAAGCAACAGCGCCATTCGCATGGATTTTCACCGATTGTCGATCTTCAGACACGATTGGCAGAACGAGCGCTCGAGATTGTAAAGATGCTGCTAATCTACGCGGAACGTTATTCATTCCTATCATCCTTCACCGTGGGGGGGCGGAGGATGTGGTGCAACAAGGGATCAGAGATAGGGGCGTTGGCAACACTGAACTCACAGATCCAGAGGCTTTGGAAACGATGAGGCTAGAGGAAGAGGTCTATGCAGTTGGAGGGCCAAATGCGCTGAGACTGGATGTGAGCTGGTTAACGGCACAAGAAGCTGCAGAAAGGATATACGACCACGTTGTTGAGGTTTCCGCCGGACACTAGGCCTAGATGACTGTTATCGGGTCCATGGTATTAATATCAATTGCTATATTAATCGCCCTAGAGAATCGAGCTCAATCTGCCCCCACTACGCCGAGCGTGTAAGTCAGCAGCGCGGGCAGTGGCAGGTCATGAAGCCTTGTACAAAGAGGGCATCTTGCATCGCGATATATCCATGAACAACTTGATGATTAAATAGCGACCGGAGTAATCTCTCCTTGCTAGGGCTTTTTAATCGACCTCGATCACGCAGTACAGGTTTGAACAATGGAATCATGAGCGGGACCCTGAACTTGTAGCTACGATTCAACTTGGTGTCATTGCAGAGGATTCCTTTGATCGCACTTTGGAGACTTATTGCACCGAATACTACAAGCCACTCATCCCATGTGTGCGCAATCTGTGGAAGATGGTCTTTCCAGGCGGGAAGAAGTGGAAGAAGCAAGATTTGCAATTGTATGGATTGGTACAAGATGTTTTGCGCAAGGCTCAGAATAGTCTGACGCGGGATGAGTAAAATAGGTACATGTATAGTCGTCTGTACAAACCCAAGTATGTTGGTCTACCTACTAACAAATAATATTGAACTTGTCACTCTAAAACCCTGCCGGCCAAGCACCTGCTGTGCGCAGTAAACATGACAGACATGGGTTTTGTCGACAACTTTGCAAAACACTACTTTCAGGTAGGCTTGGGCGGATGTAAGGCGTCATCGGGCCAAGGACCGAGTAAAGATGCGAGAGAGCCAGGCCCAAAGCCTCATTCGTATACATGTAGATGGCACCCTGAGCGCTCTGAAGAATTTCAACGTCCTGAGGAGGTACTCCTTGGCCTCTTTCTTCACGGGCTTTACGTGAGCAAATATCCGGCTTGGTGGGTGAACTCTTTGCGTTTCGCTTAGTGTTAGTGTTAGTTGGGTGAGGCAGCCTTTGAACACGGTCCTTTTGCAGACTGGAATGTCGTTGGTTCCGCATTCTTCGTAGCCGTTGGTTACCACTCGCCTAGTCATGCGATTTTGCTCTCTTGAAATAAGTGGTGTAAACGAACATTCATTCTTCCGGCCCAGTTCTGGCAGCTTCCTTGCAAGATGGTTATTCGATATTCTTTGATACTGCAGCCTGGATGACTGCGCTAATCTAGCATCTTTAAGTGATGGCAGCTGCATGAATATGTGCAAAGCACAGGTGTATTGAGCAGTCCGTCTCGAGTAAGTGTACGTGATTGCTGATAGCAAGTAATCACTCCTCATCTCAATATCTATGTGGCAGGAACATGATATTATAGTCCAACTTTTTAAAAGTATAATTATAATATATATTATAAAAGCTTTTATAGGCAAGAGCTCCTATAAGCTGTTGTAGAGGGAGTACTAACTTAGGTTCAATGCTACTAGTATTGCAGATCTCTTTGGTGGTTGGCGCAGTGGTGCATCCTCTCACCCTGTTATGTACACTTTGATACGTATGTTATGTTATTGTTTTCTTCCCTCTGTTTTCGCGCATATTACATCTTTTTCTCGCAGCATTGCACAATTTGTTTCCTTAGCTGTCTCATCATGGAAAGCAAGATACTTGCAGCTGGGCAAAACTTCTTCACAGGGCTGTGCACCCTGTAACGCTCCAGGCTTTCTCAAACACGCGCAGTCCGCTTTGATGAAATACCGATTGCAACGCCGAATCTCGACTTGGCGCGAGATTCAAAGCGTCACCCACCAACCGGGTATATCCATCGGCATAATTTACAACGGAGATGAGATCCTCAAACACAACATGGGGGTCATGGATATCGCGACCAAAAGGGAACCAAATAGCGATACTTTATACTGCATCGCCTCTTTATCAAAAGCATTCATGGCGGAGTCGATAGAGCTTCTCATCAGCGACGGCCACATCACATGGGATACCACTGTCCAATCCGTGATTCCCGAGTTCAAGCAGCATGAAGATGCTCAACAGTTCTCGAAACCGACCTTGCGCGACATCTGTTCCCACCGTACCGGTCTGATCGGCTTGGACGAAATCACCCAAGGACTGAATGGGAGAATCCTCATCCCTAAAAAGGATGTGGTCAAAGTCTGTAGCGCAATGCCTATCAAGCATGCGTTCCGGACCAAATTTCATTACAACAATGGCTTGTACGAACTTGCAGGCTGCGTCGTCGAACGTCTCTCGCGCTCTCCTACCTGGGGCCATTTTCAGAACGATCGTATATTCACTCCGCTACAAATGACCAGGACCACGGCGTTTAGATCTGTCCACGAAACCGACAGTAACATAGCGAAATCCTATATGATACTAGAAACTGGCGAGCCACAATATATTCCACCGACAGAGTTGTCCGCCGACTCTATGAATGGCGGTTCGGGTGGCATAAGGAGCTCTGTGAATGATCTTCTGAAGTGGTGCTCGTATCAATTGAACAAGTCGACACATACCTCGGTTTTTAACAGAGCCATTATTGCCGATTCCCAATATCCTCCGGACGGTGACTATTGCACAGGCTGGTGCTATCATCAAACACCAGCCAAGCTTGGACTGATATCGCCAAACAGGGCCCTGGAGTCTCCGGTGGTGGGCTTGAAATCTTCATCTCTTGTCATTTACAGTCATCAAGGCGATGTCCCAGGATATACATGCAACCTCTTTATCATTCCCAGCGCCCAGGCAGCCGTTGTAGTCTTGTCTAATGGAACCGGGCTAGGGGATGCTACCGATTGGATTGCACAAGACATTATTCAAACCATGTTTAAACTCAAGCCAAAGGTAGACATGGTCAAAGCTGCTCGGAAGGCTGCAACAAAGTATCGCGATTACTACCACGAGAATTTCGAACAGCCGCTGAAAAGACACCAGCAGATAGACCTAAAGCCTGTGCCTCTGGACGAATTCGATGGTACCTATGTAATGAAGAACCTGGACATCGCCACGCTCCGGATGACTGCCACGACTGAAAAGTCAGAGAGACTGCAAATGATGGTCAATGGTCAGGCCGACCAGGTTTGGAAGATGGGGTATTATGCAGATGATACATTCTGTCACTTGCCAGATACCTACAATGAATGTCTTGCAAAGGGAATTAGCAGAACGAAGTGGGATTCATTTCTCATTACTTTTAATCGAGATGAAAAAGGAAAGATTGATGGCTGCTCGTGGAAATTAGATGGGATAAATGTAGTTTTCAATCGAGTTTGAATAGAGTTTAATTGGCGATACAACGAGGAACAGTATTATGATGTACAATATCTATTACAAGTTGGCCCCGTTGAGCTATTTGCTGGCTTGTTTTATACGGAGGATGAGCCCCTGGTTCTTGCAAGTATGGAATTGCTCCCGGTATTTGGCGTTGGCTGGTATCGCAAGGAGCTTTCGGTATCCCAGAATGACGTGGGCAAGACTTTCTACTTGGATATTGATGGCGCACAATCCTATGCCATTGTCTGGCTTAATGGGCAGATTGTTGGTGGCTGGCCCTACGGATATGCCTCGTTCCGTCTAGATCTCACGCCGTATGTAAAGGCTGGGGAGAACCAGCTCGCTATTCGACTTGACAATCCGAATGAATCATCGCGGTGGTACCCAGGTGGAGGCATTTATAGAAATGTATGGCTCACAACCGTCGAATCTACACACGTGGCGCAATACGGCACTTTCATCACATCTCGGGATGTGTCAACGCAATTAGCGACCCTTGACTTGACATTGGAGGTGCAGAATACCGGCAAGCAAAGTAGCAATGTAGAGGCTATAACCAAGGTTTACCAAATCAATGCAAGAACCAGAAGCCTGGGAGAAAAGGTAGCCGAATTTCCCACGTCCAAAATACGAGTGATCTCTGGTGGAATAGAGTCGGTCAATGTGACTACTTCTATAAGTCGGCCGCAGCTTTGGGGACCACCTCCCACGCAGACGCCCAACCTATATGTTGCTGTCACGCAACTCATCACTGACGGACAAGTGATCGATACATACGAGACGCGTTTTGGCATCCGAACGTTCGAGTATAGTGGCGACAAGGGGCTTTTGGTCAATGGAAGGCATGTGCCTGTGCAAGGAACGGATCAGCATCATGATCTTGGAGCTTTGGGAGCCGCCTACAATCATCGCGCTGCTCAGCGTCATCTTGAAATCCTGCAAAGTGTTGGTTCAAACGCAATTCGCATGTCTCATAACCCGCCTGCGCCAGATCTCCTGGACTTGACTAACGAAATGGGTTTCATGATCTTGGATGAAATTTTCGATTGCTGGGAGCTTGGTAAAGTCACCAACGACTTTCATCTTATTTTCCCAGACTGGCATGAGGCAGATCTGCGGTCTTTCATCCGGCGTGATCGCAACCACCCGTCTATCTTCAGTTGGAGCTTTGGCAATGAAGTCGGTGAACAGCAAACAGGCCAGAACGGAACGGACCTGGCTCAGGCACTCATCGATATTGTGCACCAGGAGGACTCGACGCGCCTGGCGACGACAGCCATGAACTCGGCCAAGCCGAATCAGCCATTTGCCGCGATACCAGACATCATAAGCCCAAACTACCAAGGAGAGGGCATCCGCGATACTGCCGACTACTCTCAACTGGCAGGCATTGCAACGCCTCCTTTATTCCCAGCGTTTCATGGAAACTTTTCTTCCAAAATGCTTCAGCACAGTGAGAGCACATCTGCTTTTAGTTCGCGAGGCGTTTTCATCTTTCCGGTCCTAGAACAAGGCGACAGTGCTCCCGTGAACGACTCTTCTGGAGGGAACTCGACTATTTTCCAAGTCAGTGCCTATGAGCTGTACAGCGCCGATTTTGGATCATCCGCAGACAAGGCATTCAGATCCCTGGATGAGAATCCGTATGTCGCAGGAGAGTTTGTTTGGACCGGCTGGGACTACCTGGGCGAGCCCACGCCATATAACGTCCGAAGCTCTTACTCGGGCATGATAGATTTAGCAGGATTTCCGAAAGAGCGCTTCTATCTGTATCAGTCACGCTGGAAGCCGGACCTGGCCATGGCCCATATTCTCCCTCACTGGAACTGGCCAGACCGCGTAGGCAAAGTGACTCCTATTCACGTCTTCTCCTCTGGCGACGAGGCCGAGCTTTTCGTAAATGGGAAATCCCAAGGCCGCCAGAAAAAGGAGGATCTCACGTACCGTTTCCGATGGGACCATGTCATTTACCAACCCGGCGAGGTACATGTAGTTGCTTACAAGAATGGCCGACAGTGGGCAACAGATACGATACGAACAACAGGAGAGCCGGTAGCGCTGCGCTTACAAGCTGATCGCTCTGTATTCAGTGCTGACGGCGTCGACTTGTCATTCATCAGCGTCGAAGTCGTTGACAATAGGGGAGATGTAGTTCCCCAGGCGGCCAATAGTATCCATTTCAGCGTCAGCGGAGTTGGACAGCTTGTCGCTACTGATAACGGTGACGCCTCTGACTACACGCCGTTCCCGTCAGCAGAACGACGGGCATTCAGTGGACGAGCCTTGGCTATTGTGAAAGGGGTGAATAACAAAAGGGGCGAGGTGGTTGTCAAGGCCGTTGCCAAGGGGCTGAAGTCTGATGAAATGATAGTCCGTACTAGATAGATGGTAAATATGTTGCAAGAGACTATGCCATACTATTATTGCAAGTATACGCTGCAGCTGGATGCTTTGTGTTGAGCAATACGTAATTAGGGGAATAGTTGAGAAGACGATGGAGTCGAGACGAGAATAACATTAGTGCAATATAATATATTCCTAATAGATTTTACCAGCATCGGACGCTTGTATAGTATGTCTCTCTGCATCTTGATCTTGCTCTTAATCTACCTAAGTCATCTGTTACGATACATCGGTACTAGAAGAGATGGGCGAGAACAGGAGATCCCCTTATAGAGTATCAGACTAATAACAGAAATAAAGTTCGCTAGCTGCTAGCAGTTGATTAAACCTTCCCAAGACTCACATTCAATAGCAATGATGTTGATGAGAAAAGAGCTTGTCATCTAATTATTTACGGTTCTTCCTCTTGCTAGATTTCTTCGACTTGGGCGGAGGCGGGGCTTCCTCCTCTGATTCGCTCTCGCCCTCGCCACTGCTTGATGATGCTTCTTCCTCAGCCCTTGAGTTTTCACTACTTTCGTCAGAAGATTGTGGAGATTGATTCTGTTTCTTTTTCTGCTTAAGCTTGGTCGTCACCTTCGAAGAGTTGTTCTTTCGCCTGCTCTTAGTTGAATCTTTATCAAGCCCATTGCGGATATCATCCCGTCGAAGTTCGTTCGTCTGTGCCCTGGCCTCATCCGTGCCACGAACCTTCATTAGATACTGATCAAAATGAGCGCTAGCCTTAGCAACGGTCTTGAAGTGAGTTGGCATAAGCATTGGGCCAAGAGAGTGCGGATCGCCGTTCGTGAGCCGATAATAGTCCCAATCAGCGAGCGCAATTGCAGTTTGGAAGGCGTTCTTAATCTGCCGACCATTCCAGCGTGATCCCTCGTCACTGGACTCCCAGTGCTTCTCAGCGTAATCTTCAATCTCCCTGCGATTAAATCGAATACGTTTTGACGGGTCAGACGTCGCTTTATTACGCTCATCTATCATATCGATGTTCATCTTCCAAATCTTGAGACTTTGCTTCTCATCAAGCGGAGCATAGTACAGGGCACAGTGAACGCGAGACTTGATAGCTTCGTCGAAAGAGCCGACACGGTTGGTTGTGAGGATGAGAATACCCGAATAATACTCGAGAACTCTAAGAAAGACTACACAGTAGTTTAGTAAATTAGCAGAGTAAGCCAAAGGTCTGATAGGACCAAATTATGGTCTTCCTTTGTGGTGGGTCATTTTCTGTCAACTTACCAGACACAAGACTGATCTGTCGGATATCTCCCTTCTCTCGCATACCAAGAAATACGTCTGCTTCATCCAAGAGAAGCACGCAACCCCAATGCCTCGCAAGGTCAAAAAAGGTCTCAAGATTCTGCTCCACCTCGCGGGCCGAGATACCTCCTAGATCACCGCACGTGATAGGTAAAAGGGGACGCCCAGCGTTGGCGGCCACGCACTCGGCCGTTGACGTCTTTCCTACGCCGGGTGCTCCGTGGAGGAGGATGATGAGACCCTTACCCTTGCCTTTGACGACGTCAAACTCACGCTGTGTACTGTTTGCGGCAACATGACGGGCATGCGTGTTCACTAGAGCCCGAACAATGTCTTTATGGCCGTCGGGCAACACGAGCTTCTGGAAGCTGTCGTTCTCGCCTGGATTGACTTGAACAACTTTTTCTATAAGATCGATATCCAGTGGGTCTGCAAGAAGGAATTAAGAGACTCATCTTTTCTCAGGGACTAGAAAAGGGGCTATACATACACCATTTGCGGTTTAGAAGCACATATCCATAAACCCTGCCAGGAAGAAGTATGTAGCTGTCTCTCGACAATGTGCCAGGTAGCTGGTTGCGGAGCAGGTCCGTGCTATGAGCGAACCTGGCCCATCTTGACCTCAGCAGCTCCGCGTCATCGAAGTTTATCCCGACTATATGAGTTTCTTCCTCGTCTTCTGCAGTGGGTTCTAAGATAATACCACCACCAAATTGCGGCAACGGTATCTTAGTCTCGCTGTTCTGAAATGCGAGCCGAAAATCTACCATGACATCGCTATTAATCTATGAGATACAATATTAGTGCATAGTATCATTATGGAAAGAAATGATCTTGTAGTAACTGGAAGATCTGAAAGTAGAAAATAGGGCAAAAAGGCAACGGTAAGGCAAAGGGAGTAAGGAACGATGTACCTCTTCAAAAACATCAAATCTATCTCCTTCCTTGAGATTGAGTCCCTTATATTTGCGATGGCTAGGTTGCGCCAAGCTTTCAAATGTTTTTCCTCTCTCTACCAACTTTTCTGGCAGTCCTTCTTCAGCGAATACCAGCGGAAACAGAGGAAGATCCGTTATAGCCAAGACATCATCATATGGCCGAATGTTGAAGGTTTTAGGCTTGGCTCCAAACTCTTTTCCGTCAAAATCGAGACAGAAGCAGTCAATAGCTAAGTTCGAAACCGTGCGTCTGGAGCTTCTCTTGGAAGACTTCCTTGAGACCAGAGATTTCCTCCCTCCCGTGATCTGGAGCACGCGGTACACTTGGGGCTTAGGGTGCAGACTCACAACCTCCTGACCAGGATAGAACAAGAACCAGAGATACGAGAAGGGAAGCTTCAGGGTATTGTTCTCAGGTCTGACCATCTTAAGGCTCTGTACAGTTGTGACGAGGTCTCGCAGGTCAGTGTCAAGAAATTGCACCAAAGCTCGTAATCCATCGAGCAGAAACCTAGCCAATTCCACCGAGTGGAAAGAGTCTCTCTTCTGCAATTTCACAATATAGTAGCCGTATTCCGCCGGCAGATATGAGTCCTTGCGTAGTACAGAAGGGTGCGTGGGGAACTTTTGACTCATTTCCTTAAACTCTGCCTCTTGTCGGGCGAGAGCATGTCGAATTTCCTGTTCAAATACAACAAAAGTGCGAAACGGTGCCACGCAGTCATGATTCATATACCCGAGCCCAGTAATTCTTCCCATTTCCTGGGACAGCAGCTCGTTTACGACCCGGACCCTGCACGGTAGCTGCCTCGTAGCGCTTGTATTATACTCAGCGGCTTCCGATTTAAACGCGGAGATATTGGCCGCAGTGTCTGGCGAGGATTTGTTTGAAGAGTCTGCCAACACTTTTAGGGCTGCTTCCCTTCCTTCCAGATCGGACTTTTTTGCGATAGGCAAGCCAACAAAGAGGTGGCAGTTCGTAGCATAGTGGCTAGTCTTCACCCAGTTGGAATCTTCGACATATATGATACCATCCTTCCGAGTGAAGTGCTTCTGTGCCTCATTAAACTCTTTCATTAATTTGAGCTTCAACTTTTCTTCCTCCCTATCAACTGGGTCGGAATCATCCTCGCTATCGTCATCTGTCGTATCAACAGAGTCCTTTTCCAGATCTGGTGCCGGGGGCTGAGCACCGAGTACACTTGATGGTCCTATGTCCGTATTAAGCAAATTCATTGATAAAATTGCCTCTTTTCCTACTGGATCTCCATCAGCATCCGAGATTAATCCAGCCGGGGGTATTCCATCAATGATTTCAGGAAACGACGGCACAAATGGTGGCATAGCTCGTTTTGCACCGTTGCGAACCCTTAATAAGACTATACGTAGTGATTGATTAACAATAGTCAGAGGGTCTCACTCAAAGGAATGATGGCACTAGTATATGGTTATTCAATGTTGAAGTCCTTTTTCGGGTACGGTTAAAGAGAAAATGAACTGAGTAGCCGCAAACTGGAAAATGCAGGCTCTTTATACATTCATGCTAATTTGATTCAGTGCTGCCTAGTCATATCACTTCCCTGTTTTTTGATCACTTTGAGATGGTGTTCAGAATTGCAATGTAAATTCAGAGCCAAGACTTTCTGCCTACTGCAGGTTGATTTGTTGCAGTGACCAAGAGATAACGCATATGCCTGAAGTAGATATGGGTTGCAGACAGTTACATTCACAACGCTCTCGGTATTGTAAACAGCTACTGCGCCGATGCACTCCTGCGGGGATGCATTTGGGCGTCAATGCGGCTAGATATGTTTACGTGCTGGTAGGCGATTGGCCAACTTTTGCCTATAGCTTCCCACTGCGCTGTAGCCTTGCGGTCGGGATGAATGCACACCGATTATTCGATTGCTGTTTCATCACCAGTCAAACGCTATCAGCCGTTTCGCACGACTCAATCATCGACCACTTAGAGTCCACTATAAGAGACAAAGAAGCAAAGAATCAATTGTCGGAAAGATTTTGTATGAAGTCAGCCGCAATGGCTTCCTCCGCAGAAACCCAAGATAGCAATGAAAATGTTGGGTGATTCCTCCCACTCCTTCGTCCAAGCACAGCTCAGCTCAGCCAGCCACGTCCTGGCCGGCGGAAGCAGCTAAGGTCGCAATCGGATGAGAGCCCTTCGCCATATCGTAAAGAGAGCCAATCAGGAGGCGGTTCGGTGAGTATAATACATACAGATCCACAATAGGATCAAGATACATGCAGTCTGTGCCCAATTTGAATCTCTTTCTTGCTCCTAATACCTCCGTATGCAGAGTACCTGAAGTTGAAATGGTTTGTTTCTATGTATTTGTTTCTATGTATTCTGTAATGCGGTACAATTCGTAATCCATCTACTTCCTTTTAAGCTACTGGTGTATGTAGTAATTACTACCGGTTGCAGCGAGCCACTTGCTCCTGCAACTATTCTAATACCTAAGTGATCAAAAAGAGAACATAGATCTGTTTGCCAATAGAATCATGAGTACTTATCTCATGGGGTTGTTTCACTTTATAAGTAGTGCTACTCATTGGGTAGTAATCAACCCTACATGTAGTTAGGTTTCACAAGAAATTTCACCATGCTCACTGGCAGCCTTCTACTCCAAAGGCCGATACACGTGTGTGATTGGCCAAACAGAAGACATAGAGGGGGACCACACAGGTGCATATTGCTGTGTCAGAATTTATAACCCTACCGGCTGGGCCCAACGATCGTTCTGATCAAGAGACAAAAAAGAGACATTTGAGATACCAAACTTCCTCATTACGAATTTGGGGTAGCTGAACTTGATATATGAAGAGAAAGAATAATCTCTTGTCTTACAAGTTAACATTCCTATAGGCCCAGGGTTCTCCATCATGGCCTCAAGCCCACTCTACGGTGAACCTCCAGGAAGTATCAGGGAGCTACTCTCTAGTACCTCCACTGTCAAGAAATACGTCAGTGTTATTACGAAGACATACGAAGCGAGCCTTGAGAGTCCTCTAGATGGCTCTATTCACCCATCTTTTCGGGTTGAGAATATATCTCGCGATTGTACGACTCTTTCACCTGCTCGTCCTATTTTCGAAGAAAGTACCGACAAGCCTGCTCTCTTGTAAGTATTCTACTCAACATCTACGATATAAATCCGCCAAGGATGAGAGATTAGCTTCTTAGGAGCAATACTCTTAGTCGTTTTTCAAGAAGTGCGTTTCTAACAAGTGTTTCAGACTGAAAACTCATGAAGATGTAATGGATGAAGAAGACGCCTTTAAGAAGGCCATGAAAGAGTATGAGAGCACAGCAAAGTACAAGACCGGAATCAATCCCGATAGCGAGCATACAATGAAGGAGCTCGAATCTGTGGTGGCAGAAGCCATTGAAAAGCATTGTGCAAAAGACAAGCGAGGATTTTGGGGCAAAATTGGCCATGCATGCAAAATCCTAGGCGAAAGCAAAGACGACATTGAAGGCTGGCTAGGGTTGCTTCCGAGCGAGTCGCAATACTTCTCTGTGGTTTGTGGAGGCTTAAAACTTATCCTCAAGGTACTGCATCTGAATTTAATGATTGGTATTCGACACACGGATACCATAGCGTGCTAATATCCACTGACCAAAATAAGGCTGCCGCTCGAATGAAACACGTGCACGACAAAGTCTTGGAAGCCTTGGCTCAAATTCCCACGATCCTTAATAGCGCACAGAGAGTCTTGAAAATCTACAAAGGCTTCGAAAAGCTGTCGTCACTGAGCAGAACATTTTATTCATCTATTCTAACAGTTTTAGGGCACATACTAAAATTTCTGCGTCAAAAGTCCCGGAAGAACTTTGTAGTCGTGTTCCAGCCTGCAAATTTTCAAGAGAAATTGCTCGAAAAAGTCGAAAATATGACTAGAAATAGGAATGCTTTCAACAGTGAGGCTGACATTTGCCAAAAAGAGATGATCAGCAGACTAGCAATTGCTGAGAAGCAAGGCAGCGAAGCAACAGCAGAAGAAATACGGAACATCAATCATATAATTAAAATTTCGGTCTGCGAACAGAATCGCGCCCTTCGAGTCATTGTCGAGATGCAACAGATGCTAGACACAATGAAGCGGAGGCAGAGCGAGATGGGCAATGACATAGGCATTATTAAAGAGGCTGTAACCAAGCCTTCTCTCACCATCGAACTCCTCAGTGAGGTCTTAAGAGGCGGTAACAACGTGCGTGCAGCAGCGTTATCTTTATGTCAGTATCATAATCATGCATCCCCTATTTGCTTTAGGTGTAAAAAGAATCTGACGTAATGCCAGACAAACAACTAGAAACACCAGAAGGTGTCAAGGGCCGACCACTACTTCCAGAAGCCTTGAAGAGAGAGACGACCTGTAGGAACCCCGTGCCTACGATCAGACACAATGCGCTATCTTTATGGTGGCTAACCTCATCAGCAGTAGCAAAGTCCAGCGGATATCGTCAACAATTACTATCCCAGCTTGACTATGATCAAAATGCCGCCGGAGCTGATATGATGTCAAACTACGGCCTGGGATCCAGGTTCTCGCGGGAAGATCAAGATCGAAGCATTCATATCATCAAGTCAGCTGAGCTAGCGACCTGGGTGACCACCGAGATATCAGCGGTCTTGATCATAAATGGTAATATCCGTAGTGTGCAGCGGCAATCTGCTCTCTCCTTTATGTGCGCACGCCTTGCCTTTGCGCTGGAGCAGATCCGCTCGCCTGAAGACGCCTCACCATATGACGGCTGTCTGGACATTGTGCCGCTCTACTTCTTTTGTGGGCAGCACGCCACAGGCGACTACACCTGGGAGAGTCCAGCGGGGATTGTCAACAGCCTCCTGGCGCAGATAATTACATTGCATAAGGGCCTGAATCTCAAGAAGGCTGTGAAAATGGGGAGCTTCGACGGTGCTGACGTTAGAGCCGTGCTCAAGCGCTTTGCGTGCGTGCTCGCGCAGATATCGGCAGGCACCACAGTGCTTTGCATTATCGATGGGCTGTCGTTCTATCTCGACAAACGTGAAACTGCTGCTGACGCAGAGCTGCTGATTCATCAGTTACTCAAGCTGGCGCGGCCGAAGACACGCAAGCTGGCTTGCGTTTTCAAAGTGCTACTTACAGCACCCAACCGACTTCACACCTCCGAAGTAGACAATATCAGTCAGGAAAACATACTAAACATTCCAGCTAAACCTGCACGTACAGAAGGATTTACTGCAATGAGATGGCATCTTAGCATTGGCCAACAGCTTCAAGAGTTGGCTGAAGCGGGAAACTAGACATTTTCCATGCAATTCGGGGCAATAAAATGTAAAGACTTCATTGTCTTAGCTTGCCTTCCATTTATTCATAGTATTGAAGCCCACCAGCAGCTGGAATTTATTCGTAAGAAGACGTATATATTCGGTGCCTGTGTGGTCTGTATTTCTCGCACTAGGTTCTTTTTCAAGTCATTCAACGGCCAACTAATAATCAATTAACCTCTACTATTCTTTTGAAAGGAGAACTCTTATTGTCCTTAATATTTGTTCTTCCGTCGTGGCAAGGTGTTAGCTACATGCAGCTAGGTGCGTATCCCCTGACAAGGTGTTGGTTTGTGAAAGGCGTCTTGTAACGCCAAAATCGGTTTTATTTGGATAAATCTTACATGGATGTCTTTACTACTAGTAGATGTTAGACTCCAGTCTAGCATAAAAAATTACGGTCAGACTAACAGAAGTTACTGCAAGGTATTTGGCTGGACACGGCATATAAAATAAATGTAAGAAAGATGCATGTTTCTACTGATCCGAGTTGGCGGTTCTGAGTAGCTTTTGGAACCGCAATCGCCAAATCGAGCGCTCGCATATGATCTCATTTAATGAGCGCGGTCTGCCATGTCTAGATATCTAGGGCTTAATAGTAAGTAGGTAGATTCCCTATTTATTTCCGTGATAAAATTAACCCTATTTCATGGACTATATTAACAAGAAAGAAATATAGCTTTAAACTCTTTGCTGGCGCTATGAGTTGGAAAGTACTGCGAGCAAGAGCTCTTTGTTGAGTCAGTTTTAGGTATATATAATTAATTTAGAACCATCCCGTCAACATCGGCTCAAACCAAGTGCCTCTCGGACCCTTGGACGTTGATTAGTCAGCTCGCGTAGCTCAGTTGGTTAGAGCTTCGTACTAATAATTCAACTCTGGTTGAAATCTTGGTAATGCGGAGGCCGCAGGTTCAAGCCCTGCCGTGAGCATTCTTTTTTGCTTTATTCTTATAATTTATTCATTCGTTTTCTTTTTGGGTGATGAATATGTTGGGTGGAGAAGTTTTGTTTGATCTCGATGTTTGAATACATGGTAAGAAATTTGGTTGTAAGCTTGGGGACGATTTAGGCGAAGTTTTCAGCACCCCAATACCATTTTTTAACACCCCAGTTGTAGCGCAATAAGACAGCCAGTCCACATGTTGATATACATTATAGCTAGAGTGCTAAATAACAGAATTGGGCCGCTGGAGAACTTTTCTCTAGCAGTTAGGTGGCGGAAGATCAATAGAGAGTGGAAAGCTTGACCCGATATCAATACCTCAATCGAGCTGTAGCCCAATTCTCGCCAACTCCTTCCTAAAATTTTGACAGGCAGCAACTTTCTTGACGCTGAAATTACATGAGTTGCATGATCAATCTGACCAATGACAATTGATACCTTGGGAGAGCTTCCTCAAGAGTGACTTCTCATTGCCTCCTCGTCCCATCAACATTGTCACGCCTCTCAGCCGAGATGCTACGCCATATCCTCTTCCAGCATTCACTCTCCGCTAGTCTATTCATTTGAGGAGAACTTCCCGAATGACACCAAGAATTGTAGCCATCACCACCGCTAAAATCCATGCCTACATAGAGATCTGGTCTGGTATAGTACGATGGCTTAAAAGAGTATATCCAAATTGCTGATACCTAAGGGATAATATAATTGATGCTTATAGTTCATTTGACATAAATTGCTTTATCAACACATAATATCACATTAGTACCTCCTTCTACGCGTATCGCTATTTCTGGAAGTTAGGTCTGGTCTTTGCGGAATGGGCTTGTTATATCGCTCCTCTTCCTTTCTCCCACTTATTGCTGCCCCCTTTGTTTGCTGTTTAGCGGCGATTGGGCGATCGCAATCTCTCTGCGCAGCGGTCTATCATCTGATTGGGCTAGTAGTAATGAAAGTTACCCTGATAGATTACGTTACTGTTGCCAAAATCATTACCTGTAATGTCCCGCTGGTCTTGGAGAAGGCGCTGGTCCGCTAGATTGTCTCGCCATTGTGCGGATATAGCCTCGTCGCTATAAAGGCCTTGCGCCGTTTGGGGAGCAGGTACGCTGGGTACTACTTTTTTGACTTTGATCAGCCTTGATTCGGCCTCAGGCCTATTACAATCTGTTAGTTGGACACATTCAAGGCGTGGAGGGCAGAGCTTCCCAAGTTGGTGACGAACCGCGATGCTCTTCGACTATGTTGAATGCCGTGTGGTGGAGTTTGTAATTCTTTAGAGGTCTGAGAAGTATCAAGAAGTGTCTCAGGTCTTGGCTTCCTTGAATCAGGTCCTTCGTCTTTCAGTCCTGTAGTCGCGCCTTTCATGGAGACACGTTGGATATTACCTGACTCGTCAACCCAGCCAGTAGTCTGAACCATCGCCTTGAGGGGCGCAACAACCTTCTTAAAGAGAATTGCGCGCCTCTCTGCAATTGTTAGCTCTTGCTCTAGTTCTTCCACCGTTTTCTGAAGACCCTGCTCCGGAGAATCCGGCGTTTTCTCCTTCAGGTCCGGCCGGAAGAAGTTCTCGCTGGCACAATTTGCAACAATAACGCGATATTCCTCCAACGTTTGGGTATTCTTCAAGTTAATATCCAGCCATTTCTTTTTCTATACTCCTTTACGAATTTTTGATGAGGTGTCATTTATTATCCTTTCCAGGGTCGGAGGATCGATATGGTTGGTGGATGAGGCCAGGCCTAAAGAAGTCGCTTGGCTTTCCCAACGCTTCTTCTGACCGAGCTCGTAAAGTATAGCGCCAAGTGCCAGAACACGAGGGTATCGGTGAAGGAATTGCCCCGGTGGCAGTCGTTCCACAGAGTCTCTCTCTGTCATCTGCTCCAAGGAAAAGGCGTAGTATGGCGCCCAGTCAACACCAGGTTCATCATCGTCCTCATCGTCCTCCCTCTCTCGAAAGAGCTGAATAGACCTCGTCGTCCAAGAAACTCCCTTAAGTCCGAATCATAGAATTGCCAGACGGATTTGGCGAGTATATAGGCGAGGATTAGCTTGGTTTTGGGGACTAGGGAATAATTTCTGAGCACGTCGGCTAGTGAAATGCTTCTTCCATCAGCGATATCGACTTCAAGCTCTACAGCGCGTTGAAGGATAAACAATGTTTCGTTCCTGCTTTGAGATAGAAGCAGCGGGGCTCATGAACATTTTTCCTTGCTTAGTTATTCGTGGTATATGCGACTACTCAGATTCCCACAAGAATAAAGAGTGGCAGAGATATGCAGCATTGGTAGCGGCTGCGTATGCAAAAGACCTTCTATATCAGATCGCTCCCAGCAGTGTTACAGCTGAGGGAAGGATCAAAGACATTCTTTCAGGTCAGTCCAAAGGATCTCGGGTATTACTAACTCAGAGCACGTAATGATATATTTATATGTTCGATATGCAAGGAGTGGCTACTGACGTGGAAAAAGATGTCTATGAACTTGATCATTACCAACATAATCAACAACATCGAGCCATCTTCGACTGGCTTACACCTGGGATTACTCACCTCAACACCACGAATTCATCAGCAGACGACAGGAAGGAACAGGACAGTGGTTCCTAAGGTCGCCAGAGTTTCAAACTTGGCTAAAAAACAATGGACAAACATTATTCTGTCCTGGCATCCCTGGAGCAGGCAAAACCATCATCGCAGCAATAGTGATCGACCATCTGTTAGCCAATTTTCAACATGACCCGCATACCGGCATTGCGTATATCTATTGCAACTTCCAGCGGCAAGATGACCAAACCGTCGAAAAGTTACTCGCAAATCTACTAAAGCAGCTAGCCCAGAGGCAATCGTCTCTTCCAAAGACTGTACAGGATCTCTATGAGAAATATGAGAAGAGCGGGACGCTCCCATCGCTTCATGAGATAATAGCAGCACTTCATTCTACGGCCACAGCATTTGAAAAGGTCTTTTATATTATTGATGCCCTTGATGAATGCCAAAATTTAGCTCAAACGGGGCTCCTCAATATATTGTTTGATCTTCAGGACGAGACTGGAGCAAATATCCTTGCGACTTCCAGGATTAATGACGACATGAAGAGAATCTTCGATGGGCTCGGTAGATGTGCAACTGTAGAGATCTCTGCGGCCATTGGAGATGTGCTAGCCTATCTGAACAGACAGCTCTCACTCCGACGTTCGGACTTCATTGACGAGGACATCCAAGAGAAGATCAGGGATGCAGTGCCCAAAGCTGCTGGTGGAAGGTACGCCCAATAATCGGTGCAATTTAGAGAGTATCTAAACTAACGGCAATGTTAGCTTCGCCTTCGCAGTATCTCACACAGATACAATTACGAATCAGCCTTCGAGAGAAAAGGTTGAGGAAGCCCTGCTGAAACTAGGCAAATGGATAGAAGGGCCATAGGAATTCCATTACAAGCAGGCTATGGAGAGAATCGAAGGGCAAACAGGTGCTATTCGATCTCTTGCAAAACGAACCTTGACTTGGATTACTCACGCCAAAAGACCGCTTTCGATCATTGAGATCCAGCACGCGCTTGCAGTCAGGGATCATATGACAAAATTCGACTCCGATTACATGCCCGATGTAGAGGTTCTAGAATCTGCATGTGCTGGGTTAGTGAGTATCGACAAAGAAAGTAGAACTATCCGACTGGTGCATCACTCAGCTCAAGAATACTTCCAGCAGTCGCGAAAGAAGTGGTTTTGCAATTGGGGACATCATGCTCGCGAGTCGTCTATAACAAGCCAAGAAGTCATGAATTTCTTGGAGAGCGCGGTGAAGGTGGAGGCATCAAGTCAGGTACTAACAGCAGAGAGGTATAAAGATTTATTACTTCAACCAGATGACAATCAACAAAAAAATTCAACAAAAACGACGGGGCTACACTTGGCAGCATACTTTGGGATAGGTAGAGCAGTCGGCAGCTTACTCCATTTGCGCAATTACCCAGATGTAAAGGATGCGTATGGTCGGACCCCCTTATCATGGGCTGCGGAAAATGGCCATGTACCTGTCGTTGAACAGTTGATAGCGACAGGACAAGTTGAGGTAGACTCGATGGATGACCTATCGAGGAGACCATTAACATGGGCAGCAAAGACTGAGATACGGAAATACGTGCATTTGTCTAAGAAATCACCACTAGCACATGCAGCGGGGGAGGGCCATATAGCGATTGTTGAGCTACTGCTTAACAAGGGCGCGGATTGTAATTGGGAGGCTACTACTGGTCAGACATCACTTTCATATGCCGCTAAAAATGGCCACCTAGAGACTGTTCAGCTACTGCTTGACAGAGGCGCTGATATTGATTGGAATGATGGACGCGGGGAAACGTTTGTAGCAATTGCAAAGAAGGAGGGTCATATAGATATCGCTCAGCTACTGCTTGACAAAGGCGCTAAGCCTTAGTCGTCAAGAAGGGTCATGTCGTTCCATCTCTCCAGCTGAATCTTGAGAAAACAAGCATCAGATCGTTCGCCCAATTGAGTGATCGTGATGACAAAAGCAGCCGCGTTCGAAAATCGCCAAGAATACAAAAAACGCCTGCGTAGAGAATAACTGCAAAACTTCAAATTCATCCACACTGAATTAGTCAAGTCAAGTATAGATATAAAGATGAATTAATATTAACAGTCACAGATACGTTCGCATCGTTATACTACATGACTTGAAACAGTGAAAGCCACTTCCAAACACCTTTTTGTCTTCTAATCAAATTTCGAAGATTGCAAACCCAACTAATTTTCCAAAAACCTAGCACATCAAAGAGACGTTGCCAATTCCATCCACGGATATCCGAACAAACATGTGTTTGCGTGCAAGTGTCGTGATGCATCAAACAGGTATTTCCCAGCTCTTGACATCTCGCATATCATCGCTCCCAGCTACGCATACAAAAACTAGAAGAAGAACAAAGGTATAGAACAGAAAAGAAAAAGAAAGAAGACTTTGTATGATGTGCGCACAAAGATATATCGGCTTGATACAACGCACATCTACAATTTTCAACGCCAATCGCCGGTGTAAATGATGTTGTCACGCACACAATGCGGATATAGTACACACCCGCGTGAGGCCGACGGGGGTAATGAGGCACACAAAGGGAAAATGAAAAAGAAAAAAAGACCAATGAGGAAGCAAATCACGGAATCTCCCCTTTAGGCCTCAATCGCAGCCTTTGGTGGCAATGGCGGAAGGGCACATGTAGGAGGTGGTGCTGGCGGAGGCATGACCATCCGCGGCAGGCTCTTTTTGTGCTTCATACTCTTGGCATAGTTGCTAGAAGAAGACGAAGGCCTCGACGGAATTGCCGGAAGAGGCCCTGTTGGCGGCGGTGAAAGCTGAGGAAGCGAGTCTGCAATATTTGCAATGGGATGCGCATCCCCGGGGAATGACTTGTCGGTAAAGGCAGACATGATGCTTGCTCGATTAGTTGCCCAGGAAAACCCCAAACTAAAGCCCCGCGAGAATTCGTCTACATCGTCGACTGAGGTTCGAATCTTCTTTGTCTTGTCTGTCCAAGAAGCCGAGAGGGGTGAAGGCAATGGAGAGAACGACCGATCAGTGGCGGGCGATGCCAGGGGGCTAGCATCTCCAAACTTTGACAATGAACTCTTGACCTCAAGCTGCTTTCGCAGTGCGTTGATACTGGCGAGCCTCCGGGGACTGTCATGTGCATTCTCATCAAGGTGAAAGCCGGGGGGAGTGGCGGGACCCGGACTGGGGCTCCGCGTTGTCAATTTGGGCACTATGCTCAGACGTCGTGAAGGCAGAGACAGCCGTCCCAGCACCTGGGGAACGTTTGACATAGACACGAGCCTCTCTCGAGGTAGCTTAGGGACACTAGGGATGTCCGAGGGTGGTCGAGTCTCCGCATTATGGCTCGTCACAGGCCTTTCCGGCATGACGTTCTCTTTGGGGGACGGCTGGTCTTCAACCGTGGATAGGGGTCGTCGCCCTATACGGATGCTCGACAGCTTACGCTGCGATCCTCGGGAAATCGGAGCGACAGCATCTCTTGGTGATGGCGGAGAAAAGAAATTCTCTGCATCTAAAGCAGAAGCCACCTTCATATGAGAAGCCCGACGACCCGTGGGTTGCGAGGCAGAGACTCCAAAACTGTGAGTTCCACGGGGCTCAGTGGGAGATGGGACCGCATCATTTCCAGCAGCGTTGGCCCAGGGAAGTGGGCTGTGTTGGTGATGCTCCAACAGGCCGTCTCCACCAAGGCTGGCCTCCCCAACGAACGGCCCCATAGTCTGCAATGATACTCGTCGATTTGCAATGACGCTGGCGTTGGGCCTAGGCCGTGCCGTCTCTGGGATAATGGTAATATCTGCTGACAGCGGAAACCTGTCGCGCACGGGTGAGCCCGAGGGCGAAGAAGTAGTCGATGTCAAGTTTGTCCGCTGGCCAGACGACATTTGCGATAATCGCTGTGAGCTCTCACGAAGATTGTCCAGTTGGCGACCGTCATGAGATGCAATGCTGTTTGTCGCCGATTTGTCGTCGAATGATAGATCGTGGTTTATAGAATCAAAGTCAACCAGGGGAATCGAGTAATCAGGAATCCTGGAATTCCGTTCTTGCCGGGGTGCCGTCGAAGGAGTTGTGGGAGTGGCTTGTGCAGAATAAGAGACATCTCTTAGTGTAATTGATTTCAGGCTTGGCTTTTCACGAACACGCGAAGAAGGAATGACATCTTCATTCAGCTTAGCCTCTGCTTCTCTGAGCAGGTCAGCCTCGGAGATGCTCCTTTTGCCTCCAAGCTCCTCAATCTTGGACCGCAAGCAAGTCATCCAGTCGTCCATGTCCTCTGCATTTTCAAAAACCATGATCATGTTGGATGTGGTGCGCTTGTCTGATGATCGAAAGGGAAGTTTTGAGAAAAAGGATCGGGGGTCGGTTGATGGTGATCGGTCGTAGTTGTCCATGGTGGAAGTAACCTGCAGGACGAAATGGCGTCCCGGAATGACATCAGTTACAAAAGCCGCCGAAGACGTACCCAAGCGCAGCACCTTTTCAGGCAGACGGTCAGGTGCGCCGTTTCCAGTATATTGAAGTAAATAGCCAGCAGTGACAAGAATATAAATCTTGGTGGTCCACTCAAGATTACCGGCAGACAGAGAGTCTCCGCGGTTTCTTCTCCTAAATTTGTCACCGGGGCTGATGCCGGCGCTGCTCAAAATTGTATCGGTTTCGGTGAGAGGTACTATCATGTCGGTCACGCCCGACTTCTCACTGCGTCTCAAAACGGTCTCAATAGGCTTGACAGTGGCAGAGAGCGTTTGTTGTTTGAGCTGCTGCTGGTTCGCCCGGCTGAGGGGCGGTATCGTCCAGACGGTGAGAGTTGGACGAGGCTGCTTGGTGATTGACATGCCTGGCGCGCGCTTCCCGGAAGAAGCAGAAAGACCGGTGGCGGGAGTTTGTGGACGGGAAACATGAGTGTCGTCCGGTGGTAGCTCGTGGGAGGCATCCCATGGATAATCTGGAGTAGAAAGGGCAAGCTCAGATTTGGCTTGCGGTCCGTATGGCCAGCCGCTGATATCCACGAGAGACTTTCGAAAGCCTCCAGATCGAGAAGGCGGCTTGCCCAAGTTGTTGAGCATGTTGAGCGAGTTGAGCGAGCTGGGTGATTTGAGAGAAACAGGAGAGGGAAGGCTTTCGCCTGCTTTGGAAAGCTTTCGACCAAAGAGGTGTCTTAGGCCGAGCTTGGACCCTCGACGGCCCAGTTTGCTCTTTTTCAACGGAGCTGAGGTCGAGACATCGGAATCAAGCGAGAATTCGGAAGCCGGTACATTCTTTCTTCGTGGAAAGGTGTTGCTGCCCGGAAGGGATTCGAGCCCACTGCCAGGGGTGGCCATGGCGAAGCCCAGTTAGATGGCCGATGACTCGCACTGGAGAAGGCCAGGATAGGTCACAAAAGATGAAACTTGATTTGTGTAACTGAGTGCGTGAGTGGGAAGCTGGAGTTGACTGTGACGACGCTCGGTGGACCCATTCAATGTCGGCGATGTGAGAATGTCAGTTGTGGAGAAGAGACTGTTTCAGAGACGAGGGCGAGAGAAGCAGAAAAGTGGAAATGAGCGTTGGGAGTATGGTGTTGTAACACTCGTCCGTGGCTAGCTCGGTGTAGTTTCTTTGTTGGCAGCAGCACAAAGGGCATTCGCAGATGTTCTGAGGGATTGACGGAACAGAAATCAATACAATGGACTGCAAGAAGATGTAAGACGTCGACGAGGTATACGGCAATGGTGCAATCAACGGGCTGAAGCTTGGCTATAAGACGAGAAGAGAGCGTGGTGGTGTTGTTGCTGTTGCAATGAAGCAAAAGAGAGCACAGTGGCAAAAGAAGGCAAAAAATGACTGCGCAAGACAATTTGTGCTTTTCCTCTCAAGAAGCCATTATTCCAAAGAATGAGGCTCACAGAGATGCAGCAGCCGTGGGAGGAAGACGAGAGGCGGACGAAGGTGGGACTTGCGGACTACTAGTAGTAATACTTGGAGGCGCCTGCCGCCCAAACTGGCGCTTTCATTCATCTTTGCCGCAGCGAGGCTAGTGCTGCAACGGTACATACAGTGCTGTAATCTCAGAGGCAGCCTTTCCAACGGCAGTCGGTACATGCCGCCGAGGTATGAATAACGGACGCTCACAGATCAAAGCTTTTCAAGGTAGGGCAGGAAAAAAAGAAAATAATGACATGGACAGGGGCCCTTTGACGCCTGGTAGCGCATGTCAAAAAACAGTGCATGCATCCGGTCCCACCCAGCAGCAAAAAAAGCTTTCATATTGGAAGTTTGTGCCAGGGGTCAGGGGTCCAGGGTCACGGTCAAGGCGCCAACCAGGCGAGCCCCTGGTCAAAAAGCTGAGGCTGAGGAGTCAATTCAAAGGGGTGGGCCGGATGTGGTGCTGGACAGTGCGGTGACAGGCGGGGAGGGGCAGAGGAGCGCTGAATCCATCGCCTGAAGTCTGTGTTGCACAGGCTTTGCCGGGCTGCGCGATGCCTGCATACAGCGCGAGATGCGGGCTGCCAGACAGAGGCGGGAATATACAAACATGAAGGCTTCGGCTGGGCTGGGCTTGGCTGAGCTGCGTGTGTAAACTAAAAATAAGGACCGGAACCGAGAGCGTGGATGGCGTGGCTTTGGGCTGGACTCGACTGTGCACCTATATCGGTTAATGCAGCGGCCCCCCGAGTACCGTTACAAGTACCGTGGGCGCGACGAGCTAAACGGGCCCCAGAGCCCACTAAGAGGGCCAACTGCGGATGGCGGTTTCCGGGCATCCGTAGCAGGTTGAGGGCAGGGCTGGAAGACTGTTGCGCCTGACAGCAGCAGCACGGCGTACCGGTACTTGCACGACAGATTGCGATGGCGCTCAACTTCAGGCTCTAAATATCACCTTGACAGAAATTACCAAATTCTGCCGTGCTAATTAGGGCTGAAGACGCAAAAGGAAAAAAAGACAGAAGAGTGTGCATTACTAATGGCGGAATGGCTGAGTAGGTCTAGCATTGGAAATTCAACTCTTCGGACACTTTCTTCCCTCTGATGATATAATCTCTGACCATTTTCCCTCCTCCAAGAAAACCTTGATACAACAAACTGCGGATGGATCAATATAATTTACTTTTTCAGCAGAGCGCAGCTAAACGTCTCTCGCCACCCAACCACATTCTGCCGATAAACGTGGGAATCTCTCTCGCCAAGAGAAGTAGCCGCAGCGCATGGCCTGTATGTGGTGAAAAAAGTGCGGGGTGGACGACGCAACCACCACCATGCAGGACAAAGAAAATTGATCATATGTGACTACCTATCAACTCTACTAGAGTATACTACTGTACCAGATTTTAATCACTTTTTTTTTTTTTTTGCTTTTTATTTTACTTTTCTAGCTCAAAACCTGTGCCTCACGTTTACCTTGTTTCGTCCAGGCCTCAAGCAGTAGCGGGCAAACTGGTAAGAGAGTAAAGAGGAATTTACAAAAGTATGATAAGACTTGGTCGCCAATTATTCGCAACACAACGATGGCTTCATCCTACTGGTCACTTTTGATGACCCATCTCGCTCAAGTATTCGCGAGATAAACAAACAAACCAAGCTCTAAGCTTATACAAACACGTGTTTTTCTCCTTACGTCCGAGGACTTTGGCCTCTTCGGCGAATCACAAGAGCTGTAATACAGTCTCTCTCTCCGCTAAGATGTGAGGGGGGAAAGAAAAAGAAAAGATGGGCATATACCCAGCTTGGCAGGGGCCTCTGCAAGGAGCGTTGAACAGGCAGGATTGTTACGTATCAATTGCACCGAGATGAGAGATGAGATGGGATGAGAGCGAGTGCCGGCACTTGCACAGGCTCACAGAACAGACAGGGTATGCCGTCGTGAAGCTGGAATCAAAGTAAAGCAATACAGTCCTTACAAGGCAACGCCGCGGATAAAAGTGATCATCGTCAATCTCGATGCGCAGCAGCACCAGCTCCCGGTTTCTCGGATCCTTTGCTCCCTTAAATTACATGTACCATCGTCACTCCTAGTTCTTGTAGACATTTCAGTTGCCTGGCTTATTAGAGGATTACTTGGTACAAGGGCAAACATGGCCTGAGGGCCAAAGCTTGGACGTTCCTTTGTCTCCGGCGCTTTGGGATGGCCCTGCTAGTGGCCTTGGTCCGATTAGGGCCGCACAATCTTAAACGCTGCTGACCCACGGAGCTCCGTAGTACGCCGACGGCGATCAGCGATTTGGAAACAAAACAAAGCAAAAGTAAGATGGAGAAGAAGGAAAAAAACCTGCTTGAGGCCGCTTCCCAAGTGGGTGGAATAGGAAAAAAATAAGAAAAAGGTATCGCGAGCTGTAGGGCCGAGAGGTATGGCTTCGCTTCGCTTGCATGAACTCGATGTGCGCGGGGAAACAAAACGATTGGCTGAAAAGTCAAGATGCAAAGATGCAACCATACAAAACTCTCGTCCGCGGCAATGGCTGGTCGATCCCGATTCGCCAGATGCTAGCTGCGAGAACTTCGTGAGCGCCCTGTAGGGCCAGCGATAGCGCAAACCTTTTTCGCATAGCATGCAGGAATAGAGTCGCTCTAATGAAGCACGAGGAAAAGCACATGCATGGCACGATAAGCATGTGCTCTGCTACTACTAGTAGTACTTAAGGTAGTCGTGTGTTGCTCGTAAAGTATGTACATGTTCATGCAGCATCAGCAGCGCTCGAGTAACACGGACGTTTGTGCAGGCAGCCATCGTGGACATAGACTTTCCGTCGGACCGTCCGTGGAGCAGGGGTTCGCGGTGCAAGCGACGATCGTGCAGCGCCGAGATTTCAGCTTCGTTTCTTCATCTTCATTCTACTTCATTCCATTGGCACTAAGAGTCGATGCGTGGTCCTCGCTAGTAAAATCGGATCCAACGCTGCCAGGTTCTTGACAAGAAAACTGAAGTTGCCCCGTTGGGTCGTCATAGGTAATTACAGCTGCTATACGGCTTGACGGGTACATTTACTAATAATAACAGCAACAAGTAGTTCGTCGTGCCTGAAAGCTTTAGGTATTAACGCTATTATGGACCACTCCGTAATAGTCTCCAACGATCTGCACTCTGCACAGTGCAGCAGCAAATTGTATAATCCGTCGTCTAATTTACAGATACGAGCAGTTACGAAATAGTATGCAGTCGCAGTTCTTCGTGTCTGCGTGTGTCGTTTGAGAAGATGCAGCTTGTCGAAGAGGCGCAAAGCGATGGCCCGAGATGTGATTCGCCCGTAATTTTCAGCTGTCCATGAAGGCTGCATGAGATGTGAGATCAAACAGCCACTAGGATTCAAACAGTACTAGTAGTCTGGTTGTAGTACTAAGCAGCAAGCTGCTGCGATGGATCGAAAGCATTTGATCCACTCGCTACGCCCTTGTAGGTATCCAAACTATCAGCCCATCTCGAGATGCTACGGCCGTGTATGAACCCCATGCAGCAAATGCAGCTCGGCGGCCGTTTGGGCATGCACGTCTGACTCTCCAACTTTGATCATATCCAAGCTGCTATAGCATAATGCTCCATCCTACTAGATAGCACGGCTAAAACGACTAACACGGCAACCAACAACTCGTATGGACCTATAATTTATACAGAGTTTCGGCCTGTAATACGGCTCGTTCTCCTCTGTTTCTTTTCCCCAGACCATCATCAGCCATGTTTACTCCGTGCACAGAGCAGAGCCATGCCATGCCACGCTGAGCCAGGATTTACGAGGCAATACGAGCACATATGGGGGAGGGGCAAATGTTCCTGCAGTAGCGCGTGCTGCACAGTCTCTTCGCATGTCTGTGCAGCTGCAGGCCTCAATCTCGGCAGATGCTGTTTCGCAGCCTGTTGCGGCTAACATGGAGCGCATGTCAGCAGCAGGCATTGAAGCTTTTCAGACCGCATCGCTCAAGGTCTCAATTACTACATGTACTTACAGGATGCTCTATCCTGCCAACAATCAGCTATTAGTTACCAGATATCCATGCCATTGTTGTCTGCCAGTCTTCTTATCTTCTCCACATAAGACGAGGCCCCCGTCATGATAGCAACAAGATGCGATAGTTTGTCCAAAATCGTGAAAGTAATATCGGCAGGGTCGCGCGGCATTCAGTCTTTCGAGTGCAAGCCGTCATGTGAACCGTCATGTGGTCATCAACAGTGGAGCATCGCTGCAGCAAGCCTACTAAATCCTGCCTCATTTTTCTTTGTTTCCAGCAATACCGGAGCAATCAGCCAATACACGCAGCCGCATATTTCCGAGCCACCAAAGGGCTCTGTTTTCATGATTTGAAACTCGACGGTTTGGGCCGCGGGCGCCGTGCGGCTCTGGGGCCGATGCAATGCAGCCTGGGCCGCTCTCCGGCACATACGGCGTCAAATCCACGTTGAGCTCTCTCGCACTGACGAAAACACGAGAGAGGTGCGTTGCCTCGTGAACATGGATAAGACTGATGACAAAACAAAACATGAACAAATTAGATAAAGAGGTACTACTACCTTGGGCACTACAGTAGCGACAGCTTCAAGAAGACGTCAGTGGTGATATCCCTTGGCCAAGCATTACCACACCTATTTTTACTCGGCACAATATCGCGGACGGAGCATGCCGTGTCATGGGTCAACTAATTTCAATGTCCACTGCACGCATATACGTATTGCCTCTTGCTGCCCCATGCTACGAGTGAGTCGGTCAAGGCAATGGACGAGCCAGGCATCGGACTTTTAGTGACGACTGAATATTGAGGATAACACATACCATGGCCAGTCACCAACCTTGACAGCCCGCATTTCTCAGTTCTCAGTTCTCAGCCATCTCATCCCATCCATCTCATCAGCCGGGTGCGGCCCAAGGCCCAGAGCGACGGCCATCAGCGCACGCTCATTCACTGTCAGCCCCAGTCCGTGAGGCAAAAGGCGAGGCTGGCACGGGCCGCAGAGGAAGCAAAGCCCTTGATGGCCAAGCCTGGCTTGACCATGTCGCTCCCATCCTGCTGGAATGCTTGATGCAACTCTGTAATGATAGGCCGTCGTAGGATGTCGTGATGCGGATAGAGTCCGAGATGGCGGGCTTACTCTAGCATGCCTCCCCAGCCCGGCCACGTTTTCTCACTTCAGATTCTCATAATTTTCCCTGCACGTCCTTCTTCACCCTTTCTACCCTTTCTCCTTTTTCCCTCTCGCTATCAACTTTCTTTTTTTTTTTTTTTTCATTCATTGTTTTCCAGCTCAGAGCTTGCGAGGAATCTCCGTCAGTTTGGGACGAGTTCAGCTGAGGCCATGTTGCAGGCAAAGTGCATGCACGTCTAATTTCGGCGAGTTTGGCTTGAGGGGCATCGTCATGCGCGCTTCGCCAATCTATTTTTCTGGAAAATATTGATGTTTCAACTTGAAAGAGAACAGATTGTAAGTACTTAACCATGTAAGCATATACCAGGTAGGAATTTGCAAATGCACGGCGTTGCGTGGAATACGCGTGTGCGTTTGTGAATCGGGCATTAGTCATGGACCGTTGAATTCGCATAGTAACAAAGCCAGACTCTCAACAGACGAAAATCGTGGAATATTCTCGTCATCTTCCCTTCTCGCGCGGTCTGCGGTATTTCTCTTGCTTCATCAGACATACATGTGATTTCTTCATTGCCTATGTCGTACTTGTTCCTCTCCGAGGAAGAAGCGGATTTCCTGAACATTATGTAAATTTGTTGAGCTAAAGACGTGGCGGCCACGAATAACCGGGTAGCCTATTAACAATCCGCCATTCCCCAACACGGACACTTTGCACCATCACGGCCGAGGAATTACTCCAAACGTTCCGAGAATGTAACCTGTCTGGCATGTGCTAGGGTAATCCAACCCAAAGTAGAAATAATATTAGCGTCTGCATTACCACCGGGGCTTGCGGAGGCTGAAGGAGAGTCGCAGTTGAGATGCACCGATTGACGGCAGCCGGGTTGCCGTCATGGGTTCCCGAGCCACCAAACGATTCGGCCAACAAAATCGAATGCTACTTTTCTTTAGTTGGGGTATTGAGTTTGTAGATTTGGAGAAATCTAGACAAGTTTGAAGAAGTTGAATTGCGAAAACGACAAGATATATATAGCCTTGACGTCGGCGTTGTCTTTTTGACAGCTGGATATAGCATTATACAACATCCTCACGCATCAATCACACACTCACTATACACGCAACCAATATACACCACACCACCAATCGTAACAATGTGCGACTCACACTCAGACAAATATCAAGTCGTTGACGACGTGCCATACCAGCCAGGGCAAGTTCCCATCACCAACATCCATTTCATCATCTTACCGTCTCCCCAATTCTAGCACTTACCCAGGCATCCCACTAACATGACGAATATACAGCCGCCCGATGCCCGACGTCAACCTCATCTTCAACAACAAGCTGCCCAACAGCCCCGGAAAGTCTTCCGTCGGCCTCTTGGTCGACTTTCCACCAAACTCATCAACACCGCCTCACACCCATGCCGGTGCCAGTGTTTCAGTTTTCGTCATCAAGGGAACGGTTTTGAACAAGATGAACGACGGCCCTACATACGTGATTCCCGCGGGCGGTACCTTCTTCGAGGCTCCCGGATGCCATCACGTAACCAGCGACAACTTCAGCACCACGGAGCCGGCACAGATTCTCGCAACAATGGTTGTCGATACCAAGATTGTGGAAGAGGGCGGCGTGGCGGCGCTGGTGGTGATTGATCCAGAGTATCTGCCGAGCGCATAAAGATTTAGGGGCAGAAGATCATCATTTATACTTTGGCTTGCATGTTGCAGCAAGATCCAGAGATGAAGGCATGTAATTAGTCGGCTAATGAATGAAATCCACAAAAAGTAAACCGTTGGAGTAAACCAGGAACATGTTGACCCCATTATGATTGAGTTGATGTCAGGACTGGTAACTGTGCACTAATACCCCATATTAGTGGCGTCACGGTTACAAGCCTCCGGCTGCCGAGTGTTTGCTAGTGAAGACTGGATATAACCGTATTTATTATCATCAATCGGTCGTGGAGCTCCATGCCCGGATGCTTAAACGTCGTGTAAACGTCGAGTTAATATTCTCGGGCTGGGGTTGCAAATTCCACAGGAATTGTTCCGCTCGGCTGGCCGCATCAATTTCATCTCGTAATAACACATGTTTATGATTTTCAATGCTTGCCGAGAACATAAGTACAGCTGAGTGTCATAAAAATGATAATCACATCGGGCTCTAGGCTTCCTCTGCAGGGTCGACGGTTGCAGCGACTGAATTGATCCTATGACTCCCCCAGTGACGGTGGTGGTTCGAGGTTCGAACCACTCGCCATCAGCTTTTTCGCCTTCGCCCGCGTTTTCTCGAAGCGGTGATCAGCGGCACGTCACGCAGTTTTAAGCCTTAAGCTTTGCGCACCCAGCAATAAAATGACAGTTACCCACGTTCTCGTACTGTACTGTATGTCTGCATTTCTTTGTATTTATTTCCAATCGCATCACTTTATCCATTCACTGCATTGGTCCCTTGGCAATCCATCAACCAACAAACAGCCAAGACGTCTTCAGGTATCACACACTCCCTCCACGGGTGGGCGCACGTACCTAACTCCAGCTACCACACTTCGATAACACAAGAAGCTGCAAAAGATTCATTCATCAAAGAAAAAAACGTTGCGCTACCAGAGGCGACGTTTCCTTGACTTATACTTTCTACTTTGGCTCGCCTGTGCCGATCGATTCCTCCTCCAGCGGCGCTGAGCCAAGCCCCGTGCGGAATAATTCAGCACAACCTTAAACTGACTTGTAACGAAACCAAACAAAGCAACGGGCGAACCTTTTTCCTCGGATCAACATCAATCAGCCATCAATACCAATTAACCTTTATACATCACCTGCCTTCCAGCACTATACCTGCTATTCAACGTCGCTTCAATCCTATTGTTCTTTCCTGTTCCACCAGCAAACAACCCGCAAACAGCAGCAATTATTCTCCTGTCACGCGCCAGCTCCCAAACTATGGCGGCCAACGGTGACGTCTCCGTGCCCCGCTCCGAGTCCCCCACTGGATCGCCTCGATCCGCTTCCATCTCCCTGCAAGCCGCAGCAGCTATCAACTCCGGCCTTCACCGAGAAACTTCGCGCAGTACGTCAAATCCAACGAGTCAAGAGCTTGGCCTTGTGATATAGATTGCTCGATTGCACTTTCTCAATCCTTGATTCTTAATTCTGTCTCTAATATTAAAGCTTCTCCAGGATCCTCCAACAGCTCCCTCCCCCGCGGCTTCCCTTCTACCTCTTCCGGTCGGCGACGATCAACCATCCTGATGAATCTCCAGCTAAACGACCCATCGGTGCCTGCGCCAGGCGAGATGTTTCAACAAGAGCCCATTCGAGCGAGCCCGCAGCCCATCAGCAACGCTGGCCTGCCGCCAGACGCGAGCCGTCACCACAGAGCTCCAAGCTTGGGCGAGCTTCACCAAGAGCTAGAGGCAGAACAGGAGGGCCACGTCGTAAGACAACCTCACCCATCGCCATCCTTGGACAAAGAAAGCTAACTACCTACTCTTCGCAGAATCGATTGCTAAACATGATCCGGCAACAGCAGCTGGAGCTTCAGCGCCTCCAAGCAAGCCACCCGCAAGCAGTCGCTGCTGATGAGGCTGCCGCAGGCTCCGAGAGAGCACCTCGATCGTTGCCTGTACCTGTACCCATCAATACTCAGTCTCCAACGGGCAACCACGTCCCGTCAGCGTCCAGCTCATCCTTTTCCCGATCGCCAATCTTCCCCCACCACCGAAACTCCATGGAGATGGCTCGCGCCGACATGCAGCGCCGGTCTAGGACGCCGAGCAGAAACGCCTCGCCCCGCCTGCGGGCAACATCCATCAGCGCCGAGAGCGGTGACTGGTCCTTGTTCCGTGACGAGAGCGCCTTCTATCAAGCTGAGACGCAGATGTTGACGCGCGAGAACCAGATGCTCCGGCATCGGATTCGCGAATTGGGTAAGCTGTCACTTTTTACCCTCATTGCTTTTGTTGCTGCCTAAATGAGGAAACGGTTGGCTATCCGACCTGTCATTGTACTTGTGCTAACTTGAGTTATGCTTATTTAGAGAAACAAGTCAACGACTTATCAACCAGCTCTCCCATACCAAATGAGCCTTCAGTGTCTTCTAATCTCAGTCGAGCGTCAACCTCGGCTGAAGAGGTCGAGCCCGCAGCATAAAGGGCCTTTAATCTATGAATCTATTCTATCATCATGTGGCCAACCATGGTTTATGGCAGAGAGGCGGGAAATCCAATAGTTCTTTGAGATTAGCAGCCATCTTTTCTTTCTTCTTTACTTCTCGTTTGTTAACATGAGAGCCACACATATTCTGAATTTCTATTACGCAGGTATTGCAAACGCGATGGTCGCGGTTTGACGGTTTAGCTGGCGTCTAGGACGAAGTAGAATGTTTTCAATACACAAGCCAGCACGGGGATAGCTTTAAATGGAAAATCCATTTTTACACTTATATAAATCAAGTTCCCTCTCCAGAGTCAACTTTGTGTAAACGTTCCGTTGCCGGGACCGCAGTTCTAGGCTAAACGCTTCAGATCCAAAACTCCGAGAACGCAATGAGCTAAGTCACCTATCGGAAACCTACGGGCGTTGGCAACCTCAACCTCGGCTTTGGTCAGGATCACGCAGATACAAGTTATTTAAAAAAAAAACAGACATATTCTATAAAATCGCATCCTATTTTCTTTATTATTTTATCATAATTTGTGGCTTTTAATAGCTTCATGTTGGAGCTATCGAATTGAGTCCGGGGTTAAAAGTGGGACCTCGCCTTACTTCATCATAAAGCTTCTCACTCAAGATCGAAACCTACCCTGAAACTGGTCCAAGAGGCTTCTTCAACTCGTTAATCTTCAATAAAAAATAAACAAAATGTTGGCAAGGAGAGCAGCTAGATTGGCCTGCTCATCCAGCAACAGTCATGTCCAAGTCTCACATTTCAGCTCAACTGCAGCTGTCAAGGCAGACTTTACTCATGCGGTAAGTGAATGAGCACAAGAAGAGTTTTAACATCAAGTGAACTCTCTATCCTGCCAGCTCTCTCACATCTATAAAAGACCAAATCAAAGCTGATTCATGCAGGTCATCGGCGGCGGCGTCGTCGGCCTCGCCATCGCCCGCCACCTCTCCCGCCACTCCTCCTCTTCCACCGTCCTCATCGAGCGCCACCCCGCCGTCGGCACAGAGACCTCCTCGCGCAACAGCGAGGTCATCCACGCGGGCATCTACTACGGCAAATCCAGCCTGAAGACGAAGCTCTGCATACGTGGGAGGAACCTGCTCTATGAGCTCTGCGAGGCGCATGGTGTTGCGCACAGGAGGACGGGGAAATGGCTCGTGGCGCAGAATGCGGCGCAGAGGGAAGGGTTGGAGAAGATCTATGCGCTGTGTAGGGATGAGATTGGCGTGCCGGTGAGGTGGGTTAACCAAAAGGAAATTGAAGAGAACGGGGAGGGTGTGAGGGCTGAAGCGGGTGCGTTGGAGAGTCCCACGACGGGCATTGTTGATTCGCATGGCCTGATGTTGTGTCTTCAGGGCCTCTTTGAAGACGCCGGCGGCGTAGTAGCTCTCGGCTCTCCCGTCAAGGCCATCCGAGCCTTGTCTTCAGGAGGGCCATCGTCATCGAAGCCCGGCAGCTCAGGCTGGGAAATTGACGTCTCAGACGGCCCAGGCGGCGACATCTCCACCATCACCGCCGAGACGCTCATCAACGCCGCCGGCCTCGGCGCCGTCTCCATCCACAACATGATCGTCCCCCCTTCGCAGCACAAGCAGCTCTTCTACGCAAAAGGCAACTACTTCTCCTACTCGGCGTCGCGGCCCAAGATATCGCGTCTTATATACCCCGCCCCCGAACCGGGTGCGGGCGGACTCGGCACGCATCTCACGCTTGATCTGGCTGGGCGGATTCGCTTCGGCCCAGATGTCGAGTGGGTGGATGATCCGAATGATTTGACGCCCAACGCTTCACGGTTGGATCAGGCGGTTGCTGAGATCAAAAAGTATCTCCCGGGCGTGGATGCCGGTGCTCTTGTGCCTGATTATGCCGGCATACGACCCAAGCTTGCTCCCAAGGGCGCGGCGTTAGCTACGGATAAGAACTTTAACGACTTTATTGTTCGAAAGGAAGAGGGATACGAAGGTTGGGTGAATCTTCTGGGCATTGAGAGTCCCGGATTGACGAGCAGCCTTGCCATTGCAGAAATGGTGGACCAGCTCTTATACGGTAGCCAAACAGGCACTGTCGAGTCAGTGCATGCATGATACCCAACCCACAGAGATACGTAGAGATACACGTCACCGCATCAAGCACTTTCATCAGCAAGTAGTTGGCAGAAACAGAAAGAAACAAATCTGCAATTTTCATAGAACCCGGATATCATATACATTGAATAGCCGAAACACAGCAACAAGTCTGCATGCCCATGAGGCTCAAAAAATTTGGATATAAAAGAAGAAACAGAAGGGAAGGGCAGAAAAGAGATATTGATTGAACCGTGTCGTCAAACAAACCATTCCGTTTCAGAGACATCAATTTCGGAGGCCATTAAAAAAGGAGTGAGATATAAGAGAAGAAGATGAAATAGAACGAAAAGGGGGCAAAAGGTAAAGCAAAAAGCAACAGCCAATCAGGTGCAAAGAGAGTTCCTAAACTTTTCTTCCCAGTGCTGTCCAAATCGGCAGCATGCTGTGCCTTGGACACAAAAATAAAGAATACCAACGCCATCCAATTCCTGCTACATGTGCAATAAGATGGAAAAAAAAAATGCATGTTCTGTCACGAGGTATGACGCCCTTACCAGCAGGTCTCTATGTGCCTCGGCAGATGAGGTCCTATTAGCGCATTGAAATGCTGTTGTAGTACTGCCTGGCATAGAGGTCCACGCGTAACTGATAGATGCCATTTTGAGCACCAATGAAGCTGGAAAGAATTTTGTAAGCTTCAGCAACTAAAGGTAGAAAAACATATTGACTAGGCAAGGATAGGTGGTCACTAGATGCAAAAGGGCGGTAAGAGACTTACAGAATGGTGCCGTCTGCGCTCCAAGACAGTCCTGAAGTATTATCTGGCGAGGGTGGAACCTCAAAAACACCGTGATCGGGTGCCAGAGTTCCTCTCACGGCGCTTTCCTCCCAACGGCTTGCTACTTGATTAGGAATGCCTGGAATGGGGCGGTCATCGATGGCACTTTCTGCCGAGGCCCGTTCCCGAGCTTGGAGAATCTCAAGCACGGAGAGATACGATTGATCTTGTCTCTCTCGCTGTTCCCGCGAGGCAGCCATCATCTCGTTGATGCGTTCTATCCACCGCTGGTCTGCCCGTCCACTGCCACCCGAAGTGTTTTCCCGCATGAGCTGGCGAGCATTGCGTACTCGCTCCTGAGCTCGTTCCCGATGGTCTCTGTAGACATTCATAAGGTCGTTCGGACCAGAATTGGTGCCCTGACGGGCGGCTCGAGTAGTGAATGAGGATGTCGCCGGAAGCAACCCGCTACCTCGATCATCGCCAAAAGGAGGGTTGCCTCTCTCTCGGCGCCGGCGTTCACTCTGAATCGCTTCAAGGACCCTCGTTTCGGCAGGCGTCAGTGGCTGGTGCATCATTTGAGCCGTGAAGAAACTTGTAGCAGTAAGAGGGGGGTTCAGGGGCTCTCCCCTGGTCATCCGAGTTTCCAGCAGCCGCGGATCAATAGTCTGCGTATCGAAAATGCTAATGTGCTCATATTCCTCCTCTTTATTAAGATCAATAATCTGCCGGACCATGAAGTTGTGCCTCACATCGGCAATGCCAATGCGACCGCGATCTTCAGTCCATGCCAGCAGGTCATACGGGCCAGGGCAGAAAGCCATGTCCCGAACAGCGCCCGGTCCGCTATTGGGACGGGAAGATTGGAAGGTAGTGATGAGTGGGTCAACCGCCTCATCCTCCAACTGTGTCGCGTTGAATATCGAAATAGTGCCGTGCTGAGTTCCAACGGCAAGGTAGGTACCAGACGCAGAGAAGGACGCCGCAAAGCTTCCGCGGCTGTCAGTCTTGTCATCCTTTTTCTGACTTCTGAGCAGGATCCTCCGCCGAAGCTCCCATTGCCCGGGGTTTGCGGAGACTCCAACTCGCCGGTGAATGTATAGATATGGGTCGTCCAAGATTGCAATCAGGAGGCGCCCATCAGGCGAAATGATGGCCCTATTAACAAAATCCGGGTATTGGACAATCTCTAGGGGCTCAATATCCTCATGTTCCTCGAATTCATTCAGACTAACAATGGCCACAGTTCGGTCGTTGTTCGCCAGAACTGCTACAGGCTCATCGTAGGCATGTCTGCTGAGGGGCAACCCTTGGCCGTTAGGAGGAGGAAACCACAGCGTGATACAATTGACTCGCTCTTTGGCGAGCTTCATGCTCTTTGCGGTGACTTTATGCGCCTGTTGAGCCGCAGTTGTGAGCATGTTGAGCGCAGCTTCCTCGGGCGAGGTTGTGGCCTCATCACCGGCCAGAGAGGGACCGGCGCCAGACGCCGAGTCAAGAGTAGCGTTCTGGGAGGTATCTGATGCTTGGCCGTCCTCTTCGTCAAGCCGTATGGCCACAAATTCGCCCGTCTCGCTGCCACAGCACAGCCATCCATTCTCGCCCACAAGGCACCGCGGTGCAAACGTAAGATGCTTAATAGTTTCACAGCTGCGAGCCTGGGTATTCAACCGTTGGATTTGGCGGCTCCCAACGCCGCCGGGGTAAAAGAGGTTGTAATTGTTCTCAGCGCTGATGAGGGAACGAAGCTGCCAATGTCTAAACGCGAGTGGACCCAATGGGTTAGTAATTGACATAAGCTAGAGCTCAACGTATCAGAAGAGCAAGGATATCGACGTACTGTGAGCGGACCGGAACCCGGAAGTGCGTGCGTTGAATTCGGGAGATGAGGCGGTCGGAGAAAACGAAACTGTATATCCATTTAGCATTGATGTGGTTGATCAGCTTGGCGAGGCGAGCGATTGGACTCACGTTTCATCGTCTCTGCGAGCCATGCTTGCGTTGTCGGTGGATGATTCGTCGTATTGTATTAGATCCAGTCCAATGGCCAAATGGGCTCAGCTGCGTGCGCTGCAGCACCCAAAAGAAGGCGAAGCCAGGCACAAGAGAAATGCCCAGGATATGATACCACTTTGGGTTCGGTGATGACGCTGCTGTGGAAAAGTGTTACGTGCCTCCAAAAAGAGGATCTCGAATCGGAGGAAGGATGCCGCAGGACCGAGAAGCCGAGCCAATGCTCCAGGCAAGGAAACAAGGAGATGATCTTGTTATAAAAGCAAAGCGCGGAGGTGCTGGCGCGAGGGCACAGAGAAGCGTTGAAAAAAAAAGGGGGGGGGGGGGGAAGAGAGCAAGAGAAGGGAGATGGCGTGAGGAGAAGCGTCGTGAGGCGATTGGGTTGCGAAGCAAGAAGCAAAACACAGGCCTGGGCGGGCTGAGATTGTAGTGGTGGGCTTATGCCGGAGCCTGCACTGGCCTTTGGTGAGGTCGCAGCGCAGCTGCAGTGCCGTACAGGGTACCTTTGCGCCTTATCGACGCCTTATCGCCCGCTGGAGCGTCGCGCAAGTACCCTGAACCTTTGGCCTGGGGAAGGCAGCTGTGCTAAGCTGCGCTACAGCGGCTCCCCGGATAGACGAACCGCGGAATGGTGAGAAGTGGGTAAATGACGTCTGACAGTTTGAACAAGAGCGCAAAGGCGCTGCTTTACACTATAAGTGATGGTGTCACTGCTTAGAACTTTACCTGGATCAAAGGGTTGGCGAGACACGTCCTGATATACCTTGGTAGTAATAGTCGGTACATTCAGAATGAATACTGGCATTGGTCTCTTAGAGCATATGCATTTGAACTTGCAGGGTGCAGCCGAGTGATGTGCTATATGCTGGCACGAGTAAGTCTGCTCTGCTGTGCGCCGTATGTGTGCGACGATGCATGGGAGAAGTCACCAAGCCCAATGAAGTCGCCTCGCTTCAGCGCCTGGCCGAGAACCTACTGCAATCAGTGCCTTAGTAACGGTAACAGTGCTTTAGTCGAATGCTACTATTGAAGCAAAGGATTAATTGATACTTTGGGAACTATATGACAGCTCCCCGGCAGACGTGACACAGGCTGTGGCAACAAGTGCTAGGTTCAGCTACGGAGCCATCTCGAAAGCAATAAAACATGCATCAACTTGGCCCCCAAGTGATATTTGGCTTGTGGACACGGCAATTGAGGCCGTAGCTTCAAAAGCAAAGAGAACAGCGACAGGGTTGTCGGGCTCTGCAGGTGGCGGGGGCCGTTACTTGAGACATGGGGCAGCAGTGCATTGCATGTTTGCCTGCGTCTGTACGAAGTACTTTACATGCAGTATAGGTGGTTTGTGGTGTAGTTTGGGCTGAACTGCTTTGCACAAAAGGCTCTCCTTCATGCCGTACACCGGGCTGCGTAAATCGATAGCTTAACAATAGCTGTTGTTCGCTTTGCAATGCTCTTCCAGTAGATAAGTATCGTTGCTAACATTCCAGAGCAGACGCAGTCGATAGTGTAACACGATGTTTTTGATATTGAGCCGATCATAGCCTTGGCTATAGCTCTCATCGTGCCGGTTCACCCCTGCTTAGCTCTCGCTCAGCTCTTTTTATTTTTTATTTTTTTTGTTTTGCTTCTCCCGCGGCTCGCTTCTCGACAGATCCATCCATCCGTCTCCACCGAGGCTGCCAAGCATCAATTAAGGTCCGTATCAACCTCATCAACGGCTGGGTAACCGCCTAGTACGGAGATACATTACTCGAGCGTTTGCCCCAAAATGACCTCAATGCCGAGAATGCCTACCGGATCAATACTTGCTCCGCCCGCCTAGACCCGGGACTACGGGACGGGGCCTTCGTTGCCTCTTTCTGTCGGCTTCTATGGCCGACCACTCACAGCACCAGTTGCGGCTTTTCCAAGGCTAGCGGAAAAAAAAATTCGTCTCTCCACCATCTTCTTCTCGAGATCCATCCAACTCTTTCTCTCCATATCTTGACACCTCCATCTCCTCTTTCTCGGATCGCGTATCCTTCTTTTTCCTCTTCTCTTTTTTTCTCATCCATTGTATACCCCCCCAATTCACATTCGTCATGTTGGCTGCGCGATTCTCCAGAGCTGTAAGTGCTAGAAACACATGCCGAGTTAACAGCGTCCCGCATTGAATGCTTGCTAACAAGACTCTCTGAATAGCTTCCCCGAGCTACTCCCTTCGCCGCTCGCTCGGCTGCTTTTGCCAGAGCGCCAGTCGCAAAGTTTGCTCGCTATGAGTCAACAGCTGCTGAGGGCGACGGCAAGGTCCAGGGTGCCGTCATTGGTATCGATCTGGGAACCACAAACTCTGCCGTCGCCATCATGGAGGGCAAGACACCCCGCATCATTGAGAACGCAGAAGGTTAGTCACATTCTTGCTTTGCGCCGCCGAGAATCGGCTCATCCGGTCATTGATTGCATCCTCAATCGCCTTTGCGCTTTGCTGACAACATATCTCTCCCAACCTCTAGGTGCCCGCACCACTCCCTCAGTAGTTGCCTTTGCCGAGGATGGTGAGCGTCTGGTCGGTGTTGCTGCCAAGCGACAGGCTGTTGTCAACCCTGAGAACACTCTCTTCGCCACCAAGCGATTGATCGGTCGCAAGTTCAAGGACGCTGAAGTCCAGCGAGACATCAAGGAGGTCCCCTACAAGATTGTCCAGCACTCCAACGGCGACGCCTGGGTCTCTGCTCGTGGCCAGAACTACTCTCCCTCTCAGATTGGTGGCTTCGTCCTCAACAAGATGAAGGAGACTGCCGAGGCCTACCTGTCCAAGCCCGTCAAGAACGCCGTTGTCACCGTCCCCGCTTACTTCAACGATGCTCAGCGTCAGAGCACCAAGGATGCCGGTCAAATTGCCGGTCTTAACGTTCTCCGTGTCGTCAACGAGCCTACTGCCGCCGCCCTGGCCTATGGTCTGGAGAAGGAGGCCGACCGCGTTGTCGCCGTCTACGATCTTGGCGGTGGTACCTTCGATATCTCCATCCTTGAGATCCAGAACGGTGTCTTCGAGGTCAAGTCCACCAACGGTGACACCCACCTTGGTGGTGAGGATTTCGACATCCACCTGGTTCGCCACATGGTTGCCGAGTTCAAGAAGACTTCTGGACTCGACCTTGCTGGTGACCGCATGGCCATCCAGCGTATCCGTGAGGCTGCCGAGAAGGCCAAGATTGAGCTGTCTTCTTCTCTCCAGACCGACATCAACCTGCCTTTCATCACTGCCGACGCTTCCGGCCCCAAGCACATCAACCTGAAGCTCACTCGTGCCCAGCTCGAGAAGATGGTCGACCCTCTCATTACCCGAACCATCGAGCCCGTTCGCAAGGCCCTGAAGGACGCCGGTCTTCAGGCAAAGGAGATCCAGGAGGTCATCCTGGTTGGTGGTATGACTCGTATGCCCAAGGTTGCCGAGTCTGTCAAGTCCATCTTCGGCCGTGACCCCGCCAAGTCCGTCAACCCCGATGAGGCTGTCGCCATGGGTGCTGCTATCCAGGGTGCTGTCCTCTCCGGTGAGGTCAAGGACCTCCTCCTCCTCGACGTCACCCCTCTGTCTCTCGGTATTGAGACCCTAGGCGGTGTCTTCACCCGTCTGATCAACCGAAACACCACCATCCCCACCAAGAAGTCCCAGGTCTTCTCCACTGCCGCCGACTCCCAGACTGCTGTCGAGATCAAGGTCTTCCAGGGTGAGCGTGAGCTGGTCAGGGACAACAAGCTGCTTGGAAACTTCCAGCTCGTTGGCATCCCTCCTGCCCGCCGTGGTGTTCCCCAAATTGAGGTTACTTTCGACATTGACGCCGATTCCATCGTCCACGTCCACGCCAAGGACAAGTCCACCAACATGGACCAGTCCATCACCATCGCCTCCGGATCTGGTCTGTCTGACAACGAGATTCAGCAGATGGTTGAGGACTCCGAGAAGTACGCCGAGTCTGACAAGGAGCGCAAGTCTGCCATTGAGTCCAGCAACCGCGCCGACAGTGTCCTTAACGACACTGAGCGTGCTCTAGATGAGTATGCCGAGAAGCTCGACAAGGCCGAGGCCGACGGTCTCCGCGAGAAGATTGCCACTCTCCGCGAGTACATCACCAAGATCCAGTCCGGTGACAGCTCTGCCACCGCCGCCGAGATCAAGGAGAAGACCGACGAGCTCCAGGTCGCCTCCCTCAACCTCTTCGACAAGATGCACAAGGCCCGCAGCGAGAGCGCTTCTGAGCAGCAGTCTGGCGAGCAATCTACCGAGGGCGAGAAGAAGGATGAGACCAAGCCTTAAGTTGGATCTTGGAGAACCTGAGCGAAGAAGAGAAAAAAAAACCAATTTTAAAACAGAAGAAATTTCTCATGTATCAAAATCACATTTACTGTTCGGATATTCAAAAGAAGCACGGGGCGCGGCATAGATCCCCCTTCTTGTTGTATTTATGATGTACCCATATCGCGCCTAAGCTGCTATGCAACTTGATCCTATTTTCTATCTCTTTTCTTTTACCAATGTCGTTAATACCTATTGGCTGGCGGAACAGGCGTTGGAGCATCAAAAACACTTCTATTTATTTTTATTATTATTTGCATTGAACTAAGTGCACGGTCACTCGGGAGGCGGGAGGTATGGACAATGGGACAAACTGAAGAAAAAAAGAGAAAGAGACCCTTGGTGGGATAGGTAGTTAGATGAATAATGATTTCTCCCCTCTATTTGTCTTTGGATATGCTCCGGCGGCTTTGTCATATGTAGACTTCGTGATTGATTTTAAGCCATCCACCCCCATGACGTGTTTAACGTATTTGTCCCATGCCAGTTAAGTGAGTCCTTCCCCTGCATTTTCTTATCCTGTCGTGTAGCCGTATGGACCAAACCCGTCTGCTCCAGCGGATCATCATACAACTCGCCCGGCAGCAAAGGCTGCAAAGCACTCTCTTCGTCCCCAACATAAACCCTCTCATCGTAGAGAAATACGTTACGAATATTGGTCGTTTTCCTTCGAGTATCCTTCTGAGTGCGCAGGGTGAGATAGTCCGCAGAAGAGGCCCCATCTAGCATCATCTCTGGACATGGCGAAATGTTGTTGCTGGTGGTCGGTTCGCGCTGCGACGTGCCACGATGCGCGGTGGCGCGAAATGTGAAGATGACGAGGCAGAGGATTATGGATATGCACAGGAAGATGGGAGCGATTATGCAGATGAAGTTTGTGGAGGCCATGGCGGAGAGTAGAAAGCATATGAAGATGAGAAGATATCTTTCATGAACGATGGGAAAAGAAAAATAAGAGGCAACCTGTTGTCCTTTTTTTTTTTTTTTTCCCCTCCTTTTTCAGAGCAAGCGAATTTATTTTTTTAGACACAACAGTTCATGAGACAAAGTCATCAGGCTAGTCAGGAATTTGGATATTTCCCCTGTTTGCTATATTTGCTTCATCCACCCTTCTCATTCCAGACACGCGATTCCACAACGTGACTGTTCGTAAGACAATTCAAGCTTAACTAGCATAACAATCAATGACTGAGACAAGCTCCAACAGGCACCTTGCACTGCAAAAAAGACACAACGGTCATTAGGTTTTTAGGTCACCGGGTATATGATCTTTGGACGTGAGCTTTGATACAAGGGAGTTAACGGAGAATGATTTGTTAGAATTTTGTAAAAGAGGTAGAACAGCCGCGTAAATCAAGTCTATCACCTCCCAAATCCGAACCAACCTCTCTTCTGAGCAGGTTGCTCGGCCTCAGTAGCAGGGGCAGCTTGGGTAACGCCCGCTTGAGCCTCCTTTTGAGGATAGTGAATATAGTTCCAGGCAACGTCGAGGAAAATGGGCTTGACGGGCATAACATCCAGACTCGGGGGAAACTGGACAACGTTATCGAGGTTGGCACCGCCAAAGGGATATTCGTGCAACTTCTCGACAAGAGGAGCGTGGCTTTTATACTCATCGCTCTGAGCTTGCATCTTCCGCAGGTTGTCGACATGGACAATGGCGCGGTGGCGTTGCAGCTCGCCATCAATCACTTGTTCTAGAAACTTGACGGAAGCAGGCGATATGTCAAGGCTCAAGGGGAGCTCGTCAGACGGGGCTTCTGTGCTTGGAAGCTTGGCGACAGCCTTGAGGCTGAAACTCAGAGCACGGTTGATGAGAGCCAAGGCGTTTGCTGAGTTGCCGATGATGGCGTGTGACCGGGCGACGGCAAGGTGTCTATGTGTCTTGGTTAGTAATCTGCTCAGATCTTAATCATATCTCCGGGGTTTAGAAACAATACGGACTTTAATGCGATAAAGTATTGCTCATAAGCCTCAATCCGTGCAGCAAGTTCTTCATCAGCAGCCACACCAGGCAGCTCCCTGATGGACTCCAAGTTCTGAAGGATTCCATCGTAGAGAGCACCCTTCTCCTTGAGCTTGGCCAGCTTCTTGCCAGACGGCAATTCCCTCTCTTTCTTGGCTTCCTCCGATGTGGCGTCCTTCTTCTTTCTCCTCCTTAGTGAGCCATACTCCTCGGTAGCTCCATCATGAACACCTGTGAGAACGCGGTTACGACCGATTCTCCAGCTAATCATCTCATAGTTGACTGCCGTGCGTGTTATCTGTAAGCGCTGCATTCTAGGGTCGCTTTGGCTGACGCCGTCTGCCTTGATGTCATCAATTGCTTGCTTTGTGGCGTCAACGGCATCTTGTGTGGCTATTAGAATCTCGTCATAAGCAGCAGCTACCTCGTGGAGACCCTTGTCCTGAGATTTGGCCACAGCTTGTGAAAGCCTCTCCTTGGCCTCACTAACAGCTGCCCAAGCTGTGGCTATCTGGGCGTCTTCGATTTGGACTTGGTGGCGGCGCCAATTGAGTGTCTGGGGAGCAGTTTCGTTTCCTGCAATGCTGTCTGTCGACTCTGGCTGCGCTTCGCCGAGAAGAGTGGAGTCAATTCGATTGATTTCCTGAACGAGAGCGTCGTCTGATCGCGGAAAAGCATTCTTTGCAAGGGTTGCAGCGGAAACCGTGCGAGGCGTCTTGAGCTGATACGCAGCAAAGCGGATTGACGGCTCTACGGTCTCTGAGAGCAAATCCTTGTACAGGTCGCTTTTGCTAGCGGTGGCCAGCGCATTGTAGATGACGTATGTTGTAGCGTAGCTCCTCAGACACGACTCCCAGCTGTTCTTCTCGAACTGCATGGCGCCTCGGACGAGGGACGCATATGCCTGAGCCTCGAGGACATCGGTGGTGGTGGCCCCGCTGATGTCGGTCTGCGAGAGGATGCGGACAACCTGCTCGGCACTTCGAGCCGCTTTCTCGAGCCGCGAGACAATGTGGGACCGGGCACGGCCAACAATTCCCCTCTGGTCAACCGAATGGGCGGCCTTGATGCTCATTGCCTGCGCCCAGGCACGTTCGCTGGTAAGGAGAAGCACGTAGACATGTCTGGGAAGCGCAGCAAGACCAGGTCAGCTCCACTGCAGCCACAATGGCGAATAAGACGCGCGGGAGGAAGAGAGAAAGCAGGCAGAAGGTGATATCATACTCGTTGTTTGTCTTGACGTCCTCGGCGGTCGCCTGCTCGGCCTTGCGGAACTTGCCTCGATTCTTGGTGACGGTGCCCAGCTTCCTGCGCGAGTTGAGGAGGCGCTTGGACAGCTGGCCGTGGTAGGTGGAGTAGTCGCCGTAGAGCAGGGCCTTGTCGCGGCCCTGGATGATGAAGCTAGTGATGTCCATTGTCAGATGAGCCTGTGGCCGCTTCAGCGTCTGGCTGCAATGGCTGTATTCCTCGTCCGGCTGGAGACTGAAGGTCGGCGTGTGCAACCAGCTAGTAGCAGCAGCAGGTTTCGTGGCCTGGGATTGGCGGGGATGGCGGGGCAGCCTCTTTTTTTTTTCCCCAGCGCACGAGACGAGGCTCGCAGAGTCGTGGGACGGTGCTTACATAATGCTGCTTAGATGCCGATATAAAGTTTGCAGTTTAAGTTCAAGTTCACTAGCGGCACCTGTCCGTCGAGTGCATCTACCTTGGGCAGAGGCAGCTCGACAGCCTCGACGTCTGTACTGGTACTTGCATGCAGGCTTCAAAATATCACGTCTGCACGTCTGCACGTCTGCACATCTGCACAAGCATCATCGCTTACAGACAACGCAGCATAACTATGCGCGATTTGATTTAGAGTTTCTGGATGTCTTTTGTCGGCTTTAAGCTGTGAGCTGGTACGGGCTCATCATTGCCAGTTGGAGCATTGCCTGCATCTCGGTGAGTGAAACATGGCTTTCTTTTTTTATTTTGCAGATACGAGCGACGGCCAGCTCAGGCCAGGTCTTTGGGCTTGATAGAATCCTGCTTGTGTTCCTAGGTACCTAATCAATGTCTGGTTCCATAAATAGACTCAGGCCAGCCATTGACACCGAAGAGGACCCCCACTATTAGAGGAAGCAAGCCGGCTGAGACATCCATCCACCGCAATATTAGCGATCGTGCCATGGTCACCGATTTGTCCCCTCTTTGGCTTGATCGATTACGCTGCTGCGATACATCTGGATCGGCGTCACTGTGGGGTGCACAAGAGTCTCACGATGCTTGTCTTGGAACACATACGACCGTGCAGTTGTGGCAATCGATGCTAGAAGGTACTATGCATGTCTCGCCTGATGGTCTCGGATCCATCTCCAGAACGGTAGTAGTATCTGTCTCGTAGAGTACTTGCCTGTGCTCGGCACCAGCAGCAATAGCAGGTGGGCGTAAACACGCACGTCGCCGACGTGTAGAATATTACCAGTCCCATTGTCGTCAGCACTCATCCAAGGTGCGGTCTGATGCTGGGTATGATCCGACGTGGTGGTTGGCTGAGCTCTCTCCATGCAAGCACGGCTCGAAAGCTCCTTTTAACCGGGGTGTATGCGGCTCCATCGCCTTCAGCTCGGATGATCCGAAGCTAGCAGCCTTGTGACGGTTGCTCGCCATGATGCCGAGTACTGCTAGTAATACTACCAGAGCGCTACTGGGTGAATCGCGTCTAGTGGCCCTTTTCTCACCTTTGCTTGCTCACCAACTCTTGAAGCGTCGAACTTGATATCCCTCGCCTCACTGTCTTGCTTTCCCCGCTTCTCCCAGGCATCCGGTCGAAGAGACAAGAGCGACAGGCCCACCTCGTATCGTCGATGGAAGCACATGCAAATTGTACAAAAGCAGAGTGAGAATGCACATGTACCCGCGTATGCATCTCCGTCTGCATGTCTTATCCTTCAGCCCCCTTCATGAACGAATGGCATTTGGCAGCGGCAGCGGCAGCGGCAGCGATGGGTGTGGGTGGTTGTAACCAATCCTTATTGTCGAGCGTCAAAGGTCGGTTGCGACTCGTGTCAGCCATGCATACGTGCGGGCAACGCGCTGGAAGCCGTAGTCTGTTACGAGCAAACGAGACCAAGGAAGACAGAAAACTGATATGATACAGGCCAATACGTTTGGACGGAGGTCGGCAATCGTCGATAGTCGCTCGGGGGATTTTGGTGCGCATCAGGCAGGGATCACAGCAGCCAGGGTGGTGGTGACCTTGCAGGACGAGATGCTGGACGTCTGCATCACGTGCCCCCATGCATCTTGGGTCGAAGGGACCACCCACAGGGCAGCGCTTCCAGGCCTCGAGGCGCTGGAGATGGATGGCTTCGGGCTGCTGGAGCACTAGGGTGCACGGCCCACGGCGATCCCTGTCGCTGCAAACGGTGCTGTGCAGGTGACCTGCTTGGCTGCAGTAGCCGCTGCGTTTTCTCTCTCTGGCTTGCTGCCACTCATATGGCGGGCTGGTGTGGCGGTAGCTGCGGCAGTGACAGGCAGGATTCCGTCCGTGTTTGATGCATGATGGCATCTGGGCCCGAGTTTGCTCTTCTTTTTCCAGTGGTCGATGGAGCAAGCAGCTTGGATGCCTCATATGGCATGCAGGTTACATTGAGGGTAGGGTGGTAACATGTAGTTGTATGCAGCCCTCGAATCGGCAATGCTGTAATAACAGTGAGGACTTTTAATAAAGTCAGCTGCCATAGATGAGGAAGAGGGTATAAACTGGAGAGAGGGCCCATTTCTCCACTATGAAATCGTGATTACCACGCCTCTCTCTGACCTGTACATACTAGTAGTAAGGCTCGACTGCAAGACACGACTTGTGTAGCAACAGAGCTGGTAGATAGCAAACAAAAAATCAAAAGAAACCGCATGCACCATCAAGTTCCCATGTAGCATCAATTTAATCAAGTCTGCAGGGAGGCCTTTGTGCAGCTACTACCTAGCAGTATCGCCCGTTGCAGCAACCTCCGGCCAGCACCTCTTTCGAGAAAAGAGCCCACCTCCAGTTTTCTGCAGTTTGAGTCGATTTAGCGCCCCGCCTTGCAGACTATTTCCTCGCTGCTGCAGCCACTCAGCGTGCGCCGATACCAGCTGCACGCTCTGATCAGAGGCCCGCAGCGTGCTTGACTGGCCCGCTAGGCCGCCCACGACCTAGATTCCCACTACCGCTGTGACCTGCCTGGCGACATGTCTAGAGTCTGCAGAATTATTCCCTAGACTCACTCATTCACTCACTCACTTACTCACGCCAGCTCCATCGCCAGCAACGGGCTCGTTTCTTTTTCTTTTCTTTTTCCGTCCTCCCTTCTCCTCCACTATCACCATCTCCCTGCTTTTCCACCGCCACCGGCCGTGTCTCTGCCGCTGTCTCAGCCAGCCGGAAGAGAAACGAAAAGGACGAGCGCGTTTGCGGCTGAGACAGAACCCATTAAACGTGCATTGCGGCCTCTCCACGGCCTCTGATGCTGCTGCGGCCACCAGCTGGAGCCTTATGCTCTATCACCATCAAGATTCCAGCCCCTTGTTGACAGCTGCTCTTCATTCTTCTTACTTCTCTTCTCTTCTACTCTTCTCCCTTTTCTTTTCTTTTTTCTCAAGTTGCTTCTCAGTGCTTCGGTCTATTCATCTCATGCCCACTCCTTCTCATCCCGCATATTCGCCTCCCGCTATTTTTTCCTCCCGCGCTCTATATCAAGCATAAAAATTTCCTCTGCGCCTCCCTCTTTCTTCTTTTCTTCCTCTCAACTCCATCTTCGAACAGCATTTACTGCTCCGCATCGGTTTTCTGCAACTATCGTCTGGGAGGCTTCGCTTTGCTATCATATCATCGTTTTGACCGGTTATCAGCGGCGCATTCACGCTTCATCGTAACGATACCAACCAAGCATTTATAATACGATATCTATTGCTCGCTTTACGCCACCATAAGAAAGGGGAGAGTCCAGTTCAGAGCTCATAAGACCCTATTCTCTGATCACCCCAATCCATCATCGTCCCTGCATACATGTGTGTGATGACGGATGAAGCCTCATCACACATGTGGTAAAACACCATCGTTTTGTTTCCTTAACTCTGAACTTTGCACTTGCTGGCTCCTTGTGTAGCCTACAAGTGCCACACAATATACTACAAATGGACGCAAACGGTAATATCTGCACCTTTTCCTCAGATTTTCCTCCATAGCTTCTACTCTTCACCTTGATCTTTCATCTGTTGCTCCACTCCTAATACTACGCCTTGCTTCCACACGACCGTGGGCCAATTCATGCTTCTCTCTGCCCACTTTTATCCTCACTGGCTTCGCCAACTTTCCAGTCATGGTCTTGAATTATGCTGACTCTCTTTTAGGAGGACCTTCGCAGCCCCCTGATCCCAGTTCAAATTTTGCGCCGACATGGAACCCTGATGCGTATCCTTTGTTAAATCTTCCGTACGAAGGATACAACCGCTCGCAAATCACAGACAATGGACCAGGTCAGCCCATGTTACCTTGGCCGCAGCTCCCTGGAGATATGTCGGGAGTCGACTCTACTTCTTTCACGGCGCTGCTCAATAGCCCCTATGATTCATTCACCCCGAGCCTGACGCCCACAGCGGATACACCAATGGCTGAGATGCCAGTCGCTCAAACTACCATACAGAACGTCGGCCACGCCCAGGCTCCACGGTACGGAGCTGCCACTGGATATCGTCCACAAACTACTCATGTCATGATACGACCCAAACCTACGCCTAATATGCCCCAGGACGACGGCTCAGACGACGAGGACGAGGATGATGAGGACGAAGATGACGAGCCCGTTCCTAAGCGCAAGCGAGGGCGGCGTAACGGGCCACGTCGGCTACCACCTTACTTGAGAGAAATCCAAGCTCAAGCAGCGATAAGGCAAGCTGAGAGGTGGGCAGCCTCACAGGGTCTGGCTGTTAACCCTCAAAACTCCACTGTTGACTTGACAAATGGTATGGACCGCCTTTTGCACTACGTGAAGCTTCTCCCTTTTTTGCTGACTCTGAAACTCTTTAGTTAACGACGATGTTTCCTCGCCCGCCCCTCTTGATCCCAAAGAAGAAGAAATATGCTATGGCATGATTAAAACCCGTGCAAATTGCAACCGAGTTCCATCTCCAAAGCCCGGCATACAGAGTATGTGGGGCGCTAATTATCAACCCAGCATCAAGGTCGTCCTGAGGAAGAGTGTCAACGACCGGAGCTCGAAGATTCCTATTATTGATTACACAAGACAAGTCATCGGTCTCGTCGACGCTTCTTCCGCCAATGCATTAGGGCCTCTGCTGGATTTGAACCTTCGTGTCAGGACCGACGCCCGTATTCCTCCACAACCTATTGCGCCTGGCCAAGAACCTGGCCAGCCCGTGTCGCGTTCTTATATTCTCGATATCGTTCTATATGGACCTTTCAAATATGCGAGAAACGTCGGCCACTTCATGTCGCGATACAACCTCACTCTTCAACAGCCCTACATCGTCCAGAGTGGCATCAAACTGATCAACCCGCACCACCCGGAGCACTTACAATCACTAAAGAGACCACCCAGGGCAAATGCTAATCGTGATCTTGGCCGCTCTGGCACTGTCGCCAATTTCACCCCAAGGACTGTTGAAGAAGTCCGCTCCGAGGTCATGGGAGTTTTCGATTCTCTTACTAGGACTGACGAATTACCCACCATGGATCCCCCAGCATCCATCACGACCCCCTTGCTCACTCACCAAAGGCAGGGCCTCTACTTCATGATGACTAGGGAGAAGCCACGTGAGCTGCAGCTTCAGGAACAGGCCATGGTATCCTTTTGGCGGACAAAAACCAATATGAATGGGCATAAGGTGTTTCATAACGTCATCACCGGCGAGAGCCAGACTTCCGCCCCCTCGGATACTCGCGGTGGTATACTTGCCGATATGATGGGCCTTGGCAAAACGCTTAGCATCCTGTCGCTCATCTCGAGTACAGTCGAGGAAGCCCGCCAATTTCAGCATCTGTTGCCGGAGCAGCCTTCTGCTCCGGAAATTAAGCCAACAAAGGGCGACATTGATGCATCACAGGAGCCGTTGGGCCTCACGCCGGTGGTTCGAAATACCAAGGCCACCTTAATCATATGCCCCCTCAGCACCATTACTAATTGGGATGAGCAAATCAAGCAGCACATTGCTCCCGGTGAGCTTTCCTATCATATTTACCATGGGCCCAACCGTATCAAAGATATAGCGCGGCTCGCCTCATACGACATCGTCCTTACTACCTATGGATCTGTCTCGAACGAGCTCGGCGCTCGTCGCAAAGCCAAGAGTGGCAATTATCCGCTAGAGGAGCTCGGATGGTTTCGCATTGTTCTGGATGAGGCACACATGATTCGCGAGCAGTCCACCATGCAATTCAAGGCCATTGTTCGTCTTCAAGCGCAGCGGCGGTGGGCCGTGACCGGAACTCCTGTTCAAAACCGGCTGGATGATTTTGCGGCTCTCTTGTCCTTTATTCGTCTGGAACCTTTTCACCATAGAGCGAAATTTGTTCGCCACATCGTCGAGCCATTCAAAGCCTGCAATCCTGAAATTGTCCCCAAACTTCGTATTCTCGTCGATTCAATCACTCTTCGTCGATTAAAGGACAAGATTGAATTGCCCTCTCGAGAAGATCTCATTGTCAAACTTGATTTCAGCCCAGAAGAGCGGGGCGTATACGATCTCTTTGCCAGGAATGCACAGGATAGGGTCAAAGTCTTGGCTGGGAATCTCACCTCTGGGGCTCTTGGCGGGAATACCTACATTCATATTCTAAAAGCCATTCTTCGCCTCCGCTTGCTTTGTGCGCACGGCAAAGATCTACTGAATGAAGACGACCTGGCAACCCTGCGCGGTATGTCGGCCGAGATGGCCATTGATATTGACGAAGATGACGATAAGGTGGACGGGTTTTTCCTTTCCCACCAGAAAGCACATGAGATGTTTACCTTGATGCAAGACACCAACAACGACTCGTGCATCCAGTGCAACAAGAAAATCTCCTCTCAAGAGACACAGGCGGTAGACGCAGAGAACGAAAACGATACCCTAGGATACATGACGTCTTGCTTTCACGTTGTTTGTCCATCATGCATTAAAGCTTTTAAGCAGCGATTTAAGGCCGCTTATGCACCTGGTCAAACTTTTGCCCCTTGCATCGTTTGCAACGCCCAAGTCCCGTTTGGATTTGTTAATATCTGCAGATCAGACGTGGAGGGTGAACATGAAGGCACTCTTAAATCCAAAAACAATAAAGCAAAGCCAAACGGGAAAGCACTCGACAAATATGATGGCCCCCATACCAAGACAAAGGCTCTCCTCGAAGACCTTCTCAAATCCAGAGCTGCAAGCGAAGCCAACCCTCATGAACCTCCTTTCAAGTCTGTTGTCTTTTCCGGCTGGACCTCACACTTGGATCTCATCGAGCTAGCGCTCAAGGAGGCTGATATCTCTTTTACAAGATTGGATGGTAGCATGACGCGGCAAGCACGCACGGCAGCAATGGACAGTTTTCGCGAAGACAATAGCATCCATGTCATACTTGTCTCTATCATGGCCGGTGGACTGGGTCTGAATCTGACTTCTGCCAACAACGTGTACGTGATGGAGCCGCAGTATAACCCGGCAGCCGAAGCCCAGGCAGTTGATCGTGTACACCGCCTTGGCCAAAAGCGACCTGTGCGCACCATCCGGTACATTATGCGCAACAGCTTCGAAGAAAAGATGCTCGAGCTGCAAGAAAAGAAGGTGAAGTTGGCCAGCCTCAGCATGGACGGCCAGAACAAAGCGCTTGACAAGGCAGAGGCTGCGAGACAGAAACTCATGGATCTTCGCAGTCTGTTCAAATGATGAGATTGTAATTCATCATAATTCCCATAACGAATTAACGAATTTTAATATTGCTTGTTTTCTTCTTTTCATTTTCCAGCTTCGATATACCGACAGCTTTTTGCATTATCTCTTTTATATTTTCCTTCTTCTTCCCAATTACATGGCATACATACGCATATATGCTCTGACCTCTCTATTTCATTGATACTCTCGTCACTCCACGCGACAGCATCTTCATGTTGGGAGAGCCAAAGCGAATTTCTCGGAGGCTGAAGAGGAAACCTGTTCCTTCCCTCCTTTCATTTCTTATATATATCTCATTTCATCTTATTATATCTCATCTCATCTCGGGTATGGCAAACACTCTGGTTCCGCGGCATATTGTGGCATTTTTTACATACCAAAGCTCTCACGAGCCACGCCTGATCTTAGCGGCGCCCGGGATCTGGTGACATTTGGCTTACATTTTCTTTTCTACTTGATTGATTCCCCCTTTCCTTTTCCTTTTCCTTTTTTTTACTTTAGTCTGGGAAGGATGAACGAGAGTGCATTGATAACTCGTAAAAACATGGGAGGGACTAGTCCGCATCTATGATTGATATTTGCTCACCAAAATATTATTGTTTCCTTGTTATTGTTCTTGCAAGTCTGATTTGTGATATGTGATTTAACTTGAAGGGAGTCTCAATCAGTGTCCTCTTTTTCTCCCTCTCCACATCAACATTCTGGCAATGTAACTTGTTAGGGACTAAGAAGTGACGTCGATATAGCAAAATCCTTGTGAAAAAACATGTGCCTAAATACTGGCGCTCATTGCCCCGTCCCCCTTTTGGCCCGTTTTTATGCTCTTAACACGTCTAACGCCATGCACCAAAAAAACCAGCAGCTAACGATGTAACTCATCTAAGAAAAATTCATTAAGCGGTCGTTAAAAAGTGCACATTGAACGTCTTCCTCCCCTTAAATAGTCAGGGAGCAAAGAGTATCGAAAATGGAATAAAATGTGGGATTATGCCTGATCATCTTCCTCAGCTCCAATAGCAGCCCACTCAGTGCCCTGATTCACAGAGCTCAATCTGGCACACAGACTCAGCAGCACCACAGTCTCCGTCGCAGCGTAGTGATTGAGCGAGTCCGACAGAATCTTCATGTGACGGCCAAAGTTGCTCTCCCACTTGCGGATAATGTCGGCAAGATTATTAACCCGCGATTCAACGCTCTCCATGGTCGAAGCATCATGCTGTGCTGCTGACCCTGAACGCGGAGCGCTGCTCCTTGACGCCTGGAAGCGCCGCCATTGGTCGTCGGTCATGGTGTCGGGCTTATTGCCGCTAGACAAATCAGGATCAGACTTTTCGATCTCGCGGGATAGGAAGCTCGTGTAGGCAGCGAAGATGCTGCAGGATTGCATAAGCTTAGAGTTGACCTAGACAAGCAGTAAGATGTCAGTAAGGCATTGGTAAGATGGGAGAATGGGGATTAGGTCATTCGTCATACTTTTAGTAGCTTGCTATTGGTGAGCATACACTCTTTGAGGCACGTGTCCAAGAAGTCTACATGGTCTTGCATCAGCTCGTCTACCGTCCGGTTGACTCCAGACTTCCTGTCAAAAGTGTCGTCCTTGGCTTTCAGACGGGACATGAACTTTGTCCAATTTGGTTCAATTACTTCTGCAGTGCAGAAATACAGGACTTGCTGGACGTAGATGAGCATTCTCGCTCGAAGCGTCGAGGCTCGTCGTTTCCAGGTCTCAAGCTCTTGGTTGACGCCCTTGTGGGCCCAGGTCACGCCCTTTGTATGTGTCTGCCAGGTCGACGACAGTTGAGACTCCAAGGTGCGTAGAGAGAGCAAGAAACGGAAGAGTGCTTGGTAACGCCAGACGGTCTTGCGGCTAATCACTAGAGAGACCGGGAAGGGAACAGAGTAGTCGAGCTGAAGAGATGTAAAGCCTGTCGCGTTCTTATCCGGTTCAATGGGTGGCTGGTTAGTAACAGGTTGCATCACTTGGCCTGACTCTATTCCTGTGATGTTTACAACCCGCTGGAGATTGTTGATGAGAGTAATCTCGTTCATTTCCACCTTTACATCCTCTTTGAAGGGGTCAAGCGAGGCCACAGTCCCCGGCTGGCGCAGAACTATATCCAGTAGAGACTGCAGCTTGCTCGTGTTGACAGACTTGACGGGTTTTCTCAATTCTGATGAACCAAGCTCGAGGAAGTATGAAAATGAGTCTGATGGATCGAGGAAGAAGTAATGTTTGAGCGAGCGCAGTCTTAGCGGTAGCTCGTGTGTAGTAAGTAGCAGCTGCATGAGAGACTCGTTGGCATGAGCATAGGCATTGTTGACATTCTCAAGGAATCGTTTGTCGTCGAATGAGGTTGGTAGCTCCGTCACTATTTTGCTTACGTCCACTCCGCCACATTCGCGAACGACGTTTAGATACTTTCCAGCCAGCAGTACTTTCTCTTTGACGCCCTCCAGCTGCGGCGGCACATCTTGATCACGGATGGTATATCTCCTCTCCCAGTATTCGTCGATATAATCTCGCTCGAGTCTCTCTCGTCCTATGCTCTTCTGTTCCCTAATCATAAACTCAGAGTGAGGATCATGGATACTGCCATGGTGCAACCATTCATTCAGCATCTTCATATATGGTCGACTCGCGTCCCGCAACAATGAAGTTAATAGTGATCGGGCAGCCGGATCACCGCCCATCGACTCTAACCTTGAGGCTAGCAAGCCCAAAACCCCGCCGCCCTTGCAGAATTTCAGGGCTTTGGAACTTCCAGGAATGAGATCTCCGCCCTCAGCAAGCCTCTCAAGGACCTTTTCGTAGTCGTCTATTTCATCGTCGTCTTCCTCATCGCTTTCATCGTCCAGCAGCGCGTTCTTCTTCAAGAGCTCTTGTGCCATGGCATAAAGGTGGGACAGCATCTGGCATGTAGGCAATGTGTGTATGTGGAGGACGTGGACGGTGAATGATTCGCTCGTCAGAAATTGTGTTTCCAGCTGAGCAATCATGACCAGGTAATCCTGCAGGCACTTTCTTACGGAAGCACACAGCGCATGATTGACCGCGCCGAACTCTTCACGGCTCTGCACGTCGACAAAGGCTTCCAACGCTGAATAGTAGGTGGCCATCTTCAGCATGGACTTTGTCAAATCATGCAAGCTGGGGTCAAGACCCGGCAAGATCCGAAATGGCGGCCCAGACAGTCGATCTCTCTCCTCGTGAGGAGTGTAGCCCCTAGCATATCGAATGTACTGCCCCTCATAGCCCATGAAAACATATAACAGATCTTCCACAATGGCTGCCTCCTGAGCCTCCAGCGTCAACTCGTTCAGAGGTTTCGGCTGTGGCGCAAACGGAATCGCGAAAGCAATGGGAGGGATTGATATTCGCGAAGCAAGGGCGGCAGAAGAATGCGGCAGAAGCGTCGCCTCGGGGTTCCAGGTAGCTGGTCATCCTAAGTGTTAGCTCTATGTAACAGAAAAGAAAAGATGTCAAGCATATATAAACCGTCTCCCTTCAATAGGAGAAAGAAAAATAAATCGTACCTGGGGGCGTCTCTGCTCGCATCTCTCTCTGCCGCAAATCAGTCGACGATTTTTGTCTGCGCATCTCCGCCGGCCTCTTCTCCGGAGGCTGCTGCTGTTGTGGCTGCTGCTGCGACTGTTGCAGCGTCGACCGTCTTTGCGGCTGCTTCGCAGGGCTGTTCGTCCGCGAAACCACCCGCTCCACGTGAGCCTCAAAGGCCCTCTCGGTGACTTTGCGCTCCTCGTAGCGTCGCTCGTCCTTGGCCCTGCTCGCGGCCCTCGCATTGCCTGCTGGCGACGATCGCTTCTGTGATTCGTTGCTGCCGAACGGGCCCGCCTCTGCATTCTTCGCATCCGCCGCGCCCCTTCGCAAGTTTCCATTGGCTCCAGGAACCCGGGATCGGTCGTCAGCAAAGACGCTGGCGCGGCTGGATGCCCTCGTTCTTACGCCAGACATTATCGCAGGTTTTGGCTACATCCGAAGCTCGTGTGTAAATGGACGTGCCCGCCTCGTGCCGCCACTTCGGGCCAGCCTCGGTGAAAGAATGAGGGAAATTGTAAAACAAAATACGTCTCACGCTCTTATATCATGGAGAAAGAATTGGTACTGGGTCTACTTCCTCTCGGTGTTTGTGGTGTTGTGTCCGTCACAAGTTTTGGCCAATGCTGGGTATAAGTTGATTGTGGCTTGCTTGTATGTCATAAAGAGCAGGCAGCTTAAGCTTGCACCTACCTCTGCATTGCTTGCTCTCTATTGATTGGCCATAGTGGGGTGGAATACTACCATCAGGCGCGTCGCGGTTGCCAGCTCCATTGCGCCGGATTAACATTGACCGCGCTTCCGGCTGCAGCTCTGGTCTCCAATGTGGCGCCAGCTGTGGCGGTGCGCTCGAAGCGTCGTGCTTGGTGCCTCAACCCCACCAGAAGGTACCTACGGATTGCGTACCTGTGCTGGAGGTGTTGCAGGGAAGCTGGATGCGTAGGCCGAGTGTTTGCCTGATAGCAGCAAACACCAACACCAGCTTCGACTTTCTCTCAGCCTTTCCTCGCAGCCTCACCATCCCTCCGCTCTCCATTCTCTCTCGCTGCTTGATACTCTCACTGGCACTCTAGGCCAAAATCCACAACTCACACAATCCGCCAAGATGTTTATGGCAAGATCTGAATACGGCAAGCATCTCTCCCCGCGCGCCCTCATCTGCACTCCCCTCCTCGTTGCTGAAGCTCTGGGCAAAAGCCCACGAAGAGGCAGAAGTATCTTGAGAATGAAGAAACAGACATGCAGCCATACAGATGCACCAACATACGGCCAAACAATACGAGATCCTCTGCGCTAACTGCATTCTCTTCCACCTCCAGATCGGGGTATCAACACCTTCTCCCCCGAAGGTCGTCTCTTCCAGGTCGAATACTCTCTCGAAGCAATCAAGCTCGGCTCCACCGCCATCGGCATCGCCACCTCCGAAGGCGTTATCCTGGGAGTCGAAAAGCGAGTCACCTCCTCCCTCCTCGAAACCTCCTCCGTCGAGAAGATTGTCGAGATCGACCGCCACATTGGCTGCGCCATGTCCGGTCTCCAGGCCGACGCCCGGTCCATGATTGAGCACGCCCGCGTCGAGTGCCAGAGCCACGCCTTCAACTACAACGAGTCCCTAAGTGTCGAGAGCTGCACGCAGGCCATCTGCGACCTTGCCCTGCGCTTCGGCGAGGGTGCTGACGGAGAGGAGACCATCATGAGCCGGCCCTTTGGCGTTGCGCTTCTCATTGCGGGCTTCGACGAGAACGGACCCCAATTGTTTCACGCAGAACCCAGTGGCACCTTTTATCGATTCGACGCCAAGGCCATAGGATCAGGCTCGGAGGGAGCTCAGGCAGAGCTGCAGAACGAATACCACAAGGTCAGCTTCCTCGCTTACACACCATACTATAAGATGCCAAGACAGTCCGCTAACGAAGATCTATTGATAGTCTTTAACAATTGCCGATGCAGAGACCCTGGTTCTCAAGACGCTGAAACAAGTAATGGAAGAGAAGCTGGACTCCAAAAACGTGCAGCTAGCCAGCGTCACCAAAGACAAGGGCTTCAGAATATACACAGATGATGAGATGGCCGCTGTTGTCGATCGACTACCATCAAACTAATCAACTACCATATGCATAACGAGAATAGAAAATAAATGCATTGCAGTCTCCATTGCTTTCCCATCACTCGAGCAGCCAAGTGAAAGAGTGCGTGCTGAGGGCCATTCAAATAGGCGTCATACATATGTCAGCATTACTACCTGGTTTAGGTGGTCGTGGCATCATACATAGCATCGTAACATAAACTCTTAAAAAGAAACAGTATACAGTTCTTAAAACGCAAAACAAAATTATCGCAATTGTGCTGATTTTCCTCATCATTAGATTTCCCACACTAGCAGAAAACCCCTCTCCTACCTTTTGCCACTTTCATCAAGCTATACCCTCCTTTGTTGCCCTGAACGAGCTCTCATTACTCCTTCCTAAAAACTTCAACAAAAAAATCCGTCTCGAAAATCCCTTTGAAATAACCGCTGCTGTGTATCTCAGTGTTGTGTGTACCGCAAACAGAGAGAAGCAAAGCATAATGATAACAGATGGAAATAAAAAGAGAAAAAAGAAAAGAGAACAATCCCTATGACTGTGAGCTTGCATTCCTGCCAACCGGTTACTTGAGCCTTTCTCCCTGTTCGTTCTTTTCTTCTTCCTTCCCATTCACACTTTTCGACTTGTCTTCTTTCTCCCTGTGCATTCTGCCGGTCTCTCTAAAACATCACGCATTCTATACCGGTGGTCAGTTTAAGTCGTCCCGTAGTTCGAGTCTCGCGAGTTCTGTTTCGATTGCTAGTATCCCGATTGCGTAATGTGTTCTTTCAGCCTTGGCCAGTACTAACCGCCGTTCATCGCTTGATTCTAGTTCGTCGATTTTCTTATCAATTCGGCGAGGGTTCTTCCATATGGAAGATGGAAAATCATTGATAATGGTTGGTCGGGAATATTCTGGCCCACCCATTGTGCTTGCCTTGATCCATGCAGATTCACATCCACAAGCGATTTGCATGGCCGACTGCCATCCTGTGAGACGAGCAATGTCATGCATTCTCTGAATAACCCATTCTCTCTGTGCAGTTTCTTTATACTAAAGATATGTCAACATACATTGCATGCAAACAGAAAGGAGAGACAGTGGGAAAACTGTATACTCACTTGTATCCCTGCGACAAAGACACAAAAGGAGCTCTCGATAAGAGCAGCACCAAGATAGGTGTTTATCTCTGCATACTCTGAACAATCCGCGGCAAGCCCAAAGGCAATTCGTCCAATCTTTAGAGCAAAGCCCGCCGTCTTCTGTGCCATTAGCCCCGCTGCCCTCATGGCCACTGGAGGCATCGATGGGTGGCTTCGATACAGATGGATGAATCCCATGTAATAGTTCATCCAGATGCCGGCAATAGAGTACGTTTTGAAGTAAATTGCGTTGCCAAAGGGCGTTTTTGTTCCTTTTTGGTCTCCAAATCCACCATTTGTGGGCTGAAACTCGGGTCCAAGACGGCTCTTGAAAACCTCAAAGGAGCGGTAAAGGCTATTCCATTCCTGCAGAGCGGCTTCGTAGATTGCTTCGGGATCAATATCGTCTTGGGAATCGCTCTGCGGCGTGTCGTCTCTTGGAGGACTGAAGCCCATCGGCGCTTGTACTTTACCAAAGGTTGGAAACATGCCCGGAAACATAGTTGGAGATCCAGTTCCTGCTCCGCCACCTTGAGCCTCTATGGCCTTTTGTTTTCGAGATAAATCCTTCGAAACGAAGTCTGAAAGCCGCCCGAGCAACAAGATCAAATGATCATATGTTCCATACCTAGTGATGCGCAGATCATTAGCAGCTGTTTTTATAAAGGAAGAGGTAGGGGTTTGGGGTTACGTACGCCGCAGAATATGTCGAAAAGGGGGCTCTTGGAGGAATCTGTGTCCAGAATTCATACTCCATGCTGCATTCCAATCAACATCATATATTCAGCCATTTATTAGAGCGAAGAGCGCTTACAAGAGCTTAGTACCCCCTAATATGCTTTGATATACATCCATTTTGCAGTACCACCAAAAGAGATCGCAAATAATGTCATATTTCTCAATCTCTTTATCGGTTGGTGGAGCGTTCCTTTGGTCAGAAGGCTGTCGTTCTCCTTCGCCGTAATCTTCAGGTGTTACGGCTAATCCTGTGATAGCGCGTAGAAAGTCGTAATCCGGATTATTCAGTCCACCGTGCGGTGTTACTGACGGCTGGTGAGAGCCAGAAAACTGGGAGCTTATGTGCCCCAGTTGATATCCCTTGGCTTCTTGGCCTTGCCTCATACGCTTCACAGGGAAGCATAATCGAGTCATGTCCCCTAAAGACATCTCGCGGAACAAAATCCTGGCACCAAATAGGTGATTGCACCACTTCGTATGATCAGACGACCAAACCTCAAAATACCCGAGCAAGAGAGTTGCGGCAAGAGTTGCCGGCTGAGTTCTCTTAGAAGGCGACTTTACACTATTGGCTACACGGCGAATAGCGCGATGGTAATGCTTCAGTGCTGCTGTCGGGGGGCTGTCTCGTAGCTTGGCAAGCTGAAGGCTCGCCAACGCAAGCATAGCATGGAAGAGACCCAGATGCTGGAGTGCCAGTGTTGGAATGGCGTCTATAGAGACAGTCAGCAAAAAACTACTTGTACTCTGGCATTTTTAGATCCTATGATTGACTTACAGCTCCACAGACTTTGCCCAGATCCTGCTGCTGTTCTGCTTCTACCTCTCTCCGATGCACAAGATATGTTTCCTTCAAAGATTGAAATCCCAGGTCCGGTGACATTGATAAAGTGCATAAAGACCATGTTTAGGCCACTAGCCCAGTATTCAGCAGAATAGGGAGTCTCCATGTACGCCAACACATCATCATTCTGGGCAAAAGCTGAAAAAATGCTAGCGCCTGCAGCATTCAAAGTCCAGTGCTCTGATACCATGTTCTTAATAGGTGGCAAATTTCGTCTAACATCCGGCATATCGTCATCAGAGTCAGGTATGGAGGCTTCATCATCCAGCATATCGGGTTCCCATTGATTATTCAGGGGCTGGGGGACAGCAGCGGCGCCTGGATGGCTACTCAGTCCATTGTCACCATCCAGACTGCCAAAACTGGTAATTGCATCCTGAGTTGTAGTTCGGTCTGGGGCCGGATAAAAAAGGGCCTCGGGAGGTGCGGTGGCAAAGTAGCCAGGTCCCCCGTTAGCTTCGGCTGCAAGCAGGGGGTTAGGGAACTGTGTGTTATAGGGAGCCTGCATATATTGATTAGGACCCATATTGTATGCGGGTGCATTTTGTAACAATGCTCCTTGATGAAATGGATGCCGATATGGTGCTACAACCGGCTGAAGAGGCATTCCATGTTGATGATGGTCAAAGGAGGGAGGTCTCGGCGCTATAGCTGGAAACAACCCTCTTGATGGCTGCCTGCCGGGGTGCGTGGACAGCGGATCACCTGCGATGCCCAATGAGCCAGAGGAGTAGATTCCTTGACTGAAAGGGGACGAAAACGAGCCAAGAGGTTCCTTGAATATGACTCTTTGGCTATATCCCTCGCACTCGCGTCTCGACTTGATGCAGTTGTTGCAAATTGGCCTGCCTTCGTCGCATTTAATGCGTCTCCTACGACAAGCTATTGACAATATTCTATGTTAGAGAGGGAAACCCGAAGTATAAGAAAATGGAGAAGATTTGGCGTCTAGAAAAAAGCAGATTCAAACAACTACTCACTGAGACAGCCGGTCTTGGTCCGCTTCCTGGTAGTGCCTGTCTTTTTGCGATTCGCCTCGTCCTTGTCTCCGTCATTTTGCAGCGAAGAATTTCCATGGTGTTCATGCATAGGGGCCTTTGCTGCCACAGATTGCTTTTCCATCATGGTGGTATACTTTATTTAAAAAAGAGATGGTGGATGTTATATTAAAGCTTCCCTTTCTCTTTGGTTTGAAATCGAACAGAGATGTGAGAGAGTGTTTCGCCTGTGTTGAAAAAGTGGCCAAAATGATTCCAAAAGGACAACTTTATATAGAAGGAGATGTGAGTTTGAAGTAGGCGACAAGATAATATGCCGTAGAGCATAAGGAGGGAAAGATCCCCATGTGAGGGGCGCAAGACAAGAGTACGGCGGCCACGACTCCCACAATGGTACGGCAGAAGAAAAGAAAGACGGCACCACTTGCTGCTGTGCTCAGCCACTGGGAGAAGAGAATGGGATTAGCACGCCTTGCCGAAAGGATGAAAGCATCAAATAGCGGATGGACAGGAGGAGGAGGATAGTAGCCAGTGGAACATGGCTGGTGTAACACGAGGGCAGAGCGGATGCCAGGATGAAGCGTCGAGCGGTACGAAGATAAAGCCCGCTCGTGATCACGATCATGCAGCCGCGGACGATGCCGGCGGCGATGGAGCCAGAAATGAAGCAAGAAAGGACTGAGATGGACGAGATGGATGAGGATATTGGAGAGGAGAGCAGCAAAAGACCTGACGAATGCGTGCAAGGAAAGACTTCATACGACAACGGAAGGCGAGGAGGAGAAAAGAGAAGCAGGAAGAGAGAAATAGGGAGATATCAGAGCAGGCGCACGTGTGAGTGACGAGGAGTCGTATCCCGGCAAATGCTTCTTTTCTTGTTGACGCAAAGTACTGCTGGGTACGAGTACTAGAGCATCTCGAGATCTTGACAAGGTGTTGAGAAGGGCGTGGCGCTTTGAGGGCGGAGGGGTGGAGCAATAATGACGAGGCAATACGATGCTGGCGGTGGTTGCCCAAACCAGGGGAGGAGCTCCCCACCAACTCACCTGTATTTCCGTTCCTGGGCTCAAACTACCACCTTATACTTGGCCGAGGGGTCGCTGTTGATGCCTAGAGTTAGCGAAGAAAGTATTCTGCCAGTAGATGAGGTGGATGGAGATACTTTTTCCGACGCCGTCCGTAACAGCGACAGCATGAAATGCGTGTACCTGAGAGAGTAAAGGTGGTTATGTTACCAGTGGCGAGAGACGGATTCAGCACCCAAGACCCGTGCCTATAACAGCTGGAGGATACATTCAGTCAGTCACCTTGACGTGTGCAAATCCCTCCTTTGTCGTTGACTGCCTTTGCCAGGTATGATGCCCAGACCAGCCTTTGGTGCCGAGTGCTGAGAGCAGTTGTTGTTAGCTAATCTTGACGCTTTGAACAGGGCAAAGACAAACTGGAGATGCGGCGAGAAGCATGCAATGACAATGTACACAAGTATACATACCTGTCGTCACGTCCGCAGTCAGTGGCACCAGCAGACGCAAACACCAACCTTGTCCTGTCTCAAAGCAGCTGGGACTAGAGGGTAGAGGCAGAGGGCTTGATGCGCAGACACACAGAAAATCGGGTTGTACCTACACCGATAGTGATACCCTGTTGCTTCAGACAGCCGGCAAGCCCCCAAATTAGGTACTTGTTCCTTTCGATCGAGACCCAACCGGAGGGGACCAATCAATGATTCAGGTCGGCGCCTGTCTGGCAACCACAGGCGCAGCCCTTGTAGGCTCTCTCGCTCGCCGCGGGAGTTTGCAGAAAGGTCGCTGCACAGATGGGGAGGGGTAGAGGCGTGGATCGCAAGAAGAACACGAGGGTGCTAGGATGCCGGGATGTCAAAGATGCCAGCTTGGCGATGGAACCGTGCTCTTGGTAGACGCAGATATAAGGGAGAGGGGAGAAGGGGAGGCGAGCTGAAGAGAAAGGTACCAACCGATTGCTTACTTGCTTGTTTACTCGCAGCGTGACTGACTGAACTGAAGGATTCAAACCGACAGATACTGGGCAGGCAAAGTACTCGAAGCTAGGTAGGGGGCAAAGACGCCGAAGTTCTTGAGAGACTGGGATGGCTGTTCTTTTGTTCCCCTCCTTTGACTCCTCGCCTTATCTGCTCAGGTGGGTGGTATCACCGACGGAATTGGTCATCTAGACCTGCAAGAAGGGAACGAGGAAATTTGTCTAACGCTTCTTTTCCAGCCCCCGGACTCATGGGCGAGCGAGAAGAGCAACCTATATAATCAAAGAACACCGTCCCTTGCCTCGCATGGCAGACACCGAGGACGAATAGAACGACTCTCCTGCTGGATGGCAACTCCAGCCGGCGATCACCCCGGCATTGGCCCACAAGGCTAGGTATGCATGTTAGACGCTCAACTTTGCTTTTTATTATGCCATGCCAGCTTTACCCATGCACAGAGCTCAGTCCAGTTCCTCCTCCTTGGTGCTGATTCTGGGGCGGGCACAGGCCAGCTTGTGAACAGGAATGGGATGCTGCCTCAGGGCTGACAGCGCCGTCGTGGAGATGCGCCCATTGTCCGCTATCCGGATCTCTTATTCTGAAGTTTGCTGTCCGGAGACAGTCTGCAGTCGTCAGTTGCTTTGGTGCCTGAACATGTCTTATCATTCTTGAAGAGAAAGCACCTAGTAGGCCTGGAGAAATGACAAGGACAGGAAAGGCCATGACAATGACTGGGCGCCGCTGCCGCGGAAAGGATTCCGATCTAAGAAGAAACACAGACCCGTGGACACAGATGCTTGCAAAAAACGGCGAAGATGGGGGCGAGAAAGGAGAGCTGAAGTCAAATTCAGGCCCCCCCTTGCTATGCATTGCTCGTCAGCCACTGCATAGGAACAGCAGGACGAGGCTGGCCTATCAGCAATCGTCTGCTAGCCTGTACACATTGAAACCATAGCCGCTGCATCGCTGCGTATCGCGTGGTGATGGCTGTCTTGCCAGGCCACTCGGCACTGTCAATCAACTGCTCGATTGTTCATGCAAAACCACGCGCTGGCCATGATCTCGATGGCAGCCAAATGCCTATGATCCCAGCATCATGCTCAGCCAGCTAGGTTGCCTATCCATCCATGCCGGCCTATATTGGCCACGTCTCACGATACTACACTTTTTATTCGCCAAATGTCAGTAGTTCCCCTCTCAGCTGCGCCATACCCCCAGCCAGCCTGACATGATTCGAGGATGAGCTTCACACCAATGTCAAAAATCCTTGTCCAAGTCACGTCCTCCTCTCTTTTCTTTTTCACTCTGCAACACCAATGGTGAGGCGGCGCGAAAAAAAAAAAGGGGGGGGGGGGGCGCCAGACAGGAAAACATTGTGTCGCACAACCAGGACGGGATGCTGTCCAAGGTTGCAAGAGTTCAACTGTATATGCCCACGCCAGCCACCAGCCAGACTATACCAGACGGCAATTACCGCCCAGGCACGTCCTAAGTGGACCTTTGCAATTAGCTAATACAGCCGCTAGATACAGCCTTGCGGGTTGTGGTTGCAGCAGCTCCGAGTGTTTCGAAGCTGGGTGGACACGGGACCTGAGATGGAGAGCCACCCGATGCTACCAAAAATTGATCTCGATGTTGTCCATCGCAGCGCATCCAGTTCTTGGCCAACAAATGCGGGCAAATCCTCGTGCTAGGCGTATGTCTTTCGGCGTCCCCTCATCTGATAGACGTAGAAAAGAGTGCGATCTATACAAAATACGGCGTCTGTTTCTAAAGTCAGGTTTATATTCGGTCATTCATGGCTGTTAACTCCTAGTATCATTCTCTACGTCTTCTGTGCTCCTTGAGCTTTCGCCATCGTCAAACGAAAGTATGAAGTCTCCAGTCGATCCCGAGGCAAATATATATTCTACTCACCGCCCTCAATTCATCCATGATCCAGCCATACACTCAACTTCTGGCTGGCCTGCGGAACATGGTTGGTTGCTCTAAATCATGCATCTCATCGCCCATCCGCCGCTTATGCCGGTCGAATTATGTTTCTGTGGTACACAAACCAGTCGCCACGTGCTACCCAAACTCTCTTGACTCACATTTCCCATGGCATGATCCTTTACCGCTTTTGCAGTTCAAGAATAAGGCCTGCCGTGGCCGCGGCAGCAGCAGTATGCGAGTACAACGGTGGTCATGGTTGTGATTATATGGCTGTCGTGGTGCCTGGGAAGAGTTGTACCCAGTCCTGGCTCACGGCTTCCTGCGTCATCTCCAGAGTCACATACCGCCTACCTTGCATGGACGAGATGCATGGATAAGGTGCTCAATAGGCGTGGAGTCTAGTCTACTATGTAGGCTGGGGGATCGGCACCCACGGACACAAACTTATCAGATCGTCAGCATTTGATAGGAGCCGGTGTTGGCTTGACTTCTTATCCGCATTCACAAATCATGGCCCACCATGACGGAAGAGGGCACTTAATGATCTATGCCCTCCTTCAGCTCCTGCGAGGGTTATGGCCAGAGCGCAAGCAAGCCCAGCCCGTCCTTCGCTCCCCTCTTTTTCTCCATCGTCGCCATATAGGCCTACATACACTGGCTTCGGGCATGTCTGAGACTGCCGCTTCCGCGAGTTACTGCTCCCCTGCCATCACCACAGGCTCCTCGCTCCATCTCTGTACGCAGCAGCACATACAACGGCAAGGGACCGGGGCCCGACCAGATCTGCCGTCGTGGACCAAATCTCTGTAACACCCTGCCCGCTGTATCGGGAGCGGGTGAGAGATTATTCATGCCACCATGCGCCGAAATGGTGCATTGTTGCCCCGTGGATCAGACCAAAAAGCGCGGTACATGTTACGCCGCGCTCTCACTTCGCTTTGAGACCCGCAGCTCGCCATGCAAACACCCTCGCTGCCGTCTTGTCCCCTGCCGCCTCGACCTATCTGTGTTTTGCCAGAGTTTACGGATATACTCAGTGTCTCTGCCAAGCTTGGCCATGTAAACCCATCACTCAAGTGTGTGTACGAAGGAAAGATCTGGTCGTCTTTTTAGGCCCCCCTTTTTTATGGGTATATATACAACCTCGTCTTCTATTCACACGCCCCCTTTCTCTAAGACACCACTGACCGCTGTTGATGCGAGAGCATATATATGTTTCTTTCTCTCAAATTACAGGAATCATCCTCCGCATATGCGCAATCAAGGTTCCGATGCTTTCGGGCGAGTGCTTAACCCAAACCTGCATTCGATTTCTCCATCCTGCTTCCACACACGAGATGATGGCTTGATGGCGATAGGGTGCCTAAGCTTGCGAGAGGTGGTGTAATCTTAAATAGACTACGACTTTTCTTGTCGGCAGCTCACCATGATTTAAATGCCCTTTTAGAGGCATCTCGCATCAATTTCCCTTAATAGCGTTGATTTAAACGCACAATGCAAGCTAAAGACGCCACAGTGGTCCCTTGTTTTCCTGGCTCATATTGTGATTCCATATGTACACAAGTGAAGAGATTGAATCTTGGTCCAAATCGAAAGTTATCAAGCAGGGTTTTTCCAAAGTGAATCGTGATGGTAGTACGATTAGTAGTATATAGATAGATAACATACTAATTTATCCTAGACTCTAAATTACCTTGGACTATTCTTTGCCTTTTGGAAGCTGTTCGTGAAGGGCTTACGACTGCTTGGTTGAAAAGCCATAATATTTGCTGACTGAGCTATGCCCGTTTCCATCTAGAGTTGAGGCGACTGTTGTTTGAAGTAAGTACGCATTTGATGTCTTTCCGATATCATAGTATCTGATGTGTGGAGCCTAAATCGATCTGCTATTGTGTAGAAGCTTAGATACCCAGCATAGCCTTCTAAAAGGCCCTGAAAGATTTTCTAAGCCCTTTCAGAGGAGTTGCCTCATACAGAAGCTCTGTCCAGAAACAATCCTAGGGCGCGTAGGCACCTAGGTAAGGTACCTGGTGGTACAGTATGTAGTTTCGCTATCAATCCTCAGGCACTAAGACGTAAATCTCGTCCAATGTATAGAACACTTTGGCCATGATAAATATGTCCTCTAATAACACAGTCCTTTCCGTAATCTCAATCTATATCCCCAACACTCTCCATATCAAAACATGAATAGAGAGAAGGTGCTTATAGGTATGTATTGGACAACCAACGGGCCCCGCTCTTACCGAATGAGGCTCTTATCCATACAAGGGTTATATATTCAACAAGAGGTATGCCAGGCGGTCATCCTCCAAGTTGGAGCCTCCAATAAATGCCTTTTACGTGCCGCGCGGATAACTGATACTATTAATATCCTACCCCGCGCCGATAGGTAGGTATCTGCACCCAGCCCGCTTCCTTGGAACAATGGAGCCTGAGGTATGCACTATGTAAGGTGGCCAAGTTATAATAAGTATCTTGCCATTCTACAACTTGAAATAACCAAATACCTACAATGTAGTTTTTTGCCAGACTGTTACAGCATACAATCCAACCTACCATGGGAACAACCAAAACCACCTACCGCGTCCAGGGTATTCCTGCTGATGCCTCGCATGATGATATCAAAGTAATGATTTCCCAGGCCTTGGGGGAAGATGCGAGCACGCTTGATCCTACCATCCATTCGCTTGCATCAGACCCCTACAAACCTCTCAATTCCAGCACGATGGTCGCCACAGTCACCTTTGAACACGCACCAAAAACGCTCAAGGCCGGCGACGAACTGACGAACAATGTGACATGGGACAGTAGGACTCACTACATCACGGTGGACTCTTCTTTTAGAGGCTTTACACCTTTAAACGATGCGAAAGCCGAGCTTAACTCTGGGATGGAGTGAGTTTTTGTCGCCGATGAAAAGGTACCTTTTGCTTACAGATGCAGCGTCATCGCCGTCAGCGGATTAAGCAGCCATCCTTTTGGCTCCTGGAAAGCAAGAAGGGGCACTTTTATGTGGCTGAGAGACGAGGTTGCAAAAACGGCTGACAAGGCCCGTATTCTACTTTATGGATACGATACAACGCTTGTCGACAGCGACAGCTTCCAAGATGTCGGCGATATTGCACAGCGGCTGAGCGCCGATGTTAACGCGATGCGGAGCGGGCGATCAGTGAGTGTCAATTGTCCACAAGATAACTTGCAAGCTCACTCATTCCCAGGCCCAAGGCGCATTGGGTGCCGACCCCAATTATCTTCGTTGCGCACTCGCTAGGTGGACTGGTCGTGAAAGAGGCTAGTAAATTAGTATCCCTCGCTATTATTCTGATTTCTAATGGCGCATGGCGGTGCAGGCTATCTATAGGATGTCTGAGCAGTATCCAGATGACTTTCTGAGTATATACGGTCTATTGCTGTTTGGGGTCCCAAACGGCGGAATCAAGACCGAGTATTGGATGCCGATTGTGGATTCGAAGCCAAATAGGAGCCTCATAGACAATCTTGCGCCCGATGCCTACTATTTAAGAAACTTACAGGAAAACTTTAGCAGGGTGTTTCGCTTTCCTCATTTAAGGGTTTATTCGGTCTTTGAGACAAAGATGAGTGCAACTGCCAAGGTTGGTAGAAACGCCAAGGTTCTATGTTTCTATGTCACATAAATAAGGTAGCTAATGCAGTTGAATATCTAGGAAGAGTCACCTGGAGAATGGAAACTCACCGGACCTCCAGACATTCTGGTCACACGCGAGTCGGCAATAGGACATTACTCCGATCGGGTACAGCATAAACCTATCGCCTTTAACCAGAATCATTCTGATCTACCCAAGTTTGGCAGTAGCTTTGATGGAAACTACAGGGCCATTGAGCCCTTCTTCAAAGAATGTTACGACGACGCTTTGGAAGTGATACAGAAGAGATTCAGTGATGAAGGTTTGAGTCCGCACTTTATTTAGAATACTGTGGACGACAGTCATTGCTAACCAGTCATTCTCAGCTATCAAACCACAATACACCGAGCGTTCAAAAGGCAGAAGCCGTGCAACATGTCCCAGCTGTTCCCAAAAATATTATTCACAAATCGAGCTTCTGCAGCATCTGAAAGCGGAGGGAAATGACATCTGTTTCTGCAAAGTGCTTCGATATGCTGTTGAAAATGGTCTGAGCACTGCATCCTTACTGCTCCTAGAAGATGGAAGAATCAATGCAAAGGTCGACACATCCGGTTTGACAATTCTTCACTATGCAGCAAAGCATGGGCGGTTGGAAATGGTCCAGCTCCTTCTCGATCGAGGCGCCGACCTCAATGCGAGGGACTTGCATGGATCAACACCACTCTACCATAGTGTAGAACTAGACGTGGCTAGATTATTTCTCGACCGAGGAGCTGATATTGAGACCAAACATCGTGAAGAGGTTACATCGCTTATTAAAGCAGCTAAGTTGGGGAATACGGAGATGATCAAGCTTCTGCTCGATCGAAGGGCTAACATTGAAGCGAGGGATTGCCATGGTCAGACGCCACTTAATGCTGCGACTCGTCGTGGACAAACAGATGTGATCAAGCTGCTACTAGATCGAAGTGCCAACATTGAAACCAAAAACAAAGAAGCCCGAACGCCACTTCTGGTTGCAGCTCGTGACGGAAGAGCAGATGTGGTGAGACTGCTTCTTGAGCGCGGTGCTGACACGGAGTCGAGGAGCAATTCTGGTGTCACGCCGCTTATTGCTGCAGCTCGTGGCGGAAGAGCAGATATAGTTGAGCTACTTCTTGACGGAGGTGCACACTTTAAGCGCCAAGATGATAGCGGTAAGACGCCGCTCATGTGGGCAGTTGAGAGCGGAAAGGCAGATGTGGTCGAAGTGCTGCGTAATCGAGGGGCCAGAAAATCCAATTCGAAGGTCAATGTCATTAGCAGATTTTTCAATTCAAAATAATAAAGGAAACATTCATAGTAACAGCAAGAAGATACGTGAAACACTACCATCAGTCTAGAAGCAACTCTATAAATCAAACATCCAACTTTAACTGTTTATCCAGCAGTTTTTGATCCAAGCTCCAGCAAGTAAGAAGAAGAAAGGATAATGATTCACCTCACCCAATCTTACATAGCTCTCCATCATCCTCATCCAGCTTGACGACGTACCTCATATCACAGTTGCGAGCGGCAATGTGGTCAAGCTTTTTAGTAAAACACCAGGTAATGAACTGCATCTCTTTTTAGTACAAACTTCCATGATTCGTTTTCTCTTGATTGGAATTACTTACCAGTTTCGGCGAATTTATATCCCAATCGAATGTTTTCTCGGCTGGAACATCGTATTCCTCTTCGTCTTCGTCATCGTCTTCGTCTCCCATTTCCTCGTCTTCCATATCTTCGGGTTCCGATTCTTCAGGTTCAAATTCTTCATCATCTACTATGTAATTCGGATACTCAACTACTCGCTGTACTCGAAGGCGGCTAGCATGTGCGACGATTTTGGACATGTAGTAAGAGGCCTCGTTGACTTTGTTCAGATATGGCCTGAATTTCATATGGAAGACTAGACGAAAAAGCTCGCCATCGGTCTCAGAATCGTAAATCAGCTCAGACGGTATCGTCAGAGAACCGTCCCAACATCCAACACTCTCAATTGACCCATCAGTATGGTGAATCAACAATCCCGCACAGCGCAGGGCGTTTTCAGGCATAATCAGTCGATATTGAACCCTCAGCTGCTTGATATTGGTCAGTTCAGCTGTTGTCATCTTTACTTGACCGGGCAACCAGCTTTTAGCCACTATATCTGGCATGGCCGGATGAGTGACCTGCCACTCAGGCAATGGCGCTATTTTCTCTGGTATGTCAGGATATTGCCTAGACTCGCAGTGAGCTCCAAACATTGTGAGCTTGTTCTCTAACTTCAACAGAGTATTCACTATTAGACCTGCAACGGCGCATCCTGGCTTCAAGCGATAAGGTATCAAGGACACGTATCTCACATCTGAGCCATATAGCATCAACGGAGGCCCGAAAAACACACGTCGCCGTTGATTCGTTGTGAACTAATTAGCCACGACATCAGCATTTGCTACTACGTGTGTCCGGTGTTCAAGACTGCAAGTACGTCAAGTACATGTATATGAAAGAGAAAATGCCTTACCATAAGATACGGGCCAGACTGGTCCATATAATCGTCAAAAGACTGGTCCGTATAATCGTCAAAAGCCGCCAGTCCCATCGTTACAATCTCCTCGCCGTCGCGGAAGTAAAAAGATGTTGGTGTTCCTCGTCGGCCAGTTGCTGAAACTTCCAGGTCAGAGCTCCTCGTATGAACAATAACGCTGTTGGTGCCTTTGCTGCAAGCGTACACTGTGATGCCTTTGACGGGAACACCATTTTCTCGTAAAGGCAAGTAACTACACATCGCTTGTGCCGTGAAACTATTCAGCACCCTGGAATGTGGCGGTCCGTCTTTGTACATTTCACCCAGAAATGACTCTCCTGAGCCAGGCAAGTCTCGAGCGACATCCCAAAAAACTCTTAGAAGTAGCTCTTCAGAATAGTACTCTACATCACCAAATTGCCTCTGGTATGCATGGGCAAGCTGGTTGAGAACATTCTTGTGGCCCTATAAATTTCATGTAAGATTCAGGTAATACGTAACACACACACACACACAGCCTCTCTCTCTAATTGAGATCCTTTGACGGAATCACTTACATTTTTCAGAAGGTTAATGTCCTCGAGCGTGATATCAATCGGTCCGCAGCGCCATCCCTGCGCCGCGCTTCCTAGCCAAGAGGATTTGGGTCCATCAGTAGAATGGAATCGAAGAGCTAGAATACCGACTGGTCCAAGGACAAACTCTATGCTGCGGATTCGGTCGATGTTGACCTCGATGCGGGCACGTCGATGACTCAAAGCTTCACAATGAATAGGCGCGTTGAGACTTTCGACATGGCACAAGTAGTCAACGCCAAATATGTTGTTGAAGGAACCACAAAGATACACAGACTTCGTATTGAAGCTGGACATGAGGTCAGGGATACTATCAGGATGCGGACTTACTGCCGAAGAAGAAACAATGCCAGGCGAGGAAGTTGTAAGTCCTGTCAAAAATGAAAATGTGGTTTTATCTGCGTTGGCGTAGCATAAGATTCTGCCTTGTATTTCAGCGGGCAGCTGAGCACATTTCATGAGCAACGATTTCCATTCCGAGTCCGCAATGGTGCTACCACTGGCAAATGAAGCCAAGTGCCACGGATTCAGTGCCTTGAAGCAGTCCCTGGGCATGGTTTCTCTTAGTTGCAAACCAAGATTGTACAAGTCGACGGATGATGGCTTTGACTCCGACATCTGGGCGAGCTCCCGGCACGCGGAGTGAACGAAGAAGATTGGTCCAGCAGTGTTTGGAGTTCCACAAGGTTCGATACAAACGCGCATATTAGAATTTGTCCAGTAAACAGCTTCTAGAAAGACTATATGAGCCTCGAAGAAGAAGACATGGGGGATGGTGTTCGCATCCCCACTAGTCTTGGGGTCTGTGACTATAGCAAGAGATAAAAGTAAGCAAAGGAAGAAAGAAAACTGTAGCCGACTACAAGGGGAAAGGAAACGTTGCTACAACAATGTTGCTTACAGCCTAGAGCCAGCACCGCTGTCTCCCAGTTCTCGACTTTGTCCAAGTCATCTCCCTCATCATATTCGCGGCAAGTGCTGCTATAGAACTGTATTTTATTCCGACAGAGAACGCAATGCTGCTCCGCGGCATAGTCGATGATCGGTTCCATGTTGCTCGATTCTTGCCCTTGTAGTTCCGTATATTGAAGGTGAGCAATAAAATTCGATATTAGAAGCTAAAGATCACGAGTATTTAAAGTTTTCTCGAGCTCTAGAAGCTGGACCTGGGAGCGTTTTGCAACTTATAAGGACATCACAAGTGCTGAAATTGTTACCGAGATTTACATTTAGGGACAGAAAGAACCCGTTCAGTCCATGTAAAACACAATGCCAGGTCTTAGAACACTAAATTAGCACAATAAATCCTGTCAAAGCATGCATCGACTGATGAACATGGACATTGAAACATGCAAGTGGTCTTTTTCGTGCTCCCTTCCAGCAATTAATGAGCATTCTAGTTTTCACATTGAGACAAATCTATTCAAAGAGGAAGACTCTTTTAGATCCTTACAGCTGCCTCAATGTGTCTCGGCTATCATTTCATGGTCTGACCAATGCTTTGGCGAATCATACAAGTTACATTTCAATCACTTCTGTACGCTCAGCCATCTTTGCTGGTACTGTTCAATGTCTGTACGCTTTGCTCAATGATAGCTGCCACTAGCACAAACAAAATGGCTCCTTTCAGAATTGACAAAACGAAGAGCGACACAAAATGTCCAAGTCGAGTATACCACTTTACACACAAAGGGAGGGAAAACAAAGGCTCGGCAATCTGTATCAGTTTCCTGGCCGGCTGATCATACCAATTCTGCTAACTTAAATCATGACGCCGAATTCAATCCGATGACCGATTACGAGCTCCAAGATGAGATTGAACAAATTTAAAAAAAAAAAAGATTGCAGATGAAATTTATAGATGTCGAGAAATTACCTAAAGTGGTAATCCAGACTTATTTAGCACAGACCCACTAGCAGATTCAGTAGCAGCATATTCTTATCGATAAGCTATTCGGCAAAAAAAGTTCGTGAGCACTTTCACACCTAAAACGCCAAGCCAGGCTTTTTCAATCGCATCGCCAGCGGCACATCTCACCAGCACTGCGCAGGGTGCTTCAATTAAGAACAGAAAACGATACAAAAGAAAGAGAAAGAAAAGGGAAAAAGATGTTCGCAGTTCCGGGGTGGTCGGTATCATCCAACGCTCTCAAGGCTGAAAAGCCCACGGCTGGAGCTGGTCCTTCAGGCGCAAAGACCAGGAAGCGAAAGAGGTCGACAAAGGAGGAGCCTGTGACAGCTGCCAACGTCGCCGATCTGTATGAGACTGTCGTTGAAGGGAAGAAGAATCCCAGCGCAGAGAAGCCTGCCCAAGACTCAAAACGCCAAAAGAAGAACTCCGATGAGAAGAAGAAGGATGAAGCATTGAAACCGCAAGGAAGCGTTCAGAAGAGCAAAAAAGACAAGAAGAGGGAGAAACAGCAGAAGAAACAGGAGAAAAAGGACAGAAAAAATCCCAATCTTCAGCCTGTGTCCCAGAAGAACAAGAGGGAGAGCCAATCGAACTCTCAAGACGATGACGCTCCAGTCGAAACCTCCGAGTCCAAATCAGACGCCGCCGCCGCCGCTGCTACCAAGCCTCAACAAGCAGCAATTCTACCTCCTGCGCCGCCCAAGCTAACCCCCTTACAAGCGTCAATGAGGGAGAAGCTCATATCCGCACGATTCCGCCACCTAAACGAAACTCTCTACACAGCGCCCTCGGAGGAGTCCTTCAAGCTCTTCCAAGAATCCCCTGAAATGTTCGATGAGTACCACGAGGGCTTCCGGCGCCAAGTCAAGGTGTGGCCCGAAAACCCCGTCGACAGCTTCCTCAAAGACATCCGCACGCGAGCCAAGATCCGACAACCCCACGGCAAGGGCAGACCCAACGCCCCGCAGGTCAAACTCATCGACAGCCATCTGCCGAGGACCGGGACGACATGCACCATCGCTGACCTGGGCTGCGGTGACGCCCGTCTCGCAGAGTCTCTCCAGGCCGACAAGGACAAGCTCCACCTCGACGTCCGTAGCTTCGACCTCCAGAGCCCCAGCCCGCTCGTCACAAAGGCCGACATCGCAAACGTCCCTATGGAGGACGGCTCCGTCAACGTGGCCATCTTCTGCCTCGCCCTCATGGGCACCAACTGGCTCGACTTTGTCGACGAGGCCTACCGCCTGCTGCACTGGAAGGGCGAGCTCTGGGTCGCCGAGATCAAGAGCCGCTTCGGCCCCGTGCGCAACAAGCACGCCCCCGTCACCCACAGCGTCGGCAACCGGCGCAAGCTGCCCACCAAGAAGGAGGTCCAGGCCAAGGAGGCCCACGCCGCAGGTCTGTTCGAGAAGGATCTCGCCGTTGAGGTAGACGGCCAGGACGACCAGCGCCGCGAGACGAACGTGTCGGCCTTTGTCGAGGCGCTGAGGAAGAGGGGCTTCGTTCTACAGGGTGATGGGCGCGAGGCAGTGGACTTGTCAAACAGAATGTTTGTCACAATGCGCTTCATCAAGGGAGCTGCTGCTACAAAGGGTAAAAACATGAAACCAGACGATGCTGCTCCCAAGAAGAAGAAGATGTTTGGTCGCGTGCAGGATGAGGATGCGGACGACAATGGAGAAAATGAGGGGGGCATTCTCAAGCCGTGCGTTTACAAGATCCGATGAATTATTCACTCCTACTAAGGGCAGGAGAATCGTTTTTTACTATGTCTTATATTAATGGGCGGGAAAATGTCAGAGGGCTTTGATAGAAGTCAATAGTGTATATAAATGTATATGTCAGCTCATGATCAGTCGAGACAAAGAAAGCATAAACATTTCAACATAAAACGTAAAACGCCAACATCTTTCTTTCTTTTTGTTTTCTATTACATCCATCACTCCTAACTTTCCCTAAACGCCTCTAGATGCTGCATAAATTCTTAGCCACAAGGTTCGTGCAAAACGCTCTTCTTCTTAGGTACGGAGAAGGAAAAGCAGACAAAACGCGCGAAAGCGCAAGGAAACAAAAACCAATAGATTCCCGCGCTCTACCCTCGTTGCAGGGCAATGCTAATTATTCATAATCTCATTAAATAAGGAGTTTTAAAAGAAGATTAAGCTGGCCGCCATATCAACGTTGTCCTCAGCGGCCTGAAGGGCCTGGATCGCCTGCTCCCTCGTAGCTCCCATGGACATGAGACTGTCGATATGGGCTGGGGTTACGCCGGCTGCCGCTGATGCCGGAGCTGCCGGTTGAGCGGGAGCCGCCGACTGCGGTGGCCGTGCTTGTGCTTGGGCTGCAGGCTGTGAAGAGGTTTGCGATGGGGCATCTTGCACCGGCATGACAGCTCCAGATCTTTGGCCAATGGCAGTACCCGCTGGACCTGGTATAGTAGGTTCTTGAACGGCGGCTTCCTCCTCCTCCTTTGGAATCTCGGCTTCTCCGAGGAAAGAGATCTCCTGGCCTTGGATGATGAGTTTGTCCTTTGCCAAGTCGATGTGGGCTTGGTATCTCTTGAGCATATCCAGGCCAAGAAGCAGCTCAACCGACTTGCCCTCCATCACCGTAAAGCTGCAGGGCAGGAACAAATTGCCAATCTTGATCTGGGCTGAGTGAACGCGACCAATGATGGTAGCCGTTCCAACACCCCTGGCTACACCAGCAAACCGCTTATCCACCAGGCGCATGATTCCGCAGGCCTCGGCGCACGACGGCGACATGATGGTGGCCTGCGCGCCTGAGTCGACAAGCGCCTTAACCTTGTGACCGTTGACCTCCACATTGGCGTAAAGCAGGTGAACGCGGCCAAAGACTGGCAGCAAGCGTGGCAGAGTCAGCCCCCGCATCTCACAGGGGTCATGGGACGTCATCGTACATACCTTCGGGGTTGTGCTCCATGGCATTTTGCAGGTTCTCCATGACCCTTTCCTGGCGGATCATCTCCTCGATCCTCCTCTGGTTTTCCACGTTGAAGGGGTCTTCGTTCAGCCTTTCAATCTCTCTCTGACGCATCTCTCGCTCTCTGCGCTCTCGGTCCTGGCTGTCAAGGAAGATTCTTCGAAACTGCGCGGGATCTTCGACGGCTGCGGCGAGCTCCGGATGCTGCCTGGACAGCTGCTGTCTGACGGCGGGGTCACCCAGAATCTGAAGACGAAGCATTTCAGTGTCGTTTCCACCTCCAGCTGCGGCGGAAGCGGCGCTTTGCTGTTGGCGAGCCGCAGCTCGAGCCTGCCCTGATGGCTCCGGGGGGCCGGTGCTGCCTCGCATATCCCGGACATGGACGGCCAGCATGTCACCATCGCCGATCTGCAGCTGTTCCATGGTCTTGGTATCCTCCGAGATGAGTCGGCCGTTGTGATAGATGTGCTGCGCTGCCGGAGGAATGCCCGCCTCGGCCTGGACAGATTCGCGTAGGGTAGAGACGGTCATGTCGGAGAAAACCTCGAGGGTCACCAGGCTATCCTGGTCTCCTCCCTGAGGATTGAAGACGTTGAGTGTGATGCGCCTAGTAAAACGCTTCATGTTAATTCCGTCCTCCAGTCTGCTTCGCATATGACAAGGCTTACATTTTCGTATAGGATAGATTTTCGTAATTCTGTTGTTTAGCAATGGGGGATAACAAGAGACAAAACGCAATGTGCGGGATGAGAGAGAAAAAGGCGCCTTGCTTTGAAAGTCAGATGGAAATGTGCAGAAGCTCGACGAAGTGTGGTAGTATGGGGACAGCCCAGTGGCTTTAGTAAGAGGCTTCTGCTTCTGCTTCTGTTTCTGGTGCGCCGTCTGCCGCAAGGTCGACCGCAAGAAAAAGGGGGTTTCTCGAAGAAGAATTAGAAATCAGGCGATGGCCAGCCTCAGCGTTGCATTTGTGGGAGGCAGAATGCTGTAGCAGCTAGAAGAGGTAGTATTAATGTGCTCGTTGACGTGCGTGCGTGCGTGCAAATAGGCAGCTTGATGGGATGCAGTAGATGATTCGGGATGCGGGAGCAGGACGGACCGGGGAGGGGCAGCGAGTGGCGGAGGGGCAAAAAGCTTAACAGGGCGCGGCAGCTCAGCTCTTCAGGCTGTTTCGAGCTAGCACCAGGCATGCCTTGTGGTGACGACAGCGGGTAATGGTACCTACCCATAGCGTTCAGCGGCCGTGGAGAAGCCTTGGAGCTTGCACTACAGTCCCATGTTTACAGGGGGCAGGGGCTTGGGAGCGCTAAGCACATGTGCTATTTTAGAGTGGCCAGGATCAAGAAGCTCAATTTCAAGTCTTCTACAACAGCTACCTCTGTATGATATCAATTGATGTCAATACAGCCAGATCTACCTGCAGCCCAATTGAGAGTTTCGTTTTTGTCACCACTCCCAACCCTTTCGCCAAGGCACCATGAGATGCTGAGACCGTCCATGAGCCAGAAGAATACTCAACATACCAGCCACTACAAGATCTCTAGAGCGCCTACTAGTCCTGAGGTATGTTACCCGCCAACAGAGGAGCGAATATACGAATCGCTGCATCACTCAAGCCAAACTCAACATTCACAGTCCTAATGATGAAAGGAATCGTTAGGGATCTCATACGACTCCCAGTTGCAAGATTACTCTTCAACTTATTTTAGGACGTTCTCTGTATTCCAGGATACCTCAGCGATGGGGCGGGGAGCGAGGAGAAGGAAAAGTTGCAAGTTGAGCCTCCCGAAGACATCCCGGCCATATATACCAATTCCATCACGTGCGGCCAATTGCTGCTTCTGGCACACCATCTTCTCATACAGTATGGTCCAATATCACCTTCCCCGGCCGGAAGATCCTTCAGGGTAAGTCGTAGCGGATATATGAAATACCTCGCAGCCAACACCAAATACGGATGGAAACAGCTTGGACAGCAAGCATGGACAGGATGTGAGTAGCAAAGGTGGACCAATTGGAACTGGAGGGAGTGATCAAAAAAAGCGCAACCAAGTCTCCATGCTCTGTACTGCACCGCTCACTCCGCAATGCTCGTGTCCAAAGCCTGGTGCGGAGATTGATCCTTGATCCGATACACCGTGTTTGTCGTCTTACAGTAATGGCAGGTATCTTGACTAGCCGGTACAGGCACAAGTAAAAGCGTCAATGTAATGCGCGGCCACGCTAGCAGCAGAGCCTAAAGCTTACTTGTACCTGCTCATGCCTCTTCCTGCTCTATCCTCTGTTTTCTTTCTTTCTTCTCTCCATCTCCATCTCGTCTCATCAACGTTCAACACCAATTGCTGCTGCATACTTGCTGGCAATTCATAGCGGCGCGCCGCACACCACAGCACATACAAGAGATTTAACGTCTGATTCATGTGACTGTGCGGGGGCCCAGCCCCAGAGTATCATCCGATAGCATCTAGACTCTGAATCTTGTACGACGTGACGGAGGATGCATATGTACGGCCTTCATGCATACCTACCCAGCAGCATCCATGCAATATGCACATACAGGCGAAGACGGAGCGAGCATCGTGCAGGGCCCTACGAAAACTACTTTATCCAGGTAGCACTACTGGCAATGTCGCAGGGCGATATCTCGCTTATACCCGCGGAAATCGTGGCAGCTCGACGACAGGCGTACGACCATCACCGACTCAGGCTAATGCAACGCAATGTGCAGGCAAGTACACGGCCTAACATCTTTTTTTTTCTTTTTCCCCCCTCTCCTGCAACATACATACATCAGTAGTACTCTGTGCTAACAGATATGACTTAGTGCCGCATGCAACATTACACGCTCATCACCATCTCCCTGCTTTAGCCCTTTATCTCTCTCTCACTCGCCCACTCTAGCCAGCTCTCAGCTCTGCAGCCACTTGCAGGGCCATCAGCCGGAGCTGCGTCTGCCTTTGCCAATCAGAAGCAGTTGAGCTTCACCGGTGCGGATCCTGTTGCTGCATGTCTCGCAGCGTTGGCAGGTAGATTTGCTCTTTTGCCGTGTCTCTGGCCAAGCACGCATTAGAGCCGTTTCAGTTCACTGGTCATGGATAATTCTTTCGAAACCCAACGGTGCCGTTATGACTCTGGCTACATGTATTCGAAGAATGACACAAAGTGCATAACCCGAATTGTTGCTTCTGCTTCGCACTATCTACTGTATGTGACGGGGTTGCATATGCATTGGTCCACCTGCAAGGCCAGATCATTTACCAGTTACCAGCTGCCGGCGGCCAGAAACCAACAGACGTTAGGTGGCATAAATGTAGACTACGTGTTTGCAGCTCAGCCAGTACTACCTATTCGGCATCATATGATATCTCTCAGAGGCCTATAGTTGGTCATTCTTATCATCTCCAGCATCTTTACCATGGCCAAGACCGCCGTCGCTGTGAAAGACACAGTAACGAATAGGCTGGAGAGAAACCGTTCCTCCTCACCAAGCCTACTCCATATAAGGAAGGGCTCGCGTTCTTCTCTCACCAAATTTGCCGCTGACTACCCGAAATGGCATCAGAAACTCAGTTCCATTGGATGACTCGTATTGAATAATGTCCTCACAGGCAACTGCCTCTAAAAGGTAACCCGGCATAGGCTGTCTCTTGCAACTGTCTGCAGAACCCGCCTCAGCAAGCGTTACTGCTTTCTTTCCTTTTTGTAAGCGCTATGCTGACCCCCCTGGCCAGCTAGCAAGCACTAATCTCCATGCCTACTACTTGTCGGAGGAGTACCTATATACCTGGGCCGCACGGGGGGAGCTGCCGGTCATGCAGCACGAGACACGAAGCCGCTCAGGGTGCTGGTGCCATCAGGCCTAATCGGATGCTCCAAATTACCGCCCTGAATGGTGCATTTCGTCTTTGGGTTGGCCATTGGGTTGGCCAGTACAAGGCCGGCAGTGTACAGGACAGCATGCATGGCACTGCAAGGTATATTGAATATGGCTCCATCGCCGGCCTCCTCTGCCTCATGCATTCACAGTTGAGGGCGTAATATGCCAACACTAGCTTCTCTTGTCTTCCCTCTTTCTTTATTTGCGGTACAACGGTACTTTTTCTCGATACTGTGCCCTCGATAGCCAAGACGCACACATGGACGCTGCCTGAGATATACATATGTACCCTGTATTTAACAGGTTATAACAGATGACAAGGCTACGTCACCAAGGCGCTACGCATATAGTGCAGTGATACCGACAGTCCTCTCCCTGCCTAGGAGCTGATGGTCTGATGGTATGGGGGCCAGTCACCGCTGTTTGATTACGCAAAACGCTTCTATCAGTATGGTCTTCTGAGCAAGCCATATCGGATGCACTGCGAAATGATTGGTAAACCGGTGCATTTCCCCGCCCGGCAATGCTTCCCTTACTCAGATTTTGATGCAGAGTGGCCCCTTCTAAAGACCTCCCTCGCTCTATAGGGACGTATCACTCTGAGAGAAGGCAGATGCAAAACTGCTTATCCAACTCCTGTCGCTAAACACGTGTGTTGCTTGATACCCACTACACAGAATGGGCTTCTATCCCGTCTTTTCTAGGAAGTGTGCGGGTGCCGTTTCAGCTAACTAATGATAGGGCTACGACGAGTATGGAGTACTCCGTGACATACCATGTATTCATCTTAGATTGGCTGAGATTAGTTCTACTGCTGTAGTAGCGCGTCGAACTTCAACCGCAATGCAAAGAACTGACTAGCCACGTTCCTTCAGGTCGGCTCAGCCTTGGCTAATGCGGTTGGGACCAAGGGGGGCTGCTATCGCCCATCTGAACGACTGAGCGTTATTGACGCTCAGCCGGAAGCGAAATATTGTCGGGATCAATGCACCCATTCGCTTGATGCCATGTAGCAGCCAAGCGCTGTTAGATTGGCTGGGCAACAGGGATGGAATAAACCGAGGTGGTGTGGATTGGCGCCTCCTCTGTCTCTGTCTGTCGGTCTCTCTCTCTCTCTACCCATCCCCTTGGCGGTGGGATTACAAAGTGCCGTGACAATCTCAGTGATCATTGCCCATTATTCTCTATTGGTGAAAGCCAAAGGTAGGCTCCTCATTTCGATGAATGTGCTAGCAAAATCCAGTGAGCTTAATCCATTTACAAGCATTGTCTCTTCAGAAGGGATTCGCGGAGATTCAGCCTGAGCGGCTGTGTTAAGCCGACTACGGCTGCAGCTGCAAACTTGCTCAGCATAAATTAATGTTTTGCATTTGAGTCTCAGTTCGCTCATGTCTACCTAGAGGCGCTCCTACTAAGCGGCCCCATCCAATATATCGAACGTATGTCCTCAGCTGCGGCTGTCCACCAAAGTTAAAAATACCACACCCTCGCATGACTAGCCGCCGTTATATTCAGTTGCCCGCACGAGTAATCAGTCCATCCTACTCATCCCTTATTTAGCTTTCCATCCCTTCACCAGTCACCATCTCGGACTTCGGCGTAATCAATCAACCATCCGTCTACACCATCAGCACAGGGCAGTGAGAAGAAGCCAAGTAAGAGGAGGGGAGAACTGAGATACTGAAGAAGATGCAGAGAAGCATGAGATATCACACACCAAACACCAGGGTTGTCGGTACATACAAGGAGCCCGCCTTAACTGACTTCTCCAGTCTCGACATGTGTCTAGATTTCATCGCGGTTATACCAATCAGCGCCAACGATGAGGTCGATTTGGTAGATGAACAGGTGGAACCTGACACTACAATAGACGACAGACTTTATCAATTTCAGTTCTTCAAGCCTTGCCTTTCGAAAGACTTTCTCCAATCTATGCCCTTTTGCTTCAATCCCAAGCTTGCCTTCCTTAAGCCGCAGCATGTGGTCACCACAGTCTTTCTCGAGCAATGTGCTTTTGAGCACTCACAACGAGGGTTTTCCAAACAACTGGTTAGTTTCTTCAAGTAACTTCTTTCGTCTTCTCACCTCCGTGCAGCGGCCATGAGTTCTCAGCAGGGATTTCTAACTGATGGCAGACCGAGTATCGCATCAGATTCTCTGGAACGCTCAGCTATGGTCTCTTCAACATCTGTGATGTGACTGAGCGAAAGGACTGGCTGTTAAAGATGAAAATGAGAGGCTGGAACATGCCAGACTGCCCTGAAGACGTGAGAAGATTCATGTTCGTCCACATGGTCGCTACGATGGGATGCGACCCCGTGGTGACAGATAAGGATATGGACTGCCCCAAGAACTGGAAGGAGGTCCTCCACGGACGACAAAGATACCCCAGCGAACCCGTCGGCCATCGCTCGTACGGAAGGACGGTCTGCCTTCACTCCATCGTTGTCAACCCTTGGCTTCAGGGCCTGGGCCTGGGCACCGCAGCCTTGAAGTCTTACGTTCAGCGCATCCATAGCCGTGGCCTTGCGGACCGCGTTGCTCTACTCTGCCGCAAGCATGAGATCAGGTTCTTTGCCAAGTGCGGATTCAAGAACATTGGCCGCAGCGATACCACCTCTCTCCCCGGGCAATACTACAACATGGTCTGCTGCCCAATATGCTACTCAAGTGTGTATTAACACAAGACCAGTACTAATGTGGTGTTATGCTTATAGATATTCGATCTCCCTGAACGTGGAACACATATCGAATGGAAAGGCATTCGCGCAGACGCCGAGAATCTGTAAACTACCTGACTGTCCCATCATCATCTTTGCATCTTGATTTAGCGTTGTTATTTTCATTTTTCTTACATTGGGCAAGAAGCATAAAAAAAAAGTCAAAAAAAAATGAGAAAGTGAAGAAACTAGACCCAAAAAGAAAAAAAAAAAAAAAAAAAAAAGCAAGGAGAGAGAAGGACGGCCGGTATGAGAGGAAGACTCGAAAGAACAAGGAGCGAAACAGGCTTTATACGCATTTGAGGTTGAGCTACGACACGACACATACATGATTATACGATTTGGCCCATGGCTACTTTGCATAGGAGAGGAATGTCTTGTCACAACAGGTGCGGCATTGTAAGTGAACCACTACTGTAGTCCTGTTCTGTTACTGACCTCGATATAGGATAAATGAAACGAAACAAAAGACCCCGGTAGGAAGGATAAACAAAATGGGAATAGACTAATGTCATATTTATGCAAGAGACTAAAGAGAAGATATTGAGGCAAAAAAATATTTATGACATTCATGGCGGATATCGGATCCATACAGCTCTATGTAGGTAGACTAGATAGGTAGCTAGCATCTATGATTTGGGGTATTATTCCAGGTATAGGAGGAATATAATGAGACTATCTTCATTTTATATATTTTCTTTTTCCATCCTCTTCCGCCTACAACTGGACGAAGAACATTACTGCAATGAATCAACGTATCCTTGCTTGTTTACTCGTCTACTCTGCCCAAACGCCAAAGAGCCAAGCCATTGACGCACTCTTTAATCAGTCGCCTTGTACTTGGCCCGGTACTCCTCCGTGTTCTTGATATCCTCAGCGGTAGCAAACCCCTTCATTCCATCGATAATGTCATCCAGGGTCAGGATCGCAAAGATGGGAATGCCATACTCCTTCCTCAGCTCGCCAATGGCACTGGGGCCCGGCTTGGAATCATCGCCATCAGCAGCAGGAAGCTTCTCCATGCGGTCCAGAGCAACGACAATACCCGCAACGATGCCACCCTCCTTTGTGATCTTCTCAATGGCATCTCGCTTGGCCGTGCCAGCAGTGATGACATCGTCCACGATGAGGACCTTCTTTCCCTTGAGCGGAGCACCGACAATGTTGCCGCCCTCGCCGTGGTCCTTGGCCTCCTTGCGGTCAAACGAGTACGAGATGGCGTCCAGGTTCTGGGGCGCCAGCTCGCCGAGCTTGATGGTGATGGCCGAGCACAGCGGGATGCCTTTGTAGGCGGGGCCGAATACGAGGTCGAACTCGAGGCCGGATTCCTGCTGCGCCTGGATGATTGTCTTTGCAAAGGCAGAGGCAATGGCGCCGGCGAGGCGGGCGGAGTGGAATTCGCCCGCGTTGAAGAAGTAGGGGGATATCCGCTTGGACTTGAGCTCGAAGCTGCCGAATTTGAGAACGCCGCCGTCGATGGCGGATTTCAGGAATTCTTGCTTGTAGGCGGGGAGCTGAGAGGCCATTGTGGATTATCTTCTTTTTTTGTATTCTACAAGTTTCTTATGAAAGAGCGATGTGAGAAAAAAAGATGCCGTGTGAGCTCGAGCGCTAAAGCCGTCGTATGAGCTTTTTTGCCACTGACAGACACAATTTTTTTTTTGTCAACCTACCTTGTTTGATATACTTTGATAGCAATGAGATATAGAACCTGGATTATTCGTCACTCTTTTCAAGCTTGCTATGTGTTTCTTGTCAGTATATGAAAGGAAAAGAGGATCTTGGGGATGGCGGGGCACGAGATAGTGGGCGCAGAAAAAAAAGTTTGGCTATCAACTAACGTCTGTGCAATTCACACTGTAATTGGAGACCCTGTAATTGTTACTACCGTAACTGCTCTCGATCAATATCTGGCGCCTTTCAATCTTGTAAATGCATGTATACAAGTCCAATATGATTTGGTTTGGCTCGTTTGTGCTTCTTATTCTCACCGCATTTTGTAATGGAAAAGCTGGCCATTATTAATTGGACTTGGGCGACTTATCGTGCAATGAACACTGGCTAATTAATTGTTGTATGTTTCTCAAGTAACAATCATCATGAAAAGTATATCATAGCAAGTCTAACCAATTATCATAACACCACTGATGAACATGCCTCCAATGCATCAGCATCATATCAAGGCCATCGACTAGACGTCTAGAGACCTCATGATGGCAATGAAAATCACAAGCCAGACTGCCTTCTCTAGATCTTTCGTACTGTATCGCACTGTATCTTTCAGCTGCATTAGCGGGGTTCCTAAACTCAACACTGCGATTATTTGGTTATCGATAAGATTTTTTCCTCCACAGAGAAAAAAAAATTCACCGCCCAGCCTAGACCCGGCATTTCGCTAACCTGAAAGTCCTTCCCCATCAAAAAATTCCTGACGAGGACATCTTCAAGCTGTAAACCTTCACCTTTTACAGCGTCCCTCGATCAGTCAATTTGCCCGCCATGAAGACCACGTGGAAGGACATCCCCCCGGTCCCTACTCAGCAGGAGTTTCTGGACATTGTGCTGAGCAGGACCCAGCGCAAACTGCCCACCCAGATCCGCGCTGGCTTCAAGATTAGCAGAATCCGAGGTTTGTCGCATTCCACACAGCGAGTGTTTGCCGGATGCAATTTGGCTCCTCTACTCACACAATAGACAGCTTTCTACACCCGAAAGGTCAAGTTCACTCAGGAGACCTTCTCCGACAAGTTCGCCGCCATCCTCGACAGCTTCCCCCGGCTCCAGGACATCCACCCGTTCCACAAGGATCTGCTCAACACCCTCTACGATGCGGACCACTTCAAGATTGCCCTTGGTCAGATGTCCACTGCCAAGCACCTGGTCGAGACCATTTCCCGAGATTACGTCCGTCTTTTGAAATACGCACAGTCGCTCTACCAATGCAAGCAGCTCAAGAGAGCCGCCCTCGGTCGCATGGCCACGCTCGTCAAGCGACTGAAGGATCCCCTGCTGTATCTGGACCAGGTCCGCCAGCATCTCGGCCGTCTTCCTTCCATCGACCCCAACACCAGGACCCTGCTCATCTGCGGTTACCCCAACGTCGGAAAGTCTAGCTTCCTCCGAAGCATCACCCGCGCCGACGTGGATGTCCAGCCCTACGCTTTCACCACCAAGAGTCTGTTTGTTGGTCACTTTGACTACAAATACCTGCGATTCCAGGCCATCGATACCCCCGGTATCCTCGATCACCCTCTCGAAGAGATGAACACTATTGAAATGCAGAGGTATGTTGGCGCTTTCTGAGCCCATCGAAAACTTCAAATTCTAACCAAGTCCTGCTGCAAATAGTATCACGGCTATTGCTCACTTGAGATCTGCCATCATGTACTTTATGGATCTGTCTGAGCAGTGCGGTTACACTGTTCAGGCCCAGATTCAGCTTTTCCGAAGCATCAAGCCCCTCTTCTCAAACAAGCTCGTTTTCCTCGTCGTCAACAAGATTGATGTCGCCCGACCCGAAGACTTGTCACCAGAGCTCCAGACCGAGCTGCAGTCCATTCTCAAATCTGGTGAAGTTGAGATGCTTCAGCTTTCTTGCAACACCCAGGAAGGTGTTCAGGAGGTCAAGAACGCCGCTTGCGAGCGTCTCATTGCCGAGCGTGTCAACCAGAAGCTCAAGGCCGGTACCACCAGCAGTGGAGCCGTTGGCGGCCGACTGGCCGAGGTCATGGCCCGTATCCACGTTGCCCAGCCCATGGGTGGCCAGACCCTGGAGACTTTCATTCCTGAGGCTGCCAAGAACAAGAAGAAGTACGACAAGGAAGACCCTGACCGACCCAAGCTGGCCAAGGATGTGGAGGTGGAGAACGGCGGCGCTGGTGTCTTCAACGTCGACATGCGCGCCGACTGGATGCTCAAGAACCCCGAGTGGAAGTACGACAAGATACCCGAGGTCTTCGAGGGCAAGAACGTCTACGACTATGTCGATCCTGATATCGAGGCTAAGCTAGCCGCTTTGGAGGAGGAAGAGGAGAGACTCGAACAGGAGGGATACTACGAGTCTGACGAGGACATTGAGGACGACGAAGAGGCTGAGATCATGCGCAAGGCAGAGCTTATCCGCGAGAAGCAGCAGCTCATCAGAAACGAGGCCCGCATGAAGAAGAGGCTCAAGAACCAGGCCATCATCCCTCGCAAGTATGTCAAGAAGGGTCTCACCGAGATGGAAGACGCCCTCGACTCTCTGGGTGTGGACACCACCGAGATCACCGAGCGAGCCCGCGCCACTGCCATCCGAACCCGTGGCCGCTCATTATCCCGCGCCGCCACTGCGGATGCCGACGGCATGGACGTCGACACTCCCAAGACGGATCGCGAGCGCCTGCGCTCTCTGAGCAGACCGGCCAGCCGAAAGCCTACCATCAACCGCAGAACCGACGGTGTGCAGGACGAGGCCACCCGATCAAAGGCCGAGCGGATAGCCAAGCTCAACCAGAAGCGCATGAACAGAATGGCCCGACAGGGAGAGGGCGACAGACATACTACGGCATCTCTGACAAAGCACTTGGTAAGTTGGATTCTTGAATTGGGCTTTGCTTTATTTCATCATACTAATATCTTTTCTTTCATCTAGATTGCCGGAAAGCGTGGTATTGGCAAGACCAACAGCCGATAAGCCTTTTTGTCTTTTTCTGCTGGAGCAATATTTACCCCCATTTATACACATTCTTGCTGGGCCCGTTTTTTTATTATATATTTCACGGCTTTCTCTTTTCGTAATTTGTCAGTATTTCTCATCTTCGTACCATTTGAAAATGGAGAGAAATACATATATTGCTCAGGAGTTGGGCGTTCTCGAAGGGTGTTTGAAATCCAGAAAGAAAAACAGGCGACGGATAAAGTGGGGGGGGACGGGTAGTAAGAGGTGAAGGGTGAAGAGTGCTGAGTTGCCTATGACAATGATTCATCATGAGCAAAACTACATGTAGATAGATGCATGAGCATGACACTATTGAGTTCCAAGTAATGGCTTACAGTTATTCTCAGTTTGATTAAAAAAAATTCTCGATATTATATCCTCTGCCAGAGCCAAAGAGCCGCAGCGTATTGATGTACTAAATATTTTCTTCATGATTATTTAATTGATTGATATTTACCGAGCCAGAAACAAATAGGAAAAGAAAAAACATGGTCGCTCTTCGCAAATGGTTGAACGGATCAAGTATCAACTCCAAAGATCTCTCGATAGCATGGTTTTTTAAACAAGAACAAATTTGGCAATACTATTTCGCTTTCTTTACTCCTCCGCAACGTTGATACCCTCCCTTAGACCTTCAACCTTGAGCTCCTCGCCGGTAGCACGCTGGTAAATGTCCTTGACGTCATCTGTTGTTGTCTCAAAGTGGCTGGTGGCATCGTAGCTCTTGGAGATGAAGATGTTGTCCTTGGTGCCATTCTCAAGAGGCTCAGAAATGGGGATGGGAGCTCCCTATTAAGACATTTTGTCAGTATTTCGGATTTTGGGTCATTTTGAAAATACAAGCATTCAACTAGAGAGGAGCGCTTACCATGAACTGCTCCTCAATAGCACCAAGGCGGTCCAGACCGGGCTGGAGCTCGAGGTGGTGGTTGGCAGTGGTCTCGGCAATGGTGGAGACAATGGCAACCCAGTATCCCTTGGGGCAGACGTTGTGGGCCGATGAGACGCAGGCAATGTAGATGTCTATAAACAGTTAATATCATTCTAAGAAGAAAACAAGAGATTCTCAATTCTTACCGTTCTTTCGGCCGACCTGGGACTGGGGGATGATGATCTGGGCAGAGTCGCTGTCGTTGGTGCCAGCAAGGGGATGCTTCAGGATGCAAATGGCCCTCAGCACGTGGCCGACAACCTTGGTCTTGCCGGGGAAGTATGAGGGGTCACCAAGGATGATCTTGGCCTTGGTCTCAAACTTCATCTCCTCAACACCGGTCATGGTGGCCTTGATGCCAACAGCCTTGTCACCCTCGTACAGGATCTCATCAATGTTGGTGTTGAGCATGTAAGTACCACCGTAGATGGCGGACAGACGAGCAAAGCCCTGGGGAAGCTCGCCAAGGCCGTACAGGGGGTAGATGTAAGGAGACTTTCCGTATCGAGCAACGGAGTTGCCGTACAGGCGGATGCGCTCAATGGCATCAGGAGCCTGGCCAGGGGCGGTGATGTAGTCATCAGTCAGGTACAGAGCCATAGAGTGGCCAATGAAGTCCTTGGTAGCATCCTCAAGGCCAAACTTGTCATAGACATCCTTCATGGTGCAGGTGTTCAGATCAAGACCTAAAAGGCGAGAATCATCAGTCACTGCCAAATAGCGTCAAGTAAGCACCGAGAAAACTAACCCTTGTGGGTGGCCGGGTCCTTGGCATCAAAGGTGCCAACCCACTCAATGAAAGACTTCATGCGGCGCTTCTCAAAGAGACCCATGAGGGGTGACTTGAGGGCCTCAGCGGCATCTGAGGGGACCTTGGCAACGGTGGCCTTGGAGCCAGCGCCCTGCTGGACGTAGCTGCCGGCAACCTGCTTGAACTCCAGGTATCGGGTAACATCGGTAGAGACGAGGATGTTGGTCAGCTCGCCAGATGACATGAGCAGCTTGGGAACAAGATCAATGTTCCAGTCGTTGACGCGGCCGTACTTCTCCCATGGCTTCTCGCCAGCGGCAACACGGCCGTACTTCTTGAAAAGCTAGAAGGGGTGCAAAAAAAGGAGGTCAGATGCCGTAACAAAAGGAGCTTGTACACAAGCGTGCAATTGCACAGTATTGCGAATCGGGGAGTGGAAGGTTATTTACCGTCTCGATGTTAACGGAAGCAGCCTCTCTATAGAATAAGTCGTCAGTAACAGTTGCCTTGAAGTGGTGGTGCCAGGTCGACGTGGTAGCAGCCAGGGGCCAGGGGGGAGAAGCATACCCTCCGTAGTGGTCGTTGCGGTCAATGTGCAGAACCTTTCGGCCCTTGACACTCAAGACACTTTAAGACAGGAATCATCAGTATAAGCTCGATTGTGTTATTGTCCGTTCGATATCGATCAAGTCATCGTCTTACCCGGAAAGGATACACTCGGTGAGACCTGCAGAATAGGGGGGGTCAAGTCAGCGAAACAGGAACCTTTGAAACAAAGCAATGGAGCAAGTGACAAGCTCAACAGCCAGCAGAGCAGCTATCACGAGATGCCAGAGCCCGTCTCGCCACGATAGCTGATGCTGGGAGCTGGAGTTGAAGCCGAAGCTCGAGGAGGCAAAAAGGGACCACAGCTCGTTCGTTGACGTACCGGTGCCCAACACGATGACATCGTACTCCTTGGCGATTTCCTCCATGATGCTGGGGTATATAGAACTAAAAGCGGTGATGTCGTGAATAAGAAATAGTGCTGGAGCTTTGAGCCGAGGGTCGGGAGAAACAAGAGAAGAGAGAGAAACCGAAAGTCGTGGTGCAAGAAGATGGTTCCCTTTTGAAGGTTGGTTTGAAGTAAAAAGGTTAGTCGGTACGAAAGTACTTAGAGGGGTTGAGCAGAAGGCGGCGGGGTTTTTGGTTCTTGGGAGCAAATCGGTCGGTGAGGTGCGGAGAAAGCTTTTAGGGGGGCGCTGCCAATTAGGACTCGATGCGCTGAGGCACTAACGCTTAGCGGGCTGGCAACTTCATCAGCGAGCTGCTTCTAGTTAAGGCAGCCGCCTAATATTAAGAAATTAAGAATAATAGACGCGGCATGATGCTAATCTCGACATTTATTTGTACTATAGTAGTATCTGCCTCGTACTCTCTTCCTTAATATTCTTTTCTTCGTTTTTGGCTTCTGGCACCGTTCTGGAAATTGAGACGAGCTCGGCAGTTCAGCTCAGTCTGTTGAGCCATGGCCATTTTCTCGAAATTGCCCCGCCGTCGCAGCACCGTCTCCAAATCTCATCTCAGCTCCCCTGATTCCAACTTTATACGTGCCCCATTCTACAAGTAACCATTGTCTCAGAAACTCAACTGAAAATTGGAGCTATACTGCTGCTGTTAGTAGTACAATTGATCCAAGAAAAGAGTCAAAATCAGAAAAGGCCCAAGAGGAGGAAACAAGAGCTGGCCGTCAAAAGCACCCACCGCTGTCAGCTCCAGCTCCAACTAGGCGGTGGGCATTGATCCCATTACCGTCCCCCCCCTGGTCTCACTTCATCTCAAATAGAACACCAAAAGGAATATCCAAGAATGCTCCACCGCCCCGTACCTTGCTAATAACCAACCTTGTTCAAGTACCTCCATTTGGCGCTGAAGCAAGCCCGGCCGAACAGGTACCGTCTCCGGACCAAAAGTTACGGAACCACTTCCCCGTCAAGAGTTACAAGAGCTCAATACGACCACCTCCTGATACTGCGCCCGTTGCAGATTTTCAACATTTAACAAGTACCTACCTATTACCGGTGATGGGCAAAAAGGCCCCTGCTCAATGACCGAATGGAACGGTCACGTTACGAGTAATAACTGCTACTAAAAACCGGCCATAATGAAAGGAAGGGGTCTTAGCGAAATCGTTGTCCAGGGAAATAGGGGGGGGCTTCTAATGAGCATGTTCATTTCGTCTCCGAGCCCATATTCCGATATTCTCTTGTGCGCACGTCAAAATCATCTCGATAAATTCGATATACACCGTTCTAGTAGTAATATACATGCCAATTGCTTATTTAGGAATACAGGTAGGTTCGGATAGTACCATACATCACATCTCATACTCTTTCCCCGTGATATCATATCAAACTCATATCAAGCCCTCCTCCCGCCCCTTTTAGCCTTGCCCAGCTTTTGATTTCCAAAATGACCATACCATAAACTCTCTTTCTGTCTTTTTTTGTTTATTTCCTGCCCCCTCTCGTTTACCGCACGGGCTCCTTCAGCTCCTTCTCCGCTGTTACCCTTGACGCCTCGTCTTCAATAGCCGCAACGTCAACTTCATCGTACCCCTCTTCGTATGCGGATGGGTTGTACACCTGGCCTTCTCCTCCATCCAGGTTAATCTCGGGATCAGACTTGGCAACGTCGACGGCATCCTGCCATGTGTAGAATCGCTCTGTAAGAGCATGCTTGATTGCCCTCATCGTTTTGGTGACCTTGATATCCCGTCAGTAAAAGAAAATAATGGAAAAAGAATGATAGTATAGAATGCCATCCCGTCAAAAGACACAAGAGGTCGAAAACATCTTGACTTTCAAAAGTCCAAACTCACTTCCTCGTTCCGTGAATCAATCTCCCGCTCTCCAAACCCCAGCTTCCCCCTCAGCAGCTCCTCTCTCGCCGTAGCAAGCATGTTCCTCTCCTTGCAGCACTTCCACCACAGCGCATGCAGATCCTCCCACGACTTGCGCCGCAGCTCCTCGACCGTCCACGCGCGCCCGTGCTCCTCCGTCTCCTTGGGCGTCAGCAGCAGCTTTCCGGGGGCGGGGAAGAACCCCCACAGCCCGTGGCTCTCGTCCACCTCGATCTTGGGCTTGAAGTCGACGGGCTTCGGCAGCGGCATGTTGGACATGGACAGCGGCTCGCGGGGACCCGATCCGTACAGGCTGCTGACACCCCGTCGCTTGTTGCTGTCCTTTGTCTTGCGCTTGCACTGGGGCGCCGTGGTTGAGAATTTGGCTGCTGCTCGCATCGTCGTCGTCGCTGGGAATATCGAGGCCTGGCGGAGGGACAGGCCCAGCCGCGATGCGCAGCCTGATGAGGCCCGCAGCGCATTGGGTGCTGCTGCTGTGACGGGCATTGTGACGAAATGTTTCTCTGGAGATTGAGGGCTTTCCAATGTTTCAATCCACCAGCATCAATCCAGTCGCATCCGCTTAGATAGATCTAAGACGAGGCACAAAATTTAGGAAATCGGCAGCCGCTGTCGCGCTCTCTGATTGGACAGCCTTGGTCACCCGTTGCGCCACCTTGTCGTTGAATTATGATTGCTGAGTCAGCAATCTGATAACGATAGCATATAGTAGATAGAGAGTTTACCCTAGAACATCGCGATGCGGCGTCAGTAAGATGACAATTCTGTCCTATTACCTAGTAATCTTCGTGTGTTGGCTTTGCATCGAATTGAATAGCCCTGAAGGAACAGTGCTACATAGAGCGTCATAAATTTAACCTACCTATTTAGTCGTCTTTGCTGCTCAACAGGGCATACTACCTAATAACCAGCAATGAGGAACAATATCAGATTCAAGACTTGCCAAACCATGATTCCACACTTCGCAGCTTTCAATTCAATACTCGTAACTATCGAGATACAGCAGTTCATCAGCCAAGTTCCCCTCAAAACCCAAATCAAGCCCTCTCACGCAAAGTCACCCACTTACACATTCACATGTCACGACAAACACACATCACCCCTACTTCCAATGCAACTCTCACAATTAAACACGTCTAGAACAGCCACTTCGCCACGAGCCGCTTTCACGAGCAAATCACATAATGCCAACACTTGCAGCAAGCAAGCAAACAAATGAATACCTATAGTTGCAGGCACTGTTTCCCCCTCAATATTAAGCCGAGCCTTCGTGCATTACGCCCAGCCTTCTTTCTCTCACCACTACCTACTTGAATACGGCCGCCCGCATGGTCGCCTTAGAGCCACCACAAGGCCGAAAACATGCATATTAGCGAGTGAGGGGCGTGAGAACATCAAAGGCCCGTAGTAGCAGAGTAAACTCACCGGATCGCGTCAAGTGAGATCCGGAACAAAATATCCATGGTCAAGTCTCAGGCTAATGCACTTTAGATTTGGTTTATTGATGTATGCATGCAAATAAACTGGCAAACAAGTCAAAAAATGGCACCACCATTTTCAATAGCTTCTTTCATAATCCTTCTCAAGTGACCCCTTCTCCCCATGCAAGGCGAGAGAAGCAAATGTGAGATAGAACAAGAAGCAGACACTAACACGGCACAACGTGCAGTGCTCGCCACCCTGCATCGTTGGTTATGCACGAAGGATGACCCCTAAAAGCAAGCAATACTGCACACTAAACCGGTTTTCAGTCCCGTACAAGTACTTGTCAAATCGACAGAACTATTCTCCGGACGGCCGCTCCCGTTGCCCACGCTAGCAAGGCAAGGAGGTCGATATGTACAGGTAGTAAGAGCAGTAGTAACGGTAATTGTACCTGTACTCGTGTACCTGCACGAGTCTGTAAGTCTTGCCCTACATATACGCGTCCATCGCGTCCCGGTACCCAAGGCGGCATTCGTCCATGTACGTGATTGGCGGTGATGCGTGCAAGTATATGCAGCAAGCCATTAAACCCCTCCTTCTTCTCTCGCAAACATTAGACGCGGCCGAATCTCGAATCTCATTGCTTGGAACCCGTCAAATCGGATCCCAGATGCTCACCGAAAGTGCCTGCTTTGTCGAGACTTCTCATCCTCTGCTCTAACTTACATCACAAGCTGCTAAGAAAAAGCAGGGAAGCTGTAAAGCCACAAAGTGCTTTCTGCCCAGCATGCAATGAAACCTTAACCGGGGCAAGGTTGAGGGAACTGTCTCCTCGCAAACCGCCTCAACCAATGACTTCAAGAAATATTGGTTTCACCGACTTGTTTGTTTATATGTAGTAGGTATGTCTCAGCTGCGGTTGAACTCCTGCTCTTCGCCCAGCCACCGAAAAGACCAAGAATGGTCGTACGTTTCCACTAGTAGATGAGTGTAAAAGTAAGATGAAGCGAAACGAAGATAGGGCAAATGAATAAAGATGAATACTGAAAGCGAAAAACACTCAATAGTCATAGCTCAACAAGTCCGCATCACTGGATGCTGAAAATGTAGATAAAAAGAGTGAGAGAGGCAGCAGGCATTGCACAGCTTCCTGGGCTTCCCCCTGATGAATGGCTCACAGCTTAGCAGGTCAAAGCAATAAGAACTGAATATTCTCGACCCACGCACTGACACGACGTGAATAGAAACATGGCGCCCCCGAACCACCTTTAGCCACTTGGCCGGCCGGGATCCCGCGCTGCATGGCGCACGACAGCCGCATTCGCCGGGATCCACGTAGCCGTGCTTTGTATGTACAAAGCATTTCGCCCACCGAGCAGAGGAGCTGCAGGGAAGCGCTCAAAAGAAGGCGAATCAAGAGGCAGAGCACTTCGAAAAGGAAGAAAATGAAAAATAAGAAAGGAAAGAGAGCAAATACGTATCGGACAGCCTCTACCTCAAGCGCCGGAAGCAATTGTCCGTAGCAAACCCCCCTTTCCCCTTTCCCCTTTATTGCTGCGTCAACACTTGGTGCAACGCCGCTGTTTACTATCTCTTCGTCAGGTTTTGTCAGTTAGCCAAGAAATGATGAAGAATCAGTCATACTCT